AAATCATATTTAAAATCATATTTAAAAAAGCAGAATGCTTAAAAAAATTACAGCACCGTACCGTAAAATAAAAATAGTACAGTACGGTATCGATTGTTTTTATTGCTGTATAACTTCTCATGAGATATATATATTAAAATAACGTTACGCTTGAGAATTCGAGAAGGATAAATACCATGAAGAATGAAATGCCGGACTCCTATCATTTTAACGGGAATACCACGTCGTCTTCGAAACAACCTGTTCGGGAATCGATTGATCGGTCTTCCGGACGGTGAGACAGGCTCTACATTGATATTCAGCAGCAACCCTCGTCTCTTCGAACCGTCAAGAAATTTTACCCCGGGCATTGCAACACGCGCGCTCCCCGTGGAATCGCTAAGTTCGTCGTCGACAACAGCGGTTCGAGTATCGAATAATTATACAAGTCGAGTAAGTAGCTAATGTCGTGACAAGAGTGACGAACGGAATTCGTCTATATAGTGTGATATCGTTGCAATAAAATCCTTCGAAGGATTCTTATTCCACGACGAGTTTATCGATCCCAATCGATAATTATTCATCACGAAATAACCATAACAATGAAAAAGGAAGCAATAGACGATATTATTTAAATTTTTCTCGCAATATTATATTTATTTTCCGGTATCATATTATTTTAAATTTATACTTCACATTATTTATTATTACTCGAAATTGTGATATTTATTTATAGGAAGTTTTTCTAGTTTATAAATTTATAGTCAATTACGTTTAAAAAATTACAATTTTATCGATAAAAAAAACGTCAAATAATAGTAACTCTGATCGAATGTTCAGATTTTTACATTTTACACGATGAAATCCTATATCGATATATATTCCAGGGGAACAATCAAAGAGCACAAGTGAGCTTTGCAACGGAATGGCTTTGATCGTTCTATTAAATATCTCTTGTCTATTGAATAAATCCATACCGTTATATGTGGGTATGATAGAGATATTTCTATTCATCGATGAAAACGATTGTTGATATTCCAGTCCACTTGTGATATCCCCTGCCGATCTGGCGAAACCGATGCATTCAGGTATTAAACTGAAATATCAAATCAACAACAGAGTATAACGATGTATCTCTACCCGATTTTATAAATCCGGATCGATCCGCAGATATATCCTTGAAAAACAGAAAACTCTTGTGCAACAAACCTCAAACGGCAATAAAGTATCGTAAATATTTATCGATCTTTAGATACCTGTACGTGTACAACATGCAATTATCAGTATAATATACGATAATATAACGAAGAATCATATGCTAATTCTTCATTTTGTTACAAAGAGTGATATGAATGCTTTGCATTAAAAATATTGTCTCTTAAAAAACAAAACAGAACGTTCCTGTTGATTTATTCACAGCATGCATATACTCATTCATCGTGCGAGTTGCAAACTTATATATTAATTACATGCCGATGTGAAAGCAATTACTGATAGAAATCAATTTGTCTCGCTTCGTCAATTTTCACTAGTCCGATTAATATATCGGCTTTAGAACTGCCAGGCATCCAACTGATGTAAATTAAATTATTTATCGGATATTATATGCTGCGAATGAGAATTTGAGCATCGCCTCGTTTCGCTTAATGACAAAATCGTGTTCGGTACATGGCTCTTGTGATGGATATCACGAAGCATCGATAAAAAGAACAAATTATTGAAAAATATCTGTACGAATTGAATGGCACATACTTATCCGTATTGTAAAATATGTTTCATAATTTTTAAAAAGACGCGGATGTATAAAAGGGAGAATGCATAAAGAGGAATTGGACGAAAAGTTAATAGAATGTGAAACGTTTCGCGAGTCGTAAAGAAATCTCGATTGGCACTTGAAGCTTCGAAGGCGGACGGGTTCGATATTAAATTAGAATATTCTCGTATATGATGCTGCATACACACACACACACACACACATACACACACACACACACACACACACATATGTATATGTATATGTATATGTATGTATATATGTACATATTCTCGCATAAGACTTCTTTCCGTGTGGAGATGCGAATGCATCCACCTGCTTTGAATATCAATTCCTTTTTCCAACGTAAGAGGAAAATCTATATTCACGCGCGTCCATACCTAAAGATCCGTGGCCTGTTGAATCTTTTTCAATTTATCGATCGATTCCACCTCGCATTATTACTTGAAATAATTCAATCGTTAATAAGAAATTATATGTTTCTCATGATTTCGTATATTAATAGTGTGAATTACAAACGATTAAAAATTAAATATCTCGTAAATCTGAACAATTTCATTTATACAGACAAAAGACATAATATTAAACTTGTTCATACGTAAATTGATTAAATAATTATGCAATTACACAATCATTAAATATACAAAAATCTGTTTGAAGTTATAAAGTAATCATTTGCGCAAACAATCGAGATTTCGATGACAAACGAGAGGAGAAGAAATCACGCGCGGTTCCGACGTAAAATTACGCGTTAAGAAAATGCATGTGCATGCAGACGGTTATTCGCGCCGCGTACGAATAATGATACGCGTGCATCGCCGACCCTTCCCTCCCCGCCAGCTACCCCTTTGTAAGAAATTCCGGCATCAGGAAACGCGCGGGGCGAAAATCATAGCTGACTAGCTGGCGTGTCTGGAGACCGTAAGAAATGATAATACAGCCTAGAGATGTGTGCGTGCACCTATGCTGCGCAGCCCCTATATGCACCGCGGATGCCTCGACGGACTCGTATGACTCGCCAGGAAAAGGGGGGAAGGAGAGGGAGGGGGTGATATTTATGTTCGCCGTAGCGTGAGCGCGAAACATACCTCGCCAAGCCCCTTCTCGACTCCGAACCGTCAAGCACACCCACACACAGACGCTTTCGGCGTTTGACCGTTATTTCGAGGTGTAATTCGCCAGATTACCATCGGATTGAGTAATTTCGCCGTAATCGCGTATACGGCCGAATCCTTTCGGCCAGCTCCTTCGACGTATGTACACGACATGCGACGTCGATGACCATAATTTCCCGTCGCGTACCGTTTAATAACACGTGTGTCGACCACATACGAGCCGTGATCGAGCGGATAAGCTTCAAAATGGATATGCGGAAGATACATGACTGTGAATTTGCTGAAATTAAAGACGACGAGATTCATTTAGCTGTATCGTAAACGTTTTAATATTAATATATGTCGAAAGAGAGATGTTTTAGATGTCAAAATTATAGAAGGGGAGTCTTGCGGAGACCTTTAATTTTGATTTCTAGGCTTTATACATGTCGGAATATCTCGAAATATCTCACTTTATTATTACAGTGATATAAAAACAAAGGTATTAATACTATTATCTATACTTCTATTTATTCTATACTCTACATTCTCTATTCTCTATATTCTATTTATACTCTTTTTCTATATATTCTTTATATTCTATTTATACTATTCTCGATACTTTAGTTTTAGATTATCTCTCAGGCTCATTAAATCAGGGATATTTTTTTATACATATTGGAATCGACTTACCCTAAATTAAATATCCATCGCTGATAAACTCGCGAAAATTCAAAGCCATTGTTCTAACATCGGCAAAGACCTGATTCGCATTGTAATCCGTTGTAATCCGAGTGGACACGCTTAATAGCCTCCAGACGAACCCTTAATGGCGCGGTGTAGTTCAATGGATAGTTCTGATGACGACCAGACCCAGGTCTAGACCGATGGACGAGGCATCGTTGTACAATCCGGGATTAATAGCGCGCGAACTAATTCAAATGTCTAATAAATCTTGGCCGTTTCTCTCCGGCACCCCCCCCGGATCGCGCCTGCACCCGCTGAATTTCTCCACGCGAGGAGAACCGGTCGATCGATCGATCGATCGATTGGTCGAGGAGCAGCCAGATAGATTCGATTAACCCGCGAGTTTCGTTAACAACTAACACGATTACTTCTAATTCCAATTTGTCACCAAGAAACCGTGGCGGGAACTTCCTATTCCCGTATGGAGAAGAATACGGAATTGAAGTCTCGAACGAACGAACTGGGTCGCAATCTCTTCCCTCTCCTCCTCCTCCTCCTCCCCCCTTCGTCCCCCTCCTTCCCGCTCCACCTTGCATCCGCATCCGCGACTAGCCGCGTTACGAAGTTTCGAGCTTCACGGATCTCTACTTAATACTTATGTAGATATCGCTAGAATCTCCATATTGTTATCAAAATGTATGGCTGACAAATTACGCCGACGATATCGAGTAAACGCGCTCGCTTTTTCATAAAACGCTTGTTATTTTAATACGCAGATTCAGTATAAAAGTAAATTCGTCATGTAAATTCGAAAGAGTTTACTCCGATGAAAAAAGATGGAAAAAAGAGAGAGAAGCGTCTTAAATATTTACACCTCTGGCATTATTCACCCTGATGTTTTTATAATGATTAAAATGTAAAAGCTACAAGTATACTATTTTGTAAATATCTATAACGATTTACATATATAACGAGAATATCAGTTCTTGAATTTTCCTCGAAATAAAGTTAAGTGAGTAATGAATTTTCAATCTCGCACAAAATACATGAAGAAATAACAATGTAAAAATTATATGCAGCAAAATATTTACTCACCAGACACCGTCTACTTGGCCGAAATACAAAACATGCACTGTATATAAACTGTAAATATTCAGATCTCCCGTAACATTGCACTTGCCGAGATATTTCACGACGACGTTCCCGCGCAAATAGGTCTGGTTTAAAAAGCAAGGTGTATAAAATCGTATCTAGAAGTGTAACTCTCTCTCTCTCTCTCTCTCGCGGGAAATGTGCCAATTTCAAATTGGATCTGAACCGTCTGCACTTTGGAGCATATGCGATGATGGTAAAAAAGACTCGACAACTAGGTGGGTAAGTCTTTTCCTTGAAACAGATTGAAGTTCTTCGATCATTCTCGAGAGGGCGGTCAAACGTCAAACTGCATTCCCATCTAGATCCGCGTCGAGTCTGTCAAAGTCGATGACTCGACGAAACAAAGATGGAATATTTGACGTTCGTTTAGAGGTTAGACGAAGGCTGTCGCATTCATTTCTCGTGCTCGTACAACTTCCCGTCACGTATAATTGATTTGATCGTGCATGCAGTGCGACGTGATCATCGACCGCCATCATGAGTAAGATGTATTCGACGGCGAACCTGTCCGACAAGGAGCTGAAGGAACAGGGGAACCGTCTCTTCGATCTGCACAAATACGAGGACGCAGCCAATTGCTATACAAAGGCGATTGTGAGTGACGTTTGAATACATGCTAGATCATCGCCGTGAAATTCTAAATCGAAATTCTAAATTATTGCGCACTTTTGTGCGTCTGCTCGATTGTTTACCAATTGTTACATACGCAGCAAGTATTTTTTGTTTTGAATCATGAATCACATGCAGTGTTTGCCAGAGATGGCAGTTTGATGCTGCACCTAGCGCCGAAAATTTGTACTAGAATTTGACAGAAATGAGGGAAGACTTTTAAATCTGATTATATATTCCGTCTCTCTCTTTTTCTCTTTAATACAAATTTATCATATCTTTAAAAAGAAGAGTGATTTTGCACAACAGAATCATTTTCTTTTTTTATTTTTGTTGCAGATAAAGAATCCAGACCAAGCATTGTACTTTACAAATCGAGCATTGTGTCATTTGAAATTGAAACAATGGGAATCGGTGTGCAAGGATTGCAGACGAGCCTTAGATATAGATCCTTGTTTAATGAAGGGTCATTTTTTCCTAGGACTTGCTCTACTGGAGTTGGAGCTTTTTGATGAAGCTGTAAAACATTTGCAGAGAGGTAAATGGCAAAGCAGACTTATACATACTCTTATCATTTTTTCAAGAAAGAGAAAGAATAGATTAGACTTATATTATAAAATTATTTATCTAAAACAATTTAGCTGTAGACTTGGCAAAGGAGCAGAAATTAAATTATGGTGACGACATCACCAGCGTGCTACGACAAGCACGTAAACGTCGTTTTCAAGTAAGGGAGGAACAGAGGATCGCTCAAGATATTGACCTGCAGACTTATTTGAACCAGCTGATCGTAGATGACGCAAAGCGTAATTTAGCAGCTTTACAAGAACAGGAGACGACAAAGGATTCCGATACTGATGCAAATTCAACTGAATTTGCTAGGAGAAAAGAGGAGATCGAGGAGAAGAGAGATACTTGTATATCACGGCTCAATGATCTCTTTGCTAAGGTCGACGAGAGAAGAAGGGTTTGTTTTCTTTCAATTTCTGTCATCAAAACAAGAGTCTTTGTATTTATTTTTTTGATGTTTTGTGCTGTTATTTATAAACGAATTGTTTGTAGAAAAGAGAGGTGCCCGACTATTTGTGTGGTAAAATCAGCTTTGAGATCTTGCAAGAGCCAGTGATTACACCTAGTGGAATCACATATGAACGGAAGGATATCGAAGAACATCTTCAACGGGTCGGTCATTTCGATCCAGTCACACGTGTGCGTCTTACACAAGATCAATTAATTCCAAACTTGGCAATGAAGGAAGTAGTCGATACTTTCCTGCAGGAAAATGAATGGGCCTTGCATTACTGATGTCAATACATTATTTACTGCCATAGATGTAAGTTAAGGCAATAGTGATTTTTAATGATGAAAGAAAAGAATTCAATATTTGATGAAGAAATTTATAAGAGGATATCTAAAAGAAGAAATCTCAAGAAAGTGTAAAGTAGTAGAGTATATACATATAGATTAAGTATATTGTTCCCCGTCTCTCCTCGTTACAAAAAAAATATTTTTTGCTTTATTAGAAGATAGTAACTTATTCTCTCATCTCCTTGAGTAAGCAAGTTCAAGTCTTTAGATTCTCTGTTCTTGAATTTTTATCATATATTTAAGAAAAGAACAAGAAAATATTATTTCTATTGTAAAAAATTATCTTTTGCGATAAATTTTTATTTTTATTATGCTGAAATATATTCACAAATTAATATCAATCTATAGGGTGTTATTGGTGAACCGAAACGGGGTTTGCCAATTACTAGGCGATTTATTCTCTACCATAAAGCAACTTAGCTCTTCGGCTCAGGTCCATCAAAAACCAAAATAGCTGCCTTTATAGTATATTTATCTTATTCGCTTTCATTCTTGTATCACTTTAATCCAGATAAACACTTATTATGACAAGAAGTTGAAACAAGAACAAGAAAACGCTCTTAAAAAGACAGCGGATTTCGAGGACCTGAATAGTGATTTTGTAACGAAGAAATGCTTGTATTGTTATTGTATTCAATATTTTTCTAGAATATGCCATATGAAAAATATAGAAATTATTATTGGATATATGTATAATATTAAATAATTAAAGCAAGAATCGCATGTAAATTCATACAAGATAATTCTATGAGAGTATATATAATTAATTGTATGTATATAAATTTATTTTCTTGCTTTATAATCGGCAATTTTTGTTTATAAAATTGAAATTTTCATAATTGCTTTTGATAGAAACTTGAAATTAGAATTTCAATTAAAAGTTGAAAGACTTGCAAATTTTTAACACAATATAAACATAGGATAATGAGTGTTCATATATAGTAATCTTTCTTAGTTTATCATACATCTACATAATAATTTTTTACTGCTGAAATTGTTTACATCTTTACTATATTGTTTGTTAAAAAAATAGTTCCGATTGCGAATGTTATATATCAATAGTAAAGAGAAATCTAAATCCACTCAAGGTATTTATTTTAACATTCAACTGACAACAATATATTTATATATGTATATATATATGTACAGTTTTACGTATACGCAATATTGTATATATGTATCGCAATCATCGCAATCGTATGTAATAATAACAATTATTACCGTCCACCATCGGTGTATTGTTTTAAGTTATTGCGCAAGCTACATCGACAATATATATGGTTAACAAAAGTCTGGTAAGATAGATTATTCTCTCTGTAGTCTCAATAAATGCAACAGTCATTTAATAATGAACTACAACGTCTCTCCTTTTAATATTTGTTTTTTTAAATTCATTTTTTTAATGTGTGAATTAAATTCGAAAAATTGACAATTATATTTTAAAAAACTTTAAAGATATCAATTAGAAAATTATCAATTTTTAACTATAAAAATATAGAAAGGAGAGTACTTATTAAAAAATTTCCAATTAAAATATAAAATGCATTTGATTCCCAAAAGATTCTTTCACCAATAGAGCTCGAGCGAGTATGCGAGATAAAAAAACTAGTATATAGTTGTAACAAATGATATGATATCAAGATATGGTTTGTCTTTTATCATTAATTAACTAATGACAATTTCCGTCATTATATAATTGATGACTCCTATTGTTATTTAATTAATTAGTCATTTGCTTAACGATTGCTAATGCAGTTATTTGATCTGCTTAGGCTTACTAATAGATAACTTGAGAAAACGAAATTCTACTATACTTATTGTCCGTATTACATTTGTACGTTTTAGGCGAATACTCCACAACCAATTAATCATTAATTCATTAACTCTTTGCACTAGAATATTTTAATATGGATTTATAAAATCTTATTAATTATTTATATATTCAATAACATGAAAAATTAATTATATAAATTGTTACAGGAAATTACTGTGAAATTATAATAACGTTTTCTATATAAATTAATGTAAGTATTTTTTCTTTTCTTTTTATTAATTTAACATAGAAAAGTATTCAAAGTGCAAAGAGTTAGGAATTTAAAATATCACTGGAAGATATCAGGCCATTTGAATACTGTCACAAAGGAGTGCAAATAGGAAGATTCCATAGAATGTTCAAAGACATCTTTAATGTTCAAATTCGACCTGGATTATAGCTTCTTTCATTGAAATAGAATGATTTACTTTGATATATCTATATATATATATATTATCTATTCCTTTTATAATATACTCTATGTCACAGGTCGAGTTTGATACATAACAGAGTTAAAATTAAAATAATAATTGACCTACGTGAAACTAATTGTTTAATCTATGTGGCCTGGACGATGATTATCTCTCCTCGCCCGAAGAAACCGATTTCTTCGGGTCGAATCAATTGCCTTTTTTGCTATCCAGGCATTTTTAAATGTGCATCACATACCGCACAACGTTAATATTATTGTCAAGCATAATTTAGTCCAATTATTTTATTGTCGTCAATTTTGTCGTCTTTTTATGCTAAATTCATTATTGTCACGTCATCCATCCACATAATCACTCGTGGATTCCTGGATCCTTAGATCTGTGGAAGGATCTCATATTCTTAGACAATTATACATTGTGAAATATTTGAATTTTTAGATCTCTGCAAATCTTCTTGTACGTTTGTAAATATTTCGATATTTTTATCTGCTTACTTGTGCTGTTAGATTGGATCTTTAAGTGTTTATATCATCAAATCTTTAGATCCGTTGATTCTCGAAAGTATTTTCGAATTTTCAATAGATCCATAAATCTAAGGATCCAAATGCTTTGATACAAGACTATCTATCTAGAATAATGTTTCGGGCGCATTCACCCAAGTCCACTGGACGGCTCCTACCGCTAATCTTATTAAATCTGATGTTATTCGCAATCGCTAAAGAGTAAATGTTTCATTGTTAACTCATATAACAGATAATTTTCCGCACGGAAAGATCGCCTCTCGTTTCCGTTCATACGATGCACGATTGTTCGTTTGAAAACTGTATATAGATTATTGTCTAATATTCTTCATTACTCATTTCACGAAGTTTCGAAAGCCATTTTTCGCATAGTTAATCAATTAATTAAAAAAAATTGCAAATTGTTATATCTCTCGGGCAGAAATACATTCAAGAATATTTTCAAATAAATCTCCGCTTACATCAATATTTTTGAAATATTTAGATTCTAGAAGAATTTTTTCCTTTAAATTACAAAATTTTCAAATACTGTAAAAAAATTGAATCTGACATCTAATTTTAATTATTAAAGGTGAAAGAAAAATTATTTTTTACTTGAATATATCTCCGTCTTTAAATGATAAAAAAATAACTCCTACCGCCGAAGCTTTTATGTTAATTGACACAATAGACAAGATCCTACCACGCAAATGCGTTGACTACAATTCGACCAGATTCATCAAAATGAATTGCAGCCACTTTTGATCAAGTAGCAAGCAGTTGAAGATGGTCGTCACAGAATAAAGTAAAGCGTTTCTCGAAACGAGATCATCTGCGGAAACGCGCATCGCAATCAAGGATCGATCCTAGGTGAGATCCTCGTCCTCATCGTCGCTAGGGCCGCCCGTAGGGCAGCACAATCCTTCAGAACCGTCATTCCTGATGCAAAACAGCAGTGTTTCAGCCGCCGTTACCTCATGCGGCATAATTCCATGAAATTCTTTTAAATCTGCTGCAGGAAACCAGGCCTTTTCGTTGTCGTCGATGATGAGGATTCCATAGTATCTAGAAAGGATCATTAAAAGATTTTATTTAAAGGCTCATTTAAAGGATCATTAAAAGGTTTAATTTAAGAAGCGTATATAAAACAAGATATGTGATTTTTTACTGACAACTTTAAGATCAATACCAACCTGCAAATTGCGACTGCGGGTATCCATAAAACGGAAGTGAGAATGAGAATGGCAATGAGAACTAAAGCCCAGACAGGCCACTCATGTCTTTCCGTGATGCCTTTACTCGATACCCAGGCTGGATAACCGCTTCCTTCGAAAAATATTTCGACGAAAGACGCGATCAAGATACTCAACATTGCCAGTGGACTGAGATACTTCCAACATATTAGCCAATAGAGACCAGGCCGGTTGCCAGTCATCAGTTCGATATCATCGGCAAATCTAAAATTATCACAATACAATTAATGCAATCTTTGATCTGAAACCTTGCAGATTTAAGAATGTTTCTATACTTACCTCTTCAAACCGTAAACATAGGATACTGCTATACATTCGAAGAAAGCAATTATAAGTAACGGAAAATTTCCGCTGAAGCTATCGAACAGCACAAAAACATAACTGCCAGCTCCATGAGCAAAGGCCATCGAGATCGAGCAGCACACCAAACAAATCACACCTGTGAAATCGAGTTTATTCTTGTAACTTCTTCCAATTTAAACTATATCTTATTATGTGTTGTGAAATTAACCTGTCAGAATCTCTTTTCTTAAGTTCGGGAAGAGTTTCATATCGACGATACTGGTGACGACACCTTCCAGAGTACCAAACTGAGAATCGATTCCTAGTGTAAATAACATCAAGAAGAACAATACTGACCAGAATTGAGCGCCAGGAAACTGATTGATCGCTTCGGTGAAGATGATGAAAGCCAAACCTGTGCCCGATGCCGACTGTAATTATTGTTACATAATTTAAAAGCACAGAGGAAAGGTATAGAAACAAAAAGTTCAATTTCACAACTTACATTATCTAATTCTTTTTCTAGATCACAATAGGGCAATTCCGGCATTATCATGTCCAATGATCCATTACTACTAGTGATGTTCAACAGTGTGCCACTGATCGGAATATTTTCGGGTATCTTATCGGCATGTCCGAATATATTCATTAACGTATTATTTCTTTCCGATAAACATTGTTCATAAACCATGGTGGCTTTGAATCCTGTTAAAATGCAAAATTATAAGTCTAAAAAAATAGGAAAATATCAGAGGAGAAGTTTGCACGAACCTATGATCGAGAAAACGACAATCCCCGCGAACATGGAAGTAAAGCAATTCGTCAGACTGACCATGATAGCGTCACGATAGCAATTATTGTTCACCGGGTTGTATGAAGAGAATGCTATCAGACCACCAAAAGCTAAGCCTAGTGAGAAGAAGATTTGCGTTCCAGCCTCTAACCAGACTACCGGATCAGTCAATGTGTACCACTGAAGTAGAGAAATAAATTGATGGTTATACAAAATAATTGTGACGTATAGAAGATAATTGTATACAATGTACCTTTGGCGTGAAGAGATGCCGCAAACCGTCCGACATACCCGTCAATGTTACCCCTCGGAAGAAGAAAATGATTAGAACGATATACGGAAATGTAGCGGTTACATACACAACCTGGAAAGAAGCAGAAATTATCATTTGATGAAGAAGAATATGATGATATTTAATTTTTGTAATAGGAAAGGGCCGTACCTTGCCCGAGGATGCGATACCCTTAATCATGCACATGTACACGAGAATCCAAGCAATGATCAGCGCTAGAGCGATCTTCCAATTGAACACTTCCGGCGTATCGATATCTTTGGATATCATTAGGGTGGTTCGATACCAGAAATACTGTGTTGGACTGCTGACCTATTGATCGATTATCAAGTTACATACAAACTTATTAATGTATGGACAATAGAATATAATTTATATTGTATAAGCGTAAATTTTAGCATTACCAAACACTCGGGTTCGGGCGCGTAAGATCCATTTTGAAAATATTTATTCGGACACTCCGCCCAAGGTAATTGCGATTGAAAACTCTTTAAATAGATTTTTAAATTTTTATTTTAGTTTTATATAAATGCGACAAGATGAAACATTAATTATAAATGGATTCTTACCTGAACGAAATAGAAGAGGCACCAGGCAATAATAGTATTATAATAAAGAGCCACATTGAAGGAGACTATGGCGCTGCTGATTCCGATACCCCCCATATACGGGGATACCTTTTCGGTAAGGAAATTCACTATTAAAAATCTTTATTTCGATAAAATTCTAATTTATAGTTTTTTTTTCTCTATTCACCTGATTCCACACGCCAATAGCGCCTTTTCTCAATCTTTGGCCGATTGCCAATTCCAAATAAAATATAGGAATACCCTCGATGGCCAGCATCACGAAATAAGGAATTAGAAAAGCACCTGGTGGACATTAGAAATAATTCTTATTGTACGAGAGAGATTTTAATAAACAATTTTAAACGAAGTGAACGCACCTCCACCATTTTTCTGAGCCAGATAGGGAAATCGCCATACATTTCCAAGGCCCACTGCATATCCTACGGTCGCCAGGAGAAATGTGAGTTTGCTATCCCAATTTTCACGCTCATCTTCACCTGCTTCCGGCCGAAAAATCGCCTTGCCGTCATTGTTACCGGTGCCCGAGCCGTTTCCTGTTTTGCTCTGTGAACAAAGGCCAATGAAGTGAAACTCATGATATAAAGTGAATAAAATAGGCAGAGGTACCTTGTTAGGACTGCTATCTTCGAAGGCCGCATTGGTGGCCCCGTAATTGGCAGTGGAGATGTTCTTTCGATTATCCACCATTAATCTACCACGCATCTCTTTCATCTCAAGCTTATCGATGCTTTTTTGAGGCTTGAGATCGCGGGAGCTTTGCCGGCGAACGAGATGAGCCGTATTCGCCATATCTTCTCCGCTTTCGTTTTAATCCCTTTCAAATCCGCTTCTTTCTGATCAAACGAAAAGATCTAGACACTCCATCCTGTTCAAAAAAATTTAAAAGATTAAAATGATTAAATATGAACATGTATAGAAGCAAGTGCAAAACAAAATTATTACTAAATTATTACTAAATTACTAAATTATTACTAAATTATTACTAAATTACATAATGAAAAGTTTGTAATTTTTTTTAATAAGAGATGTAGATATAAAAATATCTAAAGAAAGTTACATTAAATTAATATATTAATATATTAATATATTAATTAATTTATAATTTATATTAAATTAATATATTAATTAGTTAATATTAAATTAATATATTAATATATAATATATATAAATAATTAATATGATAATAATTAAATGATTAATATATTAATGTAATCATTAAAAATTAATATAGTAATTAATGTGTGTGTGTGTGTGTGCAAATAGAATATATATGTATATGTATGTGTATATTTTTAATATCAAAGAATTATATTAAAATTTAATTATTATGGTGCCTTTTTCCCTGGAATAATACATTTTATTTGATTAATACATATGTTCATGAATTTCTTGAGTTAGTCATTTTATTTTTTATTATTTATATACATATATAGAAGCTGTCCATACACAATATGTGATAATTTCTTATGTCGATTCTACACATACACACACACACACACACACACACACATATATATATATATATATAAAATCTCATACAGGTGTTTAACACAAGGATATACACATGTTTTCTAGGTACACATTCTTCATAAAAAAAAAATTCAAATACATATAAAAAAAATCGATTGAAAACTTCACTGGAAATTGATTTTTACTTTGACGTAGATGCACGTTCTCGTTAAAGTACACGAATACGAATCTCAGCAAATATTTTATACGCAATCATACGAAAGAGAGAAGATTAATTTTTATTAAAGTAACTACATATGGCTTCGGTAAATGTGTATACAAAAAAATCTCATCTTATTTTAATCAGATGAATATATATATATGTACGCCCTCGCGGACACGAGTCTTTCACTTCATTGTACGAAATTCATTATTGATGTGAAGAAAGCCCGAATTCTCTCGCGAAAGTACAAATCCATTCGAAAACGTTTGTTCGCAAAGAAACAGTGTTCGAAAAGATTCGGTTCGCGTTTCTGTCGCGGACAGCAGAAAGCAATGAAACGAAATCTTTACCGACCTGCCGGGACCAAAGGAGGAAACGCGCGAGGACCTTGTCCGCGGTCGAAGAGCGGTTCGCCACTGGTGACACCCCCAGTGTATGTGCTGGTGATAGTAACTTTTGAAATCACGGTATTTCAAGAGAATCAATAGCTGGCGCCGGCGCCTCGACCCTCTCTCTCTCTTTTTCGGCCGCGAAATCGCGCGCGAGTCCTTTTCCATTGGAAGGAAGATACCGATAGTACGACGAAAAGGAGATAACGAAAGATGAACCATTATTATTATAATTTCACATTATTCTGAAACTTAAAGCATAAAGAAATAAAGCTTTGAAATTCATATAATACAATACAATAAAAACCCTACTATTATATAGATACAATAAATTGGAATGAGATAAGTTTTAGGATAATTAATTGAAAATTATGTCATTTCTCAATTTAATAAAGGACGTTAATGTCTTTGGTAATGAATTTTCATTATCTTCCATGAATAATTGTTTTATCCATTTATAAAAAAATATTTATTATAAAAGTAGTCTTCCATAAAATATATAATACCTTTAAGGATATAAGGTATTTTTGTTTGATTTTTTTAAGTTTCATTCATATATTTCCAATTTTTTAACGAAGAGCCTCCTTAGCAAGGAACTGTGTAAAAGCGAGTATCTCTAAAACATATAATCCTTATTGAAGTTTTTTTACATGTAGTATTTGAATAATTGGAATCGAATGTTTAAGTGCAATATTACACTAGCGATATTTAATATATTCCGAAAGATTCCGAAAAACGATCAAATAGATGATGAATATGTGTGTATATATATATATATATATATATATATATATATATATATATATATATACATATTCATCATCTATTTGATACTCATTACAATGTTACACATTAGAGTGAGCATTATGTATTACACACACACATATGTGTGTGTATGTAATACATAACACAATAATAACTTAAAAGTGAAATAGTAGCAAGTAATAAGAATAGAATAAAAATGCAGCATTTAATAACTCTACAGAAAAATGAAGAAATATTATGTTATACTTACTATATATATTCCTCCTCCCACGCTGTTCTTCCACAAAGGAGGAGATCAAATTATCGATAGTCTCTTCCATTTTATAATCGATAGATTTCATGCAATCCCTGATACGAAGATACCTAATATACATACATACATATAGAATATACATATAGTATAATATAATACTAATATAATATAATATAATATAATATATATATATATATATATATATAATATATATATATAATATATATTATAATATAATATAATATACATATAGAATATGGTACATAATACTAGTAAATTACAATGAAAGTTGAATTATATGATTAAAGAACTCTATTATTAAAACAACAAATACATGTTATGATAGAACTGGAAACTTTCCACAGCCCATTCTAAAAGTAGATTAAGTTTTGGTCGATAAGACGTTCCCTTAATTAATTCTTGCATTGTTTCATCCTTGAGGGATACTTGGCTCCTGGCATTTTCCAATTTGATCAAATAATTTTTTAAATCCTAAAAAAAATCAAATTAAAATACCATGTTTTTTTTTCATTAAATTATAACTCATAGATAAAGATATACCTGATTCGCGTCATTAAATTGTGTCAAGATATCCTGGAGAAGCGCAATTTCATCTTCGAGGCCCATAAGAATTTTGAACATCAATCTTTCCCGCGTTTCTCCATCCATGTCATTTTCTGTTTCGTTTATGTTTACACTGCAACAATCACGCCATCTCATTGAACCTATGATAAAATTCGCCGAGCGCAATGGAATTTTTTATTGTCACTCACTTTGCAACGTGTCGAAATTGTTCGGCTTGATTAGCTAGAGCCTCAAGCGGTCTTTCAGCTTTCGCCGATAATTCTTTCCATTTTTCATCCAACTTCTGTAAACGTGCGAAATAGCGGACAAGGCACGCGTGGAGTTCCTGTGACATATCAGGTTAGAGGAAGAAAAAATTGTGCCAATCTCCTCGCCTAGTTACTAATTTCAAGAAATGCGTTTATTCGGGAGCGTCCCGTTTGACCACGTTGCCAATTATATCGACCTGTGCCTAGGGTAACCAGCAACGATTAACCAATCAGAGAGTCCTATTTTGAATTGGCCAATTGGCGACGTGGTCAATCGGGTGCCACCTGTTTATTCTGACTGTTGGTAACAATATTTCACTGTATTTTGGAGCGATTACCCATCTACAATTTTACATTCTATGGTTATTTTCCGGTAATCATCTGTCACATCGAATCGAGTTACGTGCTGCTCCGCACAAATCGATCTGGCGAGCCGGAAAATAGCAGGTGACACGATTTAACACGCGAAAAAAGGAACCTTGCTCGTGGACCGAAATGATCCCTGTGGGCCTCTTCTGAATGATATCGCTATCTCTCTCCCGCACCTACGCGCACCACGTGTAGGGGTTATCTCCTTCCACATTCTCACAAACGCAACGGACACCCAACGAGTCGTCAATAATGCAAAGTGTAATAAATTCGGTGAAGGGCACCGCGTTGGGCGTCGCCGAATACTTGACGCCGGTGCTGAAGGTAATTTTTGAGTTTTCTTTTTTTTTCTCTCTCGCTCGCAGGATATCAGTAGTTTATCGGAATCGATTAGATTCTTTGGTTAAAGAGATTGTTGTCGAACAGCGGAGTCGACAGATGACAGAACATCCAGTAATGATTTCATCAGTGAGATTTTCTATAAATAAATAAATAGAAGATAACAATTTTCTTTACTTGTAAAAAAACTACTCAATTTATAAGAAGAGAGAGAAAGATTTATTCTATATTTTCTATCTTTTTATGGAATTTTCTTCTCATCAACAGATACTCTTACATGTATTATTTATGTAAAATTGTCTGACTTTAAGGAGAGCAAATTCCGAGAAACAGGTGTCTTGACACCAGAGGAGTTTGTAGCAGCTGGAGACCATTTGGTACATCACTGTCCTACATGGCAATGGGCTACTGGTGATGAGGATAGGGCAAAGTCCTATTTACCAAAGGGCAAGCAATTTCTGCTCACTCGTAATGTCCCCTGTACACGTCGATGTAAACAGGTAATGTTATGACTGAAAATAATATATGATTTTTGTTCTTTGTATATAATGATATCTTTTACTAGGTATTTAACATTATCATTTGCTGTATTTACAGATGGAATATAGCAACGATCAAGAATGTATTATAGAAGCAGATGATCCTGAAGGTGGATGGGTAGATACTCATCATTATGCAACTAGTCTTGCTGGCCTGGATGAAAAAGTATCAGAAATGGCCCTGGAGGAGACATTAGAGGAGCCATCTCAAGCTCATGACAATGCAGATGAAGATGAGGATGACGAGGATGCTGCTGATATGGAAGCTTTCGAAATTAGCGGAATGTTAGATGAACAAGATAAGGTAGAAAAGAAATTTGTAGGGGAAGAAATATCTTTGAGATCTCCCTCTATAATTGTGAAAAACAACTTTGTTATAGCACACGGCGACGGAAAGTATCAAGAAATCTGGTCAAGAAAAACGGGACTCATTTACGGAGGGAGAAATTATTCGCACCCGCACTTATGACTTATATATTACATATGATAAATATTATCAAACTCCTAGATTATGGTTGTACGGATACAATGAGGTAAAACATGCATATTTATTTTTCTCTCAACTTATATTATTTCCTAGATCTACTTATCATACTTATTGCTTTTACATTATAGAATCGAAAACCGCTTAGTGTAGAAGAGATGTACGAAGATGTTAGTCAAGATCATGCTAAAAAGACAGTTACAATGGAAACTCACCCACATATACCTGGTCCTCCTATGGCTTCTGTTCATCCTTGCAGGTAAAATAAAGAAGGCAAAAAAAAGTTGATCTAAAAAAAAAATTTATTAAATTTATGCATCTTAATAGATTAAACGACTTATTGTTTATATAGACATGCAGAAGTGATGAAGAAAATCATGGAGACAGTAATGGAAGGTGGCGGAGAATTGGGAGTGCATATGTATCTTATAATATTCCTGAAATTTGTTCAATCTGTCATACCGACGATTGAATACGATTATACACAAAATTTTATGTTAAACGCAGTCGGTTAAATGTCACAGTATTAAATTACTTACATTATATTGTGATTGATATTAATCGCTTGCAAACTACTTTAGTGGATACACGGGATATTTATGTATATCGATGTTTACTACGCTTTTCATCATAAATGCCAAGATTGTAAGAATATTCAAAATTGTAAGGATTGAAGAATGTGTAATTAAGACTTCTACTTGACGATTACAATGCTCACAAGCATTATCTTTCAATCATTTGTTTAATTTGTTTCGATAAATGACAAGAATGAAATGACGAATTCTACGAATAATCCTATGAATGTTGCAATCGTCAAATGGAACATGACCTAAGTATATTTTGAATTTGAAGATGCACGAAAGTCATGGAATCTAAGAAAGTGAATATCCTATATGAACATCCATTCCTGAGAATCCAAAGATTGCACGGATACATTGCACGGATCTCAAATGTTAAGCATTTAAGGGGATCCGTTTATATATTAGTTTTGATCATTTTAAATAAACGGACTGTAAGATTTTTTTACATTGAAAATATGAATTGTGAAAATATTTGATCCAACAATTGTTAGACAATAAGTAAAGAATAATATGCTGTGCTGAAAGCAACGAAGAATCCTACAAAGAAATATAGAAATTTCATATACGTTAATAATTAAGCTAATATTATTTGTTGGCTTATTATTTACAAAAACAGAAGCTTAAATATTTATTAAAATCGATTATAGTTAATTATTACGAAAATAAATTGGAATATTAAGAATATTACCTTTGTATGTGACCGATTTCTGTGCAAAATTATATCACATACAAAATAACGACACGAAATAAGAGTGATTAAAATTCAGACTTACCTGTAATTTGTTTCCTCGCATGTCAGAGATACACATAATTATTTGCCGTTACTCCGATAATCCGTGACATTCTCATAAATTTACTGGCACATAAATTAACATGAATGCGATTGGATTAGTCATGAGATAGTATTATAAGATGTTACTAAATTTTATGTGGTATAATGTTGCATTCATTATCTTCCGAGCAAGTAGAAATTTACTGTCCTTTAAAGCTTTTTCAACATTGATTTTTCTATATTTCGTTATTCTTTAATTAAATTACTGAAATATCTTATTATTGAGAGATGATTGATCAAAACTTGCTGAATTATTTACCATTAGAATTATTAAAGTTATTTGCTGATAGCATGTTCCTTATTTCAAGTATATATATATCCCGCAAATATCAAGTTATATAATTGTTATAATTTCCCACTCATTATAATTGTTACACGTTAAAAGAGCAGTTGTTAAGTGAGAAATATATATATATACATATATATATATATATATATATATATATATATATATAACAGTTATACTTGTGTTTGCTTGGTATATATATATAGATACGTGTGCGCGGAGACGATCTTCTTCAGTCGAAGAACTTCCCGCCGACAGGATAACGAGTGACTAATCTATCCGCACAGGAATAGGACGCGGGGGCGCAACTATATATAGATATTTATATATGCGCTTATATACATAAGCGCTAGAATATAAAGTATTGTTGTTAGTCAAAATTATACGATCGCATGTATTTGCAACACTTGCATTCCTGAACTCGTCAGAACTTTGTAAGTATAATACAAGTCGTTATAAATAATAATTTTAACAATTCTCTTAAAAATTATTAATGAAGCGATATTGTGTCATATTTTCTATAATTATTGTTTACTGTTAACAAAGTTTATTATTTCTTTGTGTGTACGTGTCTATGTCCGTTTTACAATAATTCCTTAATAATCGCAATTTTTTTCGAAAATATATGCGATATTCTCACTTGCGCATTTAGCGCATTAAACTCTCCTTCAGAAAGGATAATCGTATCTCTCCCGCTTGACACGCGCGTTACTCTTTCGTATACACAAGAAAGCTATCAGGGTGATTGGATAACAGGATGTCTCATAAATCTAAGAGCGCATATATTAACGGTTTTTTAGCTCCTTATATTGTTGTGCACAGGACAAATCGAAAACCTAAAAATTATCCAAAATTTTTTGTTATTCAACAAAACGTATCCTTAGAGCCACAATGATGATCCATACTTCTCAATTATTTGTCATTACTATTACAATATACGCTGCTATAATCGGTAAGTATCAACCTTGCAATAAACTCAATCTATTTTATATATATAATTATTATTAATAATAATTATTATAATTAAATATTATTATCATTATTAATTAATAATGATATATTATGTAATATTTTATATTATCATTTAATTATTATATTATTATATTTAATAATAAAAATGCAATATATATTATTATTAAAAAATATTATATGTATTAGAAAAAATATTATATTTTGATCTTTTCTTGTTGAAAGAGAATTAAATTTAATATTAAAAATGTAAATTAAGGGTATAAAGAATTAAATTTAATATTTAAGATGTAAATTAAGGACACAAATTAAGAAATAGTGTTTTGTGAAATTATTATTAGAGAAATTATTATTATAGAGACTAAAGATTATATATTATAAAAATATTTTATTATACATTTTTTCTTTTCCTCATTAAAGTTATTCTTGCTTAAATTTCTTATGTATATATATATATATATATATATATATATATATATATATATACACATACACACACACATTCTTTTATATATATATATATATATATATACACACACACACACATATTCTTATATATATATATATATATATATATATATATATATATATATATATATGGGGCATTCCATGCCAAATCGTGACCATTTTTGATATCTAAATTATTATGAACTGAATATTCCGAATTTTTTTCAATATTAAAAAGTTTGTTTTGCTTAGTCTTATAATACTTGTTATATTTTTGAATTTAGTATCAACATTTATTTATAGACATTCGTTTGAATTTAGTATCAACATTTATTTATAGACAGGTTAACGACAAAAAAGAAAACAGTCATTTATAATAATGTAAAAGCATTTATTTTCTAACACGTTTAAATATTTTACTGAAACATGTACAGTGCATTTTCAATCTATTTTGAAACGCAACTGTTCCTGAATTTTTATTTCTTATCTCTAATATCTGTTTTAAAATTAACATAAAAAATTATATTAAAAGAACTGTATTTTTTATGATATATGTTTATTTTATTTTGTGTAATTTCAGATATAATGTCTAGATTATACTAAATATTTAATATTTGCAATTTCTTTATAAATATGTTTATAGATAATTATATATAATTAGATGTAATTAGACTTATTTATATTTATATATAATTATTATTTAAATATATATAATTATATCTAATTTCATTTAATTATTTATACATCTAATTATCTATACTTCATCTAATTCATTATCTATACTTTATCTATATTTCATCTAATTATTTATACATCTAATTATAATACATATAATAATTATATATAATAAGATCATTTATGTATTATTATACAAGATATTTATAATTCTCTATCGAATTATGCAAAATTATATTAAAATTCTGTTTTTCGAGTATCATATTTAATATAATTTTATATTAATTTGATATAAAGTTACAAATATTTTAATACAATTATATACAAATAATAATTATATGTACACAATTATCTATAATTAAATATAAAACTTTTTTCCCGGGTTAGTATGTATATTGATACAAATTGACTTACTAAGCATTCATAAAAGAATTTCATATTAATGTATTAGTAAATGTATTAAAAAATTGGTGTAAATTAGATCACTATTATTAGAAATATTCTCACAGATAAATCCTAGATAAATCCCGAATAACTACCATAATTATCTCTGATATATTTGTATAATATACTTACAATATCCTCGCAAGATATCTTGATGATATTTTACAGATTTCCATGTGTTGTGTGGGTATATATAACGCGCCATTAAAAAAAAATTTTTATATAAAATATAAATTAGCCAAATTTTCTTTTTCATAGACGGAGCACCTAGCGCAAACCTAGAGAGCATCTTTTTACGTATTTACGTTGGGTATGTTTATACTTCAGTTATTCTTATTTCCATCATTCACGTTTCCATCGTTTTAAAATTAAATTCCAAAGAAATAAACGATATTAATTAAATTCTTGCAATAATATCAATTCTTGTTTCTCTCTCTTTGATGCGATATAAAGTTGTTATAAATCTCTATAAAGATCTTTTTATATTAATGCAAATATTTATCTTATTTAGAACTACTATGGATGAATATGTCGATTACTCGCTAAAGAATACCGATGCACTGCTATCTCGAATAAATAGCAGCAAGCCGACAGTATTATATATACACGGCTATATGGAACATATAGGGAAAGATAGCATACGAACAATAGTGCAAGGTATATTTCGATGACGAATAGTTATTTAAAAAAATGTTTTAATTATATTCCTCTCTTTCCTCAGCTTACTTGAAGCGAAATGATCACAATATCATCGCAATGGATTATGGTAAACTGGTGAGCGACTCATATATGACAGCTGTGAGAAACGCCTTCCATGTTGCAGCCGCTCTCACAGTGACTCTCGATAAGATGGTAGGATCGGGCTTTAATTCGGAAAAGTTACATATTGTAGCACACTCTTTAGGCAGCCAAGTCGCTGGCTACCTCGGCAGAAGTGTCAATTTTCAGATTCCTAGAATTACAGGTAAAGTCCATCAACTTTTTATCAGTCAATTTTATTGCAATTTCATGTAACTTACATATTTTTGTTTTAATGTAGTATTGAAGCATCTTTAAATAATATTTTGAGATATTTTGATAAGTCATATAAATTTGCAATAAATAATTCAAATCTTCGATAATAGTAAAATAAAAATAGTACACAATAATATTGAAATAAAATAAAAATAAAAACTTGATAGAGAGAAGTTTTGTAGAAGTTATTAAGTTGTAGAAGTTATGAATAAAATGTTATTAAAAAAATAAATTGTTTAAATTTGCTATCTTAAAATCTTAATATTCAAAGATTAGTGTAAAAAGTGAATTAGAACTTAATAATACTTAAATTTTTTGTTACAGGATTAGATCCTGCCGGTCCTCTTTTCAATTATCTCGAGCCTCATCTCACATCCTCTGACGCTCGTTTCGTAGATATCATACATACAGATTTAGGATTTTATGGTATTATGAAGATTATCGGCACGGTAGACTTCTATCCAAATGGTGGTCGACGTGTACAACCTGGTTGTCCATTAAATGCTACTATCTACTCCAAAGAAGGTATGTATATATATATATATATATATATATATATATATATATATATTCCTTATCAAATATATAACTTGAATATTAATTAAAATTACTCTTTACATCTCAATTGTTATTTCAGATTTTTGCAGTCATCATCGTTCCTGGAGATTCTATGCTGAATCACTGATCGATGAAACAGCCTTTCTGGGCGTAGAATGCCCTTCGTTATATCACTTTTATTCCGGCAAATGTAATAATAATACGCAAATCATCATGGGATACGGCACTCCGAGCAACGCGTTAGCAAAGAATTTTTAATTCTTTAAAGAAATCATTTTAAAAAAACATAAATCAAAATATCTTTTTATACGTAATATACTTATCTTTTTTATTTTTTTACAGGCAACGAAACATTTATTTAGTGACGGCTGACCAGAGTCCTTTCGGGTTACACGAGAAAGGAACTCATCTGTAATCGAGTTAACTGTACAATTGAATTGTAATATTCAAAAAGAATATACCATAAGACCTAGATGGATAGCAAACCCTCATAATAAAAAAAACGACAAGTACATACATCGTCCTCTGTGACGCTCGGCATGCTATATTCATAGCATATTAATGAAGAATTGGACGTATTATGTCTTATCTCTTACAATATAGTTAATAATCGCTGTATTATTCTAATATTAAGTTTTCTTCCTTATATGCAATAACAGTTTTTCTATTAATTCAATTCCTGTTTCCGTTATTTAATCGGCAATTGTATATCACTATGCAATTTTCGAAACGCAAATTTAATTTTTTAATTTTTTTATGCAAAGTTATCTATCAGGATAATTTGAGAAATTAAAATATATTCTCTCTCTAATTTCAAGATTCAACACTCATAGATCAATTCATCTATATCGATCGTGACAATAAAAGATAGTATGTACGTGTATATAACTAACGTTTATTTTTAAAGAGGCGGAACTATACGGCCACGACTCTAATAATGTAAACGGTAGTCTTTATAGTATTGCGATGTCTAATTGCAACAATTAGTAAAACTTATTTATGCATGAATTATCTAGGGTAGAACTCGAGGTAATTCTTTGTGCGAGAGAATAAGAAAGTAATATAAAATGTTGATGCAAAGAAACAGAAACTGTAATAAAATAACTTCTTCAGAATATTGTTATTGCAAGAAGCATTTTTATTGAGATCTTATAGAGCTTGAAGAATTTTCTTTAGACTTTTAAACGAGAACAATGCATACTCTTCCCTTATCGTTCGCCCTCTTGACGTATACTGGTTATTGGCAACCTCTCAACTTGACACCCATCAAATATTGGGCGTATACTGTTTATTCCGTCGTGATGATTTTTCTTCTTCTCTCATTCACGTTTTGCGGTTTGGTCGATTGCTTCATGATTAAAGATCTTGAAACCTTTATTGAAAAATTCTCGCTGTTTTTGTCTGTGCTCGGCGTTAGTTGCAAAGTGATGAACCTGGTATTATGTCGGGACAAGATCATTGGCCTCAGTAATATGCTGCTGACGAACTTTTGTGTACCCAGAGACAATCACGAGATGGATATTCAACGAAAATTTGATCGTAACGCAAAGTGGGTAATTAAAGTTTGCATTTGGATTTATAATATAATTATCTCTTTGAAATAATTTTTCTTTACGCGAAACAAAAGCTCTGAAAAGTTTGAAAAAATTAAAGATCCAGAAATTAAGTCAAATCTAAAACTTATAAACATCAAATACTTATATAAACTTTTACACACAATTTTATATAGATTATAAGATATAATATATTCTATATCTTATATATATGCCTTTTTTCATAGACTTCGAACATTTTTCTAGGACGATTACTATATACTGCGAGATATTGAACGAGTCAGCCGTCTTCTTTGCCACAATTGCTCAATTTCGATATCTTGCCAATACCAGAACTTTGCCGTTGTCCGATTGGGTGCCATATGACATTTCGTCGACTGCTGTCTTTTGGGCTACCGTACTGCATCAAACTATTGGACTGATAGTCTGCGCGAATGCCAGCGTCGCCCACGAGACTCTCATCTCCGGCTTTATGATTCAAACTTGCGCTCAGCTGGACATATTATGTCATCGCGCTCGTATGTTGCCGAATTTGCTGCGAAAGGCCCAGAAATCCGGAATCTCAAAAGAGGATTTGAAGGCGCGAGAACAGTGGCTCGTTCGCGAGCTTATTCATCATCATCGCTATGTATATAGGTAAAGATTTATTCACAAGATGGGAAAAACATACGTATTGAACGAAAAATTATGATCTGGCAGATTCGCAGAACGCATTAATACGGTGTTCACGTTGATGATTCTCGTACAATTTTCCATAAGTTCAACGGTGCTCTGTCTTAGCATTTACAAAATGTCGACAAAAAGTTTGCTGAGCCTCGAGTTCGCGTGGAGCTTGTCATATCTTGGTTGCATGCTTACGCAGATCTATTTGTACTGTTGGTTTGGCAATGAAGTGACACTAAAGGTCAAATAAGAAAATATTTTAATTTATTAAAACATTATCTTTTTTGAAGAATGCTTTTTAGGATTTTATGCTAGGCAATCGAATTTTTTTAAAGTCTATTCTTAAATATACAGAGTACTGAAGTCGGCAACGCCATTTATGAGATGGACTGGCCAATGCTTCCCGTTGATTTAATAAAGACTCTTTTACTGATAATAATTCGATCTAAGAAACCGATAAAAATAACTAGCGGCTATATAGTTACTTTATCCAATGAATCTTTTATGAAGGTAAAAGAGAGAATGATATTAGAATAATATTAATATATTTTAATTAAAATATTTTTATAAATTTGACACAATTTAATTTTTATGTATCTTTATGTTCACGTTTTAATTTTTATTTTTTTTTCAGATTATCAGAATATCTTATTCAGCATATAACGTTTTGCAAAGTCCTTAATACGAACAAGAGCAATCATCTTCTTCGATTTTGTATCGCAATTAAAATCTAAGCCAAATTAATATGTAGCTAATTATTTCCACGAGAATCGCTCAAAAATATCTACATATATATAAAATATTTTTTTAAATATTCTTATACGTATATTTATCGTATTTTATCGTATTGTGTAATCTGCGAATGAAGCTATGGAATGTTATATGAAGTTGATTGTATTCTTGTTCTTGTATCTCCGTCATCGGCGTTAAACTGAACGTGGCAGCAGCAACTTGCAGGAAAGCTGAAGTAATCGCGGACGATCTCATCGTTTTCAGAGATGGCTGACAACTCGCGATAAATGTATTTCTGTTTGCATGCCGTGATATATCCCTCAGCAAAACCGTCAATCATCCTGCATTTATTATTTTCTTCTCTAGAAATAGAATATATTATTTTTCAGCTATTTTTCATTAATATTCTACCTTATACTGACAAACTATTTTATACTCATTGTATGTAATTCTCTGTCATTTATATTACATATATATATTTACTACATATACATATATATTATAAATATTAAAAAATTGTTATAACTTTTTTCTTCTTATTATGTAGCACTTACTTGCAAGTTTCAATTCGCACACTTTGAGAAAAATTCATCTCATTTGATTGGAGGATAAAGCGCCATTCATTTTTCAAGTTTTGAGCTGTTTTTGGACGAATTACTCGCTCCTAAAAATTAATTATTTTTATGTATGTTTGCAAAATTTGATTTAATATTGGAAATAAATCATAATTTAAAAATGATTTTACCTGAGAGAGACAAAGTGGTTCCTCACTGAGGTCTGTTCGTGGTGCAATAGTTAACTATTAACAAGCAAAAGTTTAAAAATAAAAATTGCATGTTTTACTAATTATATTATTTTAATAAATTATAAATTATCGATTTACTAACAATATCCTCGTATGCGTACTGCAACAGGCTGGAATCGGTCGCGAGTGCTTGATTCACAAATTCTTTGGGATAATTCAAGACATTTTCGCAGAAGGTTTGTTGCTTGTCGCAATTCGCTGTTGGACCAATTAAATTTATGTCACCATTGCCATTACCGCTTCGCGCTTGCAACACATCATCCGGAAATACAAAACTACTGTCAATATTCGTATGTCGTTTGTCATCTAAAAAGCCATATTCACAAAAATATTATGTTTAACGCAAGATTACAAGAAGGAAAACATTAATGTCTGAATTATAAAAATCGTAAGTAGAAAAATTTTAATTTTAATAAAATTTTATTTTATATAACTTTTTTGTATAAATTGTCGTAATAATCGTTTTATGATATTTATGACATTACCTCCAAAACGCGAATTTATTTTTTTCTTTACATCATTATGATCGTAATACGATTCTTCGGAGATTTCTATTGGATATTCTAATTGCTCGCTATTAATGCGGCTATCATAGTATTGTTTGTAAGTATTATATCCATGATAAATGTCAGCTTCGAGAACAATCTGAAATAGGTGAAATGTGCTTCTTTAATTTTTCATTTCTTTATCACTTTTTGTTTGACCTCATCCAAATTTAATCCTACATTTCTTCTTTATCAATACAATATCTTGTACAATATCTCGACAGTAATCTTGATTGATAAGTTTAAAGCTACGCTTTATTTTCTAAAAAAAAAGAATAATTGATTATATATAATTTATCTTGAATAAATAGAGAGATCGATTACATATCAGTGAAATTGATTTTTCAACTCTTTACTTATCTGATTGCACCGATTTGTGTTTTACTTACATCATGTCAAATATTGTGATTTTATTTCTTATTGAATTTATTACATACTTAATATTACATTTAATACTACTTAATATTTCATTGACCAATTAACATTAATAAACATGAATGTAATAGCCTTTTACGCAAAATATGAACTGCATGTTTAAATACTTGATTTCTTAAACGTTTAATTAAAATAATTTAAAATTAGTTTTTACACATACTGGTAAAATGAGGATTTCCATCAAAAACACTGTTGTAAATTTTTTCAATACCATCATTATAATTGTTTCTCTTTCACTCACACGATATAATATACAATGTAAAATTGTCAAGATATAACAATGTAAAACCGTCAAGATATACCTATGCAAATTATCAATATTATACTGAAGCAAATAACTTGGCTGCTAAGAAAATAAGCTATAAGTAGCTTTCTTCGCGGACTACTCAAACTGATTTGGATACATGACGACTTCCGATTGTAGGTTTGCTGTCGGTTTTTCTTATCTAGCCGCATTATTATCTGCTTCCGACAACTTATCTAGAATCATCAAATCGGGAGTAAGAAATCGGTCGTTTGTATTTTTTTTGCAATGAAATCAGTTATAATAACAGAAGAAATAAACAATAGATATAATAAACTATAAATATCAATATAAATAAAATAAGATATAGAAAAAAAGAAATTAAAGAAAATACTTCATTCTCTGATATTAATTTTAACTAAAAATTGAAGAATTAAAGAGATATGTAAGAACTTCTAACTTTGTAAAATATATACATTTATATACAATACATATGTAATATATATATATATATATATATATATATATATATACACACACATATATATATGAAATTTATATTTATTAAAGGGGGAAAATTAATTCTAAAATGTTTGAATTTCTCTCTCTCTCTCTCTCTCTCTCTCTCTCTCTCTCTCTCTCTCTCTTTCACGCATTTTCATATCTCATTTATTTTATCATTATTATCTCCGTGTCTTTATATGTGATTGAATGCCAATTTACTTCATGACATTTGAAATTTCTTATATTTTTGTATTTTATTTATAATTTTCTTTTATCTCATTAATTTCTTAATTTTGAATTTTCTTTTATATTAATTTTATTTAATGTTAATTAAAATTTGTTACTGTTTATTTTTAATTAAAAGAAAATCAATAATCTAAAAAATATATAATTTGAGGAAATATGAAAAATAAAAGAATCAAAATTTTAACGATCTGTATTAACGATTCTTGCGAACATTCTTGACAATTTATCTAAATTATATATTGTTCACGTAGGTCAGTCAAGAATCAGGATATATATATATATATATTTAATTAATGTTTCATCACATGATCAGTACATGTGGTCAGGATTTGCATACAGACCGCGGACAGGAAACTCGATGATACATTCTTGCACGAGATAAATCTTACATTAGCTAAGAGTAGCTGTCTTTTAATTTTACTCTTAATTTCAAAATTTTACTTTATTTCTGCAAAATTGATCGTCATTTTAATTCACGCAATTATAGATGATTTTAATTTGTGTATTACCCTAACAGCACACATGTCCGAAAGATATCCAAAGGATATCCATAGGATATCCATAGAAGATCGGGATATTCTATGGATGTCCTTTGGACATCTTTCGGACATGTGTGCTGTTAGGGTATTAATTATTTTAAAATAAGAAATTCGTAGTTGTTTTAATTTTAAATAAAATCTTACACTAAGGCAATTCTTAAATCTAATTCTTTAATTAATTAATCTTTTACACTTTTTTCGAAAGAGAAATATAATTTTGCGTGAGATGAGCTATCGTCACCGTCACATGATAATGGTCTTTATTACATCACTGAAAGATTTTTTTTATTACATCATCATTGAAAATAAAGTATATTCTAAGTTCATTTTAAAGTTAATTAAAATTTTTAAATCAATTAATAACAACACAGAAATACAATAGAAACATAAATAATTAAGAAACATAATGTCCTTTTTAAAACGAGATGTACAAAAAAAGCCTTTCTTATAAAAATTATATCTCTTAGATCATGAAATATTAAATTATAACTTTAAATTATAAGTACCTAATTCTTGTTTTAGTGAAATTCTTTGTAACGAATATTTTACTGTTGTTTAATTCATATTGAAAAAGGAAGACCATTATTTTCTATACAAGAATATGGGAGCCGGAATTGTCGCATATCTTCCCCACCTCCAAATTTTTTTTAATACATGCAGTGACATCTTGCAGTGTTATATACGAAACGACATAATGCACAACGATGTTGGTAAAAACACTCGCTGTTAAAATAAAAAAATAATGGCGCATAAAAAACGCCCGATTCTCGAAATAGAAATCGTGTTGATCGTACATTGATAATGCAGAAAGGTCTATCGTAATACGTATTGGCAGGAAAAACTGACAGTCACGCACATTTGAAGTCTGTTGTATGGCTCTCTGGGTTCCTTTTGTGTCACAGTTTGAATCCAAGAGATATAAATAGCAAAATGAATAAATGATCGTAAACCGATCAGTCTTGAACTCGGGTCATTAATTTTCTTTGAACGTCTTCAAATCAATCTTGCTTCATCATGCGCATAAGGTGCTCGATGCGGCTCGTTTTTTCGCGATGGTCACGAATTTCTCTGAGTCACACTCGTGGTTTGCCGTTGTTTGGCAAACACATAGGATATGATTTCAAGATCCTCTAAATTGCTCGACTGTCTTCCCCAGCTCGTTCTTCGCCGGGGACAGTGAATGTCGCCAAGTATATTCACCAGCATCCATGTGAATAAACGGCATCCGGTTCGTTCACCGGACTCGAAGCAGGTGGTCGCAGCACAAAAACAGCTGGATCTTTTCACCGATCTTTTTTGCTCCCCTGTAAAATTACATGATCGTGCAATTGTATTATCGTCACGATGAACATAGCAAAATCCACCATCGTACTCTTGGTCTTTGTGCTGATGTTGTCCATCTTTGTGGCGAATGTAGCTGATCTTATTAGTGTTGATTCTCGTCTACCGGACGAGACATTGGGAGACAATAATGGAGAGATACGGTGGTCCAGGCCGAAGTATTATGACATAGGAAATTCATACGATCACTTAATATGGTTTTTACAGGTTTGTCTGTATTATATTTTCATATCTATATCTTATTTAAATTAGTGGCAATATGCGATACAAATTATATATATATTTTTAGTACGTCATTATATTCTAAAGATATATTACATAATATTTTTTTGTTATTTTTAGATATCCGATATACACATAAGTATCTTTAAAGATCCATCTAGGATATCAGAATTAAAAGAATTTTGTAGTATGACGGTAGATTCAATTAAGCCTGCTGTTGTTCTTGCTTCAGGTAATTCATATTTTACAGTTATATAATTGTACCAAGATACTATGTGTTTATTGACCAGAAAAATTACATTAATATTGTTTCAATAGGAGATTTAACTGATGCCAAAAATATAGATGAAATGGGTTCTAAGCAAATACTCGAAGAATGGCAATACTACAAATATGTAATAGATGAGACTAAAATCAAAGAAAAAACATTATGGTTGGATGTCAGAGGAAATCATGGTGAGAGGGACAAGCATTTCAATTATAATGCATATACAATCGCACAAAATAAATCAAAGAAAAAAAAATTTGCATTACACAAATTTATCTACTTTCAGATAACTTCAATGTGATCAATCTTGATTCCAAAAATAATTATTATTCCAATTATTCTATTCAAGGAAAGAAGCATCCTAGATCTTATATGTATAATGTTAATGCTGGTTCTGAAACATACTCTTTTATTGCAATTGATGCTTGCTTGAAACCAGGCCCCAGAAGACCATTTAATTTTGTTGGTATTTTAGACCAACAGGAAATTGATAAGATACAACAATTAGTCAATCAGTCTAAAGAAAGTAATGCGGATCATGCAATTGTATTTGGCCATTATCCTACATCATGTATATTGTCACAATCTAATACAAATATCAGAAATATTTTAGGTAAGGATATTATATATATAAAAAAGATATAAAAAAAATAAACTTTTGATTATTACTTTAATATTATATAAATAAAATCATATAATAAATTCATTATTTATTATAAAAGGTAGATATCAAAAGAGTATGGTGTACCTATGTGGCCATTATCACATGCTGGGTGGCATGGTACCTAACATGTATACATTACAAAAAGCGGGCTTCCTTGAGCTGGAATTGGCAGATTGGAAAGACAACAGAATGTAAGGACAAATGCACTTTTGCATAAGTAAAACAATTGCCAATACATAAATTTCATTTATTTTTATATTCTATAATGCTTTACTAATATTATATATAATATTGAAAAGGATGAGAAGGGGAAATTACTTATAAATAACCAAAAAAATTATTATTTTCTGTTATATCAGAATGAATTAACATAACTCTTATAAATGTGGCTTAAAAGAGCACGTTATATTTTTAGTTCTTGTAATAATTAATAATAAATAAAATTTATATTTCTTTTAATTTACATGAAACTAAATATTTTGCTTTGCAATTGGATCATGCAAACTTTCCTTTGTTTTATACACAGTGCATTATTTACTATTTTTCATGTAAATGTGAAATAATAAATTAGATCATGCAAACATTTTTTTGGTTTATATGCAGTGTATTTATTATTTTTGAAATATAGTTACGCTTCTTTATTTAAATTTTCTTTATTTAGTTTAAATAAACGCTTTTACTTGACACACACGCTTATTATTAGGTATCGCCTCGCGGCAATAGATCATGGCCAGTTCTCATTCATTGATATAAAGCACAATGACTGGCCTGTAGCATTAATTACCAATCCAAAAAATATGCTATTTATGATGCCACAAAAAGAAAATTCAAAATCTATTATTACATCCACGCACATCAGGTAAACGCATTTCTATTAATGCTGATAATTCTTTTTAATTATATGAAATATGTTTAACTTATAAAATTTAATCCTTATATTATATTTGATGCAGAATACTAGCATTTTCTACGGTTTCATTGAAAACTGTCGAAATTCAATTGGATCATGATGTTTGGCAAAAATGTGATCACATAAAAGGTCCTCTTTATGTATTATCATGGAATTCGACAAAGTACAAAGAGGGTATTCATCAGATAACAGTTCAGTAGATGATTCGATTACTTATAAAAATTAATTAAGATATTATTTTTACAAATGTTGTTTATATGAAATTATTTTACATTTCAGGTTCGTGTAATTGACAAAGAGGGTAGAGAAAAAGTTAGATCACATTTTTTTTCTCTCGATGGATCATGGTTATCATCACGCATTTTGCCAAAATTAGTACTGATGTTCAATGTCGTTCACATCGTAAGTTAGTTACGATTAATTAAACTTCTATTTCATGAAATATATAATAATTTTATCATGTTTTTTATAGTTTCAGTTTTTATTTGCTGTAACATTGGCATTATCAGTAGTGCCACTGTGCTTACTTCGATGTCTTCACATATATTACAAAAGTAAATATATGTAAAACTTCTAAATCTTATATTTATATTTATATTGTGCTATAAAGTATATACTGAAAAAGCTTTTTCTGATCTAGATAGAAATATGCATAGACCACGATTACGTATCAGATTTTTTCATTTGTGGCTTAGAAAATTGTGGATATTATCCACCATTGATAAAGCGTTTTATGGAATGGTATTATACTCATTGTATTTAAGTGTTGGTACGTGCATATAAATACATGTATATAAATACATTGGAAAAACTTGCTAAAATGTAATAATTATACAATTTGACATTGATTCCAGGTCCATGGACTGTGGGAGAAATAATCGAAGATCATATAGGTGTGATCTTTGTATGGGGAATATTCATTGGAAACAGATATCTACCAGGCGGTTTCACTTATGCCTATGGGTATTTTCAATTATGTTGTTTCCATTTACCGCTTATGCTAATTATAGCGCATCGAGTTGATCGTAGGTTCGTGATATTATAATATAATAATATTGTCACATTATGATTAAAGAATTTATTCTAATGCTCGTAATTATCTTTTAGATTACAAGAAGCTGAAAATCCTGCAAGACAATCCATATCGAAATTTCGTTTAATTTGGCAATATGTTCCAATTTGCTTGTTAATCCTCATACAATCTGTTATGGCCTATTTTTTATATCTAGAATATGGTATAATAGCAATATTATTATGTCCATTACGAACTGGGAGTATTATCATAGCAGCACTATTGTGTTATTATGTGAACACAATGCCATTCTCACATTTAAGGTTTGTATTGATATTTACATTATAATGTATTTAATGTTCTAATTATCTATTATCTATTATCTATTTTAAGGTCCGCTGCATCTGTATGGTCTCCTCATGGTGCCATCAATAACAATAATGCAATTTAATTAATAAGAATGATAGAATTATGAGGGAATGTTGGTAAGTTAATGATTCATATGATTATTGCACTTGTGATTATTAAATTTACAAGAAAGTTTTGAATAGATTTTCTATTATAACATGCATTATTATATTTCACACAAATAGAGATTGAAATTAAAAAGCCAATTAAAATGATCACGTAAAAATACCTGAATATTTTATGTTAAAAAATTCTAAATATTTTTTGTTTTATTACATATTTTAAAAGTCTCTTTTAAACATTTTGTATTATATAAAGTCGATGTTCCTTTAACAAGTGCCACATTATTTTATATTCAAATTTAATAATCTTAATATATAATTATTAATAATTATAATTATTAATAATTATATTTAAATAATACTATATGATTATTAATAATTATTATTAATAATTATATATTATTAATTTAATAATATATATTATTATATATTATTAATTTATTATTATATATTATTAATTTAATAATATATAATTATATTATAATTATTAGGAATTTTTAAACTAATAATTTATATTAGTTTTTTTTAACTGCATATGCTTCTGAAGCAAATATTGCAATGTGATACTTAATATTACTACTTATTGATATGATTCTGCATTAATATAACCATTACTATCTTCTACTTCCATATTGTCCAAAGTTAAAGCACAAAAGTTCCTTTCTATAGAGAAAAATACTCATTTTTATTTATTTTTATTTTTATTTTTTTTATAATGTGAAGTCAAATTAAAACATAAGAAGAGAGAGATACAAATACAATATATTTATATATTATAAATGTTGCTATATATTTATATCTCTGTCATGATTTGTCTTTTCTCTGTAAAATTAGAGCTATATTAGAACAACAGAATGTGATATTTTCCATTTTAAACAATGGAATCTTCAGAAGACAAAGCTATATTGTAATTTTAGTGTTCTTGTTCAGAATTTTTAACTAAATATCCTAATCACTTTCCTGTGACATATATTTTTCTACTTCTCTATATATTCAAGAGCCACATTGTATTTTTTTCATAATGGTACTTTAGATATATTTAAAAACAATCATCAGATTTATATATATATAAACTTATGTGTTAAATGTCTTTGTCATGGATACATCATCAAAGATAGCCAAGCTATATTAGACAATTTGGAGTTTAAACAAACGTAAACTTGTCTTTTTGTATAAAACAAAGTCAAATCATACAAAGTGCATCAAGTATACTGACAATCATACTGAATTATGCTAATTTAGAAATAGCAATTAGATTTGAAATTTTTGTGCCATTTGTATACATTATATAATGCAAAAAGATTGGCTATCTTTGATAGATGTGGAAACAAGAAAACGGTGAAAGTAATATTATTCTATTAAAGTGTGATTATGTGTTACCAAATATGATCAAACATGTAACATCACATATGTGAGAGACTTCCTTTAATATTCAGTAGTATATGTATGTAACAATAGATGAAATAAATATTTACGGAAGACATGTGTGCGAAGATGTGATACCTTAATAAATTTAATTAATAACTTTATCATATCAATTTTCCTTTTTGCGATAAACTTTTTTAAAAAGAAAAAAATTACATTTTCGAACCGACGATCGAAAATGTAGTTTTTCAATCAATATGTTATCGATCTCTGATTTTTACGTGAAGTACAGATGCCGCTGCCATTTAATCAATTCGCACACTTTCACAATTCATACACACGATACGCGATTCCCAGTTTTCATTCACTGTTGTGCGTTGCCGGTTTATGTCGAGCGAGGTATTTCGCTCCCTGTGATTGTCACCTCGATCCTAGAATAGTTTGTAAAAATGAGTAAACATCATACACATGAGATAAGTGAGCATCCTGAGGTTCAATGGGCTCTGGAGCTACTTAAGCCAGATCCCAATTATAAGGCCAGTATACTGCAGGACTATGCAGTTGAAATAATATGTGTGGGAAGCGGCTTTGGAACGGCATGTTTAAAAAATTTTCTTGGCCGCAAACCGTATTACGCGGGTAAATAATCATCACACAGTATTTTAATGAGATCATGAACACGAGATATGTTCCGATATATATATATTTTTTTTTACATTTAACCTCATTATGCTATTACATAACGGTTGTATATGTTAGTAGGTAGCAATCAATTTGCCTAATTATTTTTATTAAAATATTAAATAAGTGGAAAAAAATTTCCACTGAGATTTTATAATAATTCCTCATGAATAACAAAATTGCATAAAGTTTTTGTCGACTTTTTCATTTGTAACAGTGCATGCAATGAGAATTGAACTCTAATATAATATTATATTTATTATTATTCAGGAATACACTTACATATTGTATCAATGGCAATAGGATATGTTGCATCGCAAGCTATTAAGAAATACATTGACACTTATAAGGCCGAACGTGATAGTAAATTAAGGGATTATATCATACGACATCCAGAACTCTTTCCTGAACCAGGTAATATATCTCTTCTTATATTCTTAAAAAGAGATAATAAAGTGTATTAAAGAATAAACTATATCTTTTAACTTATATGAAATATATTTATACATAATTAAAGAAAAATAATCACTTGTTGGTTAATTAAACTGACTAAAAAGTTGTATGGTATTATCTTTTTTTTTTTTAGTACGTGTAAAATATAGTGAAATACTTGACGAATGGCATCCAATCCGTTAAGTAATCACTACAATATAGAAGTGACAGCAGCAACTTAATCGTGTGTTCTCTGATGTGAACAGACAGTACAGTTCAATGCAATGAATGTAGATGTATTGTGTGTATGTACATATTAATAAAATTTATAAGATATATATAAAATATATTGTTATAATAGAGTAATAAGAAAATAAGATTATTACATTATTTTCAAAAAGTAGGATATAAATAAAGAAGTATAAATGTTATTTCAGACTTCTCCTCCAAATAATAGGCAGATTTTTGTAGAATTTTTCTAGCATCAAAATATTTTATTTTTTCTTTCAGATTGAGCAATGTTTAATGTTATAGATGCTTGTGAATGATGTTGACTTATGTATACACTCTATATAGGAATAACATAAGTTTACGTACACTGATTTGTACATTTGGAAGATACAAATTAATATTTCATAAAATTTTTGCAATATTAAAATAAGTGAGATGCTTTTGATATGATTGATAACAGATTTAGCGCGAATCCACAATATTTGTTTTGATAACAATGAACAAAACACAATCTACTTGCACTAGAATTAAGTTTAATTCATTTCAGACTCCTATTTCTTCTCAGGATTATAATTGTCATTGTATAATCCTGTACCTTTAGAATCTCCTAGCCAGGGATACCTGTTTGGACATTCTCTACATGTTTCCATATACCTGTTAACATAAATAATGATAATTTTGAATACTTTTATAATTTTAACTTTAATCATAACTTTAGCAATAAGAATTGAGTAATTCTTCATATGTAGAATTAAATCAATCTCTACCTCGTTGTTGTGAAATTTGCTTCGGCAGGCTTAAAATCTAAAGCACACTTATGTGGATTATTGCATGGTGGACCTGGCAAGTTCTCTTTCTTCTTACATGACCATCCTTCAAAATTATGCAGAGCTTTGATCGGTTTCGGATCGGTCATCCATGTTAATGCCTGTGTGGCGGTTACAAAATAAACATCAGGTCTGTAAAAATATTCATAAATTATTTTATTAAAAAATGTTAGATATTTCTTAATAAAAACATATTTCATGTATTTTTACTCACAGTGTTACCACCCAATCGAGGAATTTTGACAGACCACGTTCAAGCTCTTTAATTTGGAACCAATTAGTATGGAAGGGCATCATGTATGGTGCTCTATTCTGCTCGTAATATCTGTTAAAATCTTCCTGCAACCATTCAAATACTTCTTCAGGATCATGATTATGAAGCACACATTGATCCAAATAAGGACAATGGCCACCTTCATAACTCTCCACATAATGTGCATTTAGGGGTAGCTCCCAAATACCTGATAATACACAAATATTTTTTTTTTAAATATTACTGTATTAAAGATACTACTACTTATTTAACAATATGTTTTTTCTATTTTTGTCTTTTGCAATTTCAGTTTCTATATTCATATTTTACATTGATAAAACTGAATCTTCATCACACTTTTATTACCTTGGAACGATTTGGTGGGACAAGTACCCGCCTTACATTCATGTGGGATCTTGTAATCAAGAGTATACGGCCAGATTGGCACTTTTAAGGGCGAGATTCCTATACTACTGTCATATATGTATCCAAAGTCCTCCAGTACCTTGTACTGAGTGTTGCGACCGGGTTTCAAGTAAGGCGCTCGCATACCAACCACTTCACTAGTCGAAATGTTACTGAAGTGTTTTAGTATTTCACGCATCCCGATCATTTCGCCGACCCATTCTTCGTAGCCCTTGTCCTCCAGGCCTTTCTGAAGCCTGAAAGATATTGCTTTGTCAGCATAACGAATATTTCGACGCAATTTAAATGTATTCACTCACGAGATCGTCTCGGTTGCAATTTCATGACCATCGTGCGCCAAACTCTGAACCATATTATAATTGCAATACTCGTGAGAGAGAAAGAAAGTGCCTCTTAACGGACAATTGTTGGGATTCAGACGATCTTGGGTAAATATCTTCTGATAATGATCGAAGTTGTTATGATTTATCGCACCGTCGAATGTCATTATTATCATTTGTGGTGTCTAGAATGATTCAAGATTCAATTGTAAGATGAAATTGTATCTATATGTATTTGAATAGATCTTTAGAAATCTTGTAAATCATTATGAAGATCTGCAATCAAATCATCATTTTACCTCTTCTGGTTGAAGACCGCCAGGAATAATTGTGCCGTCTCTGGAACAGAAGCAATACGGAAGCTGGCAGTTCGCCGTGTCACAACGCTCGGCCAAATCTGTAGGTGGTTCGGTGATTGGTGCTGGTGCTGGAAATTAAAAGACACTTATTACAGTTCAGAAAAATTACATATTTTGGTAAACGAACGAAGATTAGGAGTGACGCGCTTGAAAAGTAATTATATAAGTTTATTAGATGAATTGTTTTTTAAAAGTTTATTATTACCTCTTTAAAGTCAAGTTTTTTCGTCATTGATAATAAATATTTATAATTTTACGATAAAAAATATTTGCTCACTAGTCTCAATGGGTCCGCATCGTGCTTCGTTTTTGAAAGTGCAAAACTTGCTGATGTCATCAAAGTGCAAACCCGATGGGCATCGGTTTAGATACGGGTATCCATCGACGCACTTCCAGAAAAGAAAATAGGATAATTATGAGTTAAAATCGTAGCAAACTGATGAAGTAAATCATGCAATCACCTGATAAAATCTTCTGCATGTTGCCGGATCGGCGAAATTGCCATTACCCTGGCCTTCTGGACACCTAAATTCCTCGTCTTTCTTATCCTCGTCCTTTTTGCTCTTTTGACTATGCACTAAAATGAAGAAAGGCGAGAATTGTGAACGAATGTGCAATACGAGGTAACGATTTTTCATAGATACACGACAAATATATTAATATATATTTCATAATATATATTTCTCGTGAAAGTAAGCATTTCATAATTAATCAATTTTACGCACGAACTTAAATTTCATCTTGTTGCGCAAATCGAAATGTTTTTATTCGTCCGCGAGAGCGACGAATTTTAGCAATCTATTCCGATTACGAAGGAAATTTGAATTTAAAAAATTTTTTTAGGAATAAATCATATGGTTGTACAATCATACAAGTAGAGAAAAATGCTCGAAAGCCATGCTTAAGCCAGGAAAATGTCAAGGTTGGGATCACTTGTTCTAAACACGTTTATGCTCGAGTATTTGCGCTCTTGTGTCCTGGATAGAGTCAACTGACTCAGTCAAGTATCTACGTTCCACTTTTACCACGTTCTTTCTGTCAACTGTTGTTACGCCTCGAGAACCGCACGATTACGATCAATAGCGACAAAGCGGTGACTTTAATGAATGGATGATAATTATATGAACTGGAAGTTGTATAACATCTTAAAAAAGATATTTTTTGCATTAAGTTTTGAAATTTACACATCAATTGTGTTTTAGAAGTTGAATTAAGTTAAGAATTGCAAGATATTAATTCTCGTATTTTCGATTTTGATTGACTAATTGTATCATTATGTATTACATCATCGAGACAAAGAGATAAAAATGGCACCTCGCATATACAGAAAGCGTATAGAAAATATAGGCGGGAGAAATTCCAGAAGAGAGGTTTGAGAAAGCGAGAAACATGATTGTGGGCATTCCAATATGTTTGGACACGTGAATACGTACGGACCAATGTTCGAATCGTTAATTTATTTATGCTTCTTTTGGCGAAATGCATCGCATTAAAAGTGTTTTAAAAGAGATGCTTATCGCATAAGCACATAGTAAAATAAATTTTCAGTATTAGCATATCTTAAAATCCATTGTATATGTTTTATCGTATTTTCATGTTGAAGATTTGAAACTCAAATAGAAACCTATGTATATCGGATGTTCAAAAAAATTTTACATCTTCATAGAAAGTTGAAGTTTCAACATGCGTGAAATGCACATTTTATTACTAAATAGTTTTTATTATTCCTTTTAAATGTTAATTTGAATTCCAAAAATTTCCTAAAAGAATATTGATATAAAAATTTAAATTCACTACAAGTTAATTTCATCGCGTGATGCATCATTATTTTTACTACTAAATAGTTTTTATTATTCCTTTTAAATGTTAATTTGAATTCCAAAAATTTCGCAAAAGAATATTGATATAAAAATTTAAATTCACTACAAGTTCATGCTACAATTTCATCGCGTGATGCATCATTATTTTTGGTTAGCCAATTAAGTATGTATCGTATGTATACTTTTACATGGAACGCACAAAGAATTTTCAAGTACCAGAAGAGTTCTTTAATTATTCCATGCGCGATTGTACGTTCGTATTCACAATATGCGCAAAAATTGCACGTTTTTTTCGTTTTAAAAAAGGCTTTTGTAATATACGTTCGCGCAGTAATAAGCGAATATATGTATACATGCTTGAGAGCTATGCAGAATGCAATCAAAGTTTCTTAAATAGCTCGCATTTTTCTTAACAATAAAATTAATAATTAAAAATTTGATATTTTTTAAAATTATATTAATGACTTATTATTAAAATTTAGATAGGAATCAATAAGACGGAAATAGGAAGAGATACGAAAAACGAGCGAGTATAATGAGAGAAACTGTACGATGCATGATCAATGGAGATCCGAAGATATTAAAAATGATGTGCAAGACCTCACATATAGAGAGAAAGTAGCACCTGTGAAGATTCTTCCCAATGACCTTATAATCGTGTAGCACTTTTTTATTCTGTATGTCCCTTTTATTCTAATAATAATAATAATATTGTAATTAAATTAAAATTAGATAATACGCATTTAATTATGCATCTAAATGTGACGAAGATTATGTTTTTTAAACATCACACGCACGCCAGTCAATAGCTCCGTTTAAATCTCGATGAGGTAAAATAATTGCATGATGATTCACAATAAACTACAGAGTTATTACTGCACATTCTCGCGCGAGATTAGAGATTACATCTGAGGAAATACTCAATAATCGTGTAACTTAAACGTGCTATAATTAAAATCCTGCAATGTCGCGAAATCGGCGAATTCACTTTCGCCGAACTTCCATAACGTATAGCGGATGTTTGTATTCGAAAAAAAACTATTTGAAATGAATTTAAAAAAAAAGATTATTTAAAAAAACTTATTCTTGTTGAGGAAAATTTCTAATCTACGAAGCCAGGATGTGTATTAATGAGATTTCGGAATTTTCTTAATTTTGTCTTGCCTAATTCTTGATAAATAATGAATTTAATAAAATGCAATTTCGTAAATAATTTTTCCTTTAGTTCTATATATATATTTTGTAAATAATCTTTTCTTCAATTCATCTATTTTTTACAGGATACCGATAACGAAAGCGAAATATATATAACGTAACTTGTCAAGAGAAGTGTCTGCATTTACGGATGTCAAAAAAGATTTGTTTAGCGGTAAAGTGGAAAGTGAAGGTACACCAGTGCATGTTGGCAATGACGTTTTCTCGCTCAGATACAACATTTCCTTCTATCATTCAGACGTATGCACATATATACGGCTGCACGTACGTATGTACACACGCATGTACATACACTATATGCGCGTAAAACAAATCTTATGTAAACGCGAGTGAAATTGTGCTGATATACCAAATTCGCCAGTGTCATCTTTCTCTTCCTTACAATTTTTTCCTATTTTTATTTTATTATAAATTGATTGAAAAATTCTTGTTATCAAATAAATACATATTTTTTATCTTTTTTTATGTATATGTATAATAATCTAGACCAATTTTTAAGTATGAAGTGTTTCTAATTTTTTGTTTCTTAATTAAATAAATATCATTCATTTTCAGGAAATTTATCTTGGTAATAAAAGCATAAATATAGAATGTGAGAGAACTAATTAATATGTAATTATTTATTGGATCGAGAATATTTGTATTTATATATTTCCTTGATCGCATGACGTTATTGATAAAAATATCAGCCATAAAGAGAGAATTGTAAAGAGAAGACTAAGAAAAGATGCCGAAGAATGCTCCTTGAAGGATACTATCGACCTAAAGAAAAAAAATAAAGAAAAAGACAAAAATGACATGTCAGTAATGACCTGCTAGAACTGGTCAGACCGAGAGAAGCCAGACTATCAAGTCAATATACACTTCAAGAATCCAACAGACAATCGTCTGGGAATTTCGTAATTTTTGAAAGCGACTGCTGCTAGATACGGACGATATGTCAAGTATTGCTGCGCGAGTGGGAAAAGGAATTTTATCAAGATCAACAAAAATTTAAATTAGAATTTCGTAATATCCGGAAAACGACTATTACATGTTGAATAATATCGAAATGTCAAAGAGAAATGTCGCGTGGCGCCAAGCGAGAATTTTAAACAATTTCTCTCATTTTCTGACTTTCTCAGATGCATATAATCTGATCTCTCAGAACAGGAACAAATTAACAGAGAGAAAGGTGATCGATGTAGGGAATAAGCGAGGGCGCGCCTACCTGCTACAATAGTCAAGACGGCGCAGAGGAGCGCCGTTTCCTGGAGTCTCATCGTTCCGCGTCTCGATGTCCTGGACGAGAAGCCGTGTTCCGTTCGGGTTTGGCTCGCACGTTCAGCGTCGTTCAACTCGTGCGATCACCGCGATCACCGGGGGGAGAACGTATCATTAGCCGATCGCGACCAATCGACCCACCAGGCTGATCCGCTGCCACGACACTGTCCGATATACGCCGTTGCCATCGGCGCGGCACTTCTCAGGAACGAGGTACCGTTCTCAGCTCACATTGGCTGACTACTTTCTACCGGCCCGCCGCCGTAAATCGACGAGAAAAGCGTGTCTCTCATATCAGACATATCACGACATAGCACGCATGTCGCAGCGTGAGATGCACAGTTTGCTCGCGGTTGATGTTGCCTCCGACCATCTCGTCTTGCTTTCAAAACAGGGACAGATTGCCCCGCGGCAATATTTCTTCGACAGAAATCGCAAAGATCATTCGAATTGATGAAATTATATCAACGATAATTATGTTTATTCGCTGGAGAACATTGGACGCGATCACTGTTTCTATGTAGAAACGTAGTGTGTAATTGTATAGTTGCAATGTTTTTATTTAATATTGAAAAAGAGATTTTTATCGAAATCTTCATGTGCGATATGTACAATAATGTTCGCGTAACCCGATAATATTAAATACAAATGTGCATGTTAAACTTGCACAATCTTAATTATCCTATTAATCACAATTCTATACTATTATATAGATATTAAAAATATGAGTTTCTTTGTCGAAATGCGCTATTATGGAAAGCTCATTGCTATTAATTCTAAATGATAGAAAAAAACATATCCGTCTTTCCTAGAATTTTAACAACATGAGAATTCTTAACAAAGTGATTTAGGAACCGGTCGGAAGAATCTTCTCGCAGATGACTCATAACTCGATTTTAGCAATTTGCGGTCCCTTTTTACGCTTTTCTTTTTTTACAAGCTTCTTTTTTATGGTATTTTCATTGTACTCTTTTTTATGTTCGTATCCAGAGCGTGTCCAGCGGTTTTTATACGGATTAGAATAGTTCGGATCCCGTTCCGTGATACTCAGCTCCTGCTTGACTAAGTGAATCATCGTGATGGTCGATTTGTTCAGCAAGTGACGCATCTGATTGGTAAAGTTCAAGGACCAGTGTATCGTAGGATTCCATTTCTGCTGCATCTTCAGTATTCTATGAGTGATTTCCGGCAAATGCAGAATAATATCTCCAAAGAACGCAGTGTTTTCCAGGATGCTAGATAATGCTGTGACAAATATCTCTCTTTATTTTTTTATCATAACTTTTAATTAATTTTTTTCAATAGTTTTCATTAAATTCATTCCAAATATATACAATTAAATAATTATACCATCTTTGACATTGATATCTTTTGGAAAAGAGCTGTTATCTGGTATGAAATCGGCCTTCTCGATGATACTTTTACTGGATTCGATGACCTCCATTACTTTTTCAGCTAGCACCATGATCATTTTGTACAGCCGTTCGTAATTGTTTATTTTTAGGAGAGTCTGTATAGCTTCTATGTGCTCCTTACGTCGTTGAACGAATAGTTTTTTAACTGTGTTACAAAAAATTAAAAAGTTAAAATTAAAAATAATTAAGAGATGTTACAGATTAATTGTGCTTATCAATTTCATAATTTAAAGTATTTAAGATATGAAGTAATATATATAAACTAAAATGAAAATAAAGCACATTTATTCTATTTTCCAATGAAAAGAGTATCTTTACAATAATATAAATATGTAGCATTAACATTGTTCTTCTTTGTCATGCCTTTATACTTTTTTTAAATTTTTATTTTTATTTAAATCTTTAAGATTAAAATGTGTGTGTGTGTGTGTGTGTGTGACATGTCAAACTTGAAAAAAAAGAAAAATATAAATGTGTAAAAGATAGAGTTAATAAAATGCAAAAATGAAAAATAAAATTCAATAAACCATAGTTCATATACATAGTTCTTCATCGGATTTGGAGTCGCCGCTCTTTTGCGGCTCGTTGGTGATTGGTCCGTCATTTTCCACCTGCGCATGCGCGATAATTGCCAACACCATCACGATCAATGCAACAGCGTAAACGAAAACTCGCCGATTAATTCGTGACTGGAACATTGTGAAAAAATTTTGCCAGCAAGCAGACGATGTCACCGACTGATTGTTGCTTCACCGCTATTTTATCGAGGCATATTAATCGCGTGAATTAATTGATATGTCATTCGAACACAGCCACGCTGCAATCTTCACTACTTACGACACCGATGCCATCTGCCGAGAGTTTCTTATCCAGCCGAATGTCATTTCCAGCTTTCTGGATCGTCGAGAATTATCGGCGATTCGTCCCGATTCGCTCAAACCAGTCGATCGACGATCAGGAACATCACGAATAATCCGACATAAATGCGGCGTAATCTTCGTGATTTCATGTTGTTCTCGATAATAGCGAGTCGCAAGTGTAAATCCGCGAGGTAAGAAAATGTTACGTATTCGGCGAGCATGTCGTACACAAGGTGTCGATCGACTGTACACGTGACGATATTTTTCTTGATATGTTTAAAGTGCATCCTCGGGATCGTCGACGCTACGCGCTTCCTTCTAGTTCCTCGCAATAATTTATGTCCGCGTCGACAGTAAACATGGCGGCGATGGACGGCGAGACGAAACTTGACGCAAGTATCATCCTGTTGCAAATGTAACGAACATCATAATATTTTGAAACGTTTTACATTTTTCCTTGCCACGTTAGAAAGACCAGGAGAGCAATTTTTGTAGAGATATATTCTTATAAAAATATATATCAAATTTAATATTCGATATTTGTTTTAATAGATGTACGATGATGTTACGTACACTGTGGATCCGCAGCACATTGAGGGTGAGATGACAATAGGTACAAAGCAAAAATCAACAACTTTAGGAGAGCCAGAATTTAATACATTAGATGAACCTATCAGAGACACAATTGTAAGTGTATATTGTTCTATTACAACTTCAAAATTTATTTGTAGAAAAACATTTTTTTATATTTTTATATCGTTTCTATTCGATATAGTTGAGGGATGTTCGAGCAGTAGGCAAGAAGTTTTTCCATGTTTTATATCCTAAAGAGAAAAAAAGTCTACTTAAGGAATGTGAGTCTACAAATAATACCTCTCTATTGTATTAAAAAAAAAGACCTATAATATGTTATATATTTCAGGGGATCTGTGGGGACCATTAATATTATGTACATTTATGGCAATGTAAGATATATTTATATAAATATATATAACAAATCTATAAATCACTTATATTAATTTATAATTATTATTTAGGATATTACAAGGTTCAACTGATGCAGCAGATAATTCAAATGATGGAGGACCTGAGTTTGCAGAAGTATTTGTTATTGTATGGATTGGATCTATGGTCGTTACATTGAATTCAAAACTATTGGGTGGAAATATGTAAGTTAGATTATATGCTATGCATATGCGTGTGTATATTATGATTAACTTAATTGTTTTATAATTATGAAAAAATTAACTATTAAAAATTAATTATGATTAACTTAATTGTTTTATAATTATGAAAAAATTATATCTCTTTTTTAAATATGTGTAACAATTTAAATTTGCAGATCTTTCTTCCAAAGTGTTTGTGTCTTAGGATATTGTCTATTACCAACTGCCATTGCATTAATTTTATGCAGAATTATACTAATAGTGCAGCAAACTACTCTCTTATTTATCCTAAGATTCATAATCACTATGATTGGATTTTTGTGGGCAACATATGGTGAGTGCATTGATTTTATTATATTAATGATTACATTGATTTGTAAGAAACTTACAATTCAGTATATCTTATTCTTGTTATCTGAATAAATATATTAAAGTTTATGTTAATATTTTAGCATCTATGGCATTCCTTGGCGATAGTCAACCTACAGGGAGGAAAGCATTGGCGGTATATCCAATTTTTCTTTTTTACTTTGTCATATCGTGGTTAGTTATATCCCATACTACATAAAATGCAATGCCATAATCAATTTGTCACAAGACTGTTACATTGCTTTGGCCTTCTGTATGAGTTCTGAAAGATGAAAAAAGAAGGGACAGAAGGAAATGCAAGTATTTCATATATGATATTTTTCGTATTTGGACATATTCCAGTATCATGCTTTTGTGAATAATACACATATAGATATATATATAGTAGTCAAGTATTTATTATCTCTTTAGATTATCATTCAATATGTCAATTATAAGATTTCTAACTATATCCTAATTCTATTAATTGCACGTTAGCAATTAAGCTAAATTTATTGTACAAAAATATACTCTTTCTCACTGAAAAAGATGAAAAAAGGATTGAAATTGTCAGAATAGATATATTATACATTCAATTGAAACATAGACTAAGATTTACAAAAAATTGTTCTGTAAAAGTCATAGTCTATGTTTCAATTGAATGTACCTGGAATATAGATTAATAAAAAAAAAACATGCGATGTAGTATGAATAATGATGGCTTATATCATTGACTTTGAACTGCATTTGAATACTTCCTATACTTCCATAAATTTTAGTGATCATTTTTTTACTCTTTATCGAATCACAATTTTTTAATTATAACAAACGGTAGAAATTTTAAATATAATTTGTACTTTTCTGTACATGTACATTATGTATATATAGGGAATTATGTTTAAAAATCATTATATTATATACAATATTAAATAAAACAATCTAGTGTAAAATAAGAAACATCTTTTTCGTTGTTCATCTCATATATGCGAGAAGTATCTTTGCAATTTCTGCAAAAGAGTTTTACTATCGTAGTGTCCAGGATAGGCGAGCAACGACTTTTGTACTGCGATATAACTTGTCTGTAGATCTCCAACCTGCGTGTATGTATCAAACAAATGTATAATTATAATCGGTATACATAATAGAGAAGAAAATTAGAAGTAATTACCTCGTAAGCTAAATATGCGCTGTTAAAATGTGCTTCGTATACGTAGCTAGCGATGTTGGCTGCCGCGTGGAAATAGGTTCGCGCCGCGGTAACATTCCCATTACGCATTTCTATTACGCCAAGATTGTTATAGGCCAAAGCATGTCTATTATCGCTCGCAATGGCCAGCCTCAAGCATTCCTCGGCCATTATTATATCGCCCAACGTCTGCAATCGGGATATATCCTTTATAACTTATATTTCAAAATAATAGATTATGAATTATATGTACATACAATGGCAATGTGAGAAATGTTATACCACACATCGGCTAAATTTTCATCGGTTGCAAGATTCAATGCTCTCTCAAAGCAGGATATAGTATGATCGTATTGCTGAGCATAAAAGCAGCAGAGTCCAAGATTATTGAACAACTCGGCATTGTGTACACCCATCTGCAGGAGACGTCTGAAAGAAGAAATATATATATATATATATATATATATATATATATATATAAATTTAATAAAATAAAATAAAATATAAGGATTTATTGAGGAGTAAAAAAGTACTTACAATCTATTTATATTTTCAACGTTTTAAATTATATACATATTGTATACATATTACACATACCTGTAATAACGTAAAGCTAGCTCCGGCTGATCATTATAAAAGTGATGCATGCCTATACTGGCAATCGCTTCAGTGTGAGAAGCATCTTCCTGCGCAATTATCTTGTAATATTTCATGGACATTGTTGTATTATTCAGGCCCTCGAATATACGACTCATCTCTGTCAGAATTGTAACATCATTCGCGAAATACTCGAGGCCTCTCTTACACGTGTCTAGCGCAGTCAAGGGCTGATCGAGCCTGACGTAGACTCTGATCAATCGTAAAATAGTTTCGATATTTTTATGATTTTTTAATGCCGACTTGAATTGTTGTTCTGCATCTCTCACTAGTCCCAAAGTATAATAACACTTTCCCAACTGAACCTTCCACCACCAGTCTTTGTACTGACAGACTTGGGTCGCCTGAACAGCCAAGTCCAATGCCTGTGATATTTTATATTAGTTTAAAAAACAACGAATATATATTTAAATAATTTATACGTTATATATATGATATACACGCGCGCGTAACTCACATATCTCGCATCGTTTTCATGGTAATATATGTATTCAAACAACGGTTTCGCTATGCTTTGTTGATTAGCATATTTAGTTATATTCAAGCGCGATAACTGGATAAAGGGCCCACCCGGCTCCGTCAGCATCGACGCAGTACCAAGTCTTAAAAGACGAAGATTCACAATTTCAAGATTCAATTTTCTCTTAATATTTAATACATATGCATGAATGCATTGTATATATCCACCTAACACTACGTCCTGAGCTCGCTGTAATCGGCCTGGCAGTCATTGCTGTCCTCGGTGTTTTCAATGCTTGTTCAATCGATTGGGACATCGCTGCCTGAGTGGCGGGTCGCACTACCCCGGTAACAGGTCTACCTTTAGAATAAAAATTCCATATTTTATTTACATATATTATAATCTACTTAGACTAAAAATCCGAATTGACATTTTTCAGGTGAGCTATAACAAACCGGATTGAGATTTAGGTCGTACTCCTTGACCGGTGTAACTGGTACCGGGATTTTTCAATGAAGTCCCTGGCCTTGGCATCATTGATATCGCATAATTGTCTAACAGAGTTTCCGCAATTCCCTCCTCCTCGCCTTCAATGTCATCTACGTAGACTTGCAATGTTAAGGCACGCATTTTCAAGACCCACACAGCCTGGCAACCCAAGTTTCATGGTGATCCAAAAATAATTACTATTCTCTGCATATGAAAGAAAATGTATACCTGATCCAGCGGATTTTTTCTCAACAAATCGGTGCATATCGTAGCGCACGCCTCGTATTTCTGCCGATTGAATAAGCTTAAAGCTTGAAACAACTCCATATTCAATATATTGTAAATGTCGGAGCAAACATTAGCTTCGCCACATTGATCCGATTACACAGTGTTACTCTTATGCTTCGAGTCTTATACATCGCATATATCTATGTACCTATATAAGCGGAGTTTTATCGATTATTCCTTCCTTGCATTACTTCTTTTTTCAACGGTACAACAGAAATAATCAATTAGTATAACAATATATGATTGGTATTTGTTCTTAATCATGTGAGACACGATATAATTTTTGACATTTTCTCTTTATTGTAAATATAAATGAACAAAATTGATGTAAATATACCTTGATTTTCTAACATGATTTTGAGCTATTAAAAGTCATCATATTTTTATTTATTAGAAAATTGCAATGGCATTTGTTGGTAAAAATAACTCAAGGTTAGAGAAAAAATAATCAGTTGTAATTCGTAACGCAATTTATAAATATATAATTATTGTTGTAGTATATAATTATTGTTGTAGTATACGAGAAGAATTCGAACGATATTTCGAGAAGAAAAATATACAATCTTTGATGCATTTACATAATGCTTTTTTGGTACGCATTATACATATTAAGCACTTTTTTTATTATTATTATGAGAATATATATTGTTTGCACTTAGATGACAGAAAATAAAGAAATGGATTCTTCTTAACTATACGACGCTTTCCAAGACATCCTCGAGATAAAAATACCGCAGGTTGAATTTCAAATTCTTTTCAAGAAAGTTAGTTAATTGTTACTTTAATTGTTTCTAAAATTTCATATAATTGTCAATTTCAGATAGATGTAAGACCGATGGTAAAGTAACGTGGAACGAATTCATTTCCTATTTATTGATAGAATCCAGTGGCAGGATTTATATATTACAGGCTTTAATTTCTTTTTATCGAATACAATATATATAATGATTAGTATATAAATAAGAAATGGAAATTATGAATTATCAAATTATAAAAATACATACATAATTGTCACTCTATGAACATCAAGATATAACAATGAACAATTTGCCCTTATGTTTTTCACATAGATGTAATAGTACCTTAGATTTAATTATGACTTATTATTATATAATAATTAGTATATAAATAAGAAATGGAAATTATGAATTATCAAATTATAAAAATACATACATTATTGTCGCTCTATGAACATCAAGATTTAACAATGAACAATTTGCCCTTATGTTTTTCACATAGATGTAATAGTATCTTAGATTTAATTATGACTTATTCTGTTTCCATCATGGAAAAACGCGGTGGTGTTTTCCAGATTGCACTAGACGTACGTGCTAATTTTTTTCTATCTATACCAGTAAACATTTCAGCTAAATTTGGCGTACACTTACGAGTATCGAAAAATTTATAAACAATTTCCTGCGGAATGTGTCGTTGTATCGCAAGTTGCGTTTTACGGATTTGCGCTGCAAATTAAAAACGAAATATATAAGTTTTCTCCCAGATAGATATATACATATTTTATTTTATTTTTATTTAAACAATTTTTATAAAATACTAAAAAGAAAATACATACGCTGTGCCCAATAAGGTATCTCATGTTTCGGTCTACTTTCATCATCTGATTCATCATCATCAGGATCACTATCCAACATATAATGTGTCACACCTTGATTTTTATTATTGGCTTGTTTATCCTGGTTATACTAAAAAAAAATTAAAAAATCATTAAATATCAATAAAACTGTTTAATTATATCAATGCATAAACAGGGTCTTCTTTGACTTAAAAAATATTTGTTCTCACTTTAACTTGAGCAGCAATCATCTGATATTTTTGTTTTAATGCCTCAGCAGCTTGGGCTCCCGCTTCCGCTTCCTTACGTTTCTCAGCTTCTTGTTCTCGACGTTTTTGCTCGGCAAGCAAACGTTCCGTTTCCTCTTGTTCTTGCAGTTTCTGTAATCTTTGTTGCTCTTCCAGTTTGCGACGTTCTTCCTTCTCTTGCGCTCGCTGCAATTGTGCAAGACGCTTCTTCTCCAATTCTTCGCGTTGCTTTTCTTGCATCAAAAGTGCTAGTTTTGCCCTTTCTTCTCTTTCTTTTTCAGCTTTCTGTCGTTTTTCCAATTCTTGTTTTTCCTTAGCTTCTCTTGCTAATTTGTTTTTTAATTCTTTCTCTTGTCGTTTTCTAAATTTAAAATAAATGCAAAATATAATTCAACAATTGTATTATATTTCTTGCACTATAAAATTCTTATATACCTTTTCTTTTCTTCTGTAAGTAATCTCAAGGTTTCCTCTCTCTTCTTTCTTGCATCTTCCTCGTGCCGTCTTTTATCCCCTAATTTTTCTAATTTCTCTATTGAATTAGCTTTACTAATACTTTTTGGAGGTTGAATAAAGGAATCGATGTTACTAACAATATTCGTACGAGAAGCAGTTAATGTTTTCGGATACTAAATTCAAAATATATGTATATAAGTCTATGTGTACATAATGTATATGTCTATGTGTAAATGATAAATATTTTAGTGTAATAGAATTGTAAACTAGTCTCACATTTAAAAGATTCTGAGCATGTGAAGGAGTGTGAATACGATTTCCAGACATTAAAGGCTGGATTATTTTTGTCTTGCTTAAAGGTGTCACTTTTTGCAGTTGAGTTTGCTTTAGATTTGGTTTATCATTCAACAATGATTTAACAATTTGTTCTGACATTTGTTCCGTATTCTGAAAGAAAAAATTCATTATTAATGGAAAATATCAGTGACAAATGCTAAAAAAAATGGATCATGATATAAATGAAAGTTAAGTAATATAAATAATTATAAGATAAAATTAAGTATAGATGTATGTTTTTACCTCTTTAAATTCTTCATTGCCTTTCTTTTGTTTTGCTAATGAAATTCTCTTTGCTTTTGCAAGTGACTTACGAGCTAACATTTGTGCAACATTTTTCTCTGTATTTCTCATTTTAGCCTCAGTCTCTGCAGCAATCATTGCACGAGTTTTTGTTCTAGTTACTCTAGTTGGAATGTCTACATCGACTGACTTGGGACTATACATTACTGCTTGCTCAAAAGCTTCAACACGCTTCTTTACAGTCTCTTTTGCATAAGGACTAAATAATGCACTCGATTTGTATCCATGTTTAGTTTCGTGCGCGACTGTGGATGTAATCATGTTTTTAAAAAGTGTTTTCATTGGTGTATTAGGAATTTCATCCTCATTAGATGTTATATATTTTTTTTCCTTAGTAATCTGCTTCTTTCGTTCCTTTAATTCAGGTGATGATTCATCATCTGTCATTAATTCATTATAATTGTTATATTGTATATTTTGCTCATTTGATTGTAAGTTATCCCTACTTGTTCTTTCTTCTGATTGTCTAGTTTTTGCATTTTGTGACTTTTGTATTACTACTGTTTCATTTAATTTCGGTTGTGACAAACGTTCTAATACCACAATAGCGTCCATTAATTTTCCAGGCAGAAAAGAACTAGACTTTATAGTTGAACTCATAATTGGAATAGGTTTTCCAATTGCATCTTCATACATAGATACTTCATCAATATCATCTGAACGTACTGATCTTGACGATTCAGAAATATTCTTTTCTTCAATCTTTTCAATCTGTTTAATTTTTGTAAGAGCCACAATAGGTTGTTGATCAACTTGTTCAGATTTTTTCCTTAGATTATCATCTACTTTACTATACTTAGAACTACTCTTACTATCCTCTTCATCCGAACTACTCACAGATTTTTTTCTCTTGACTTGACTTTCTCTCTTTATCTATAAAACCCATAAAATCATTATATATATACAATTTTTTATATATAATTTAGTAATCATACACACAAAAATATAAAAAATATTACTATTACCTTCTTTGTACAGACATTATCATCAGGTTGTAGTTTACCGGCGAGAGAAATAGAACATTGTTTTTTGATTTTATCCGCTGCTCTTTTTGATGCACTTCTCTTTACTCTAGCGCCATATTCGCTTATTTTATGTTTTTTCTCATTAATAGATTGAAGAGACTCCGCTGAGGAAATATTATCTTGATGAAGTACCTCATCTTCTGGTATTGTTTCAATACGTTGAACTGCTCTCTTCCGCGTTATCTTTGGGGTCTTAGCGACAAGCGGGCCAGATGAAGGTTTTGACAATTGAGAAGCCAATGCTCGCAAATAAGCCAAACTATCATCGAAATTCTCATCGAGATGCTTTCGTAGTTCCACGCCACGATTGTGAATATCTAAAAGATCCTTCCTAATTATATCTCGGATCTCATCCTTGGATTTAATATTCATCATGAGAGAGTGAGAATGGAATTTTCGGACACGGAATCAAAAGCCAAACGTTACACATTGAGTCACTTCTTGGCGGGCTCGTCCAAGACACGTGAAGGATCTTCAACCGAAGGAAAAGGTAACGACTTTTCTATTTGATTTAAATCAGGACCAGGATCGTTGGAGCGACATCTATATCTGCCTTCAATCGCGGTATGTTCGTGTTTCGGTTGCTCTCGAATATGATTCATCCAATCAGCATCGTTCATTAAATTGACATGTCATGTGCACTCCCTAGATTTGTAACCAAGTAACTATACATATTATTAGCCGCGTAGCTTACAAACATATTTGTCTAATGAATCACATTGATTAAATGAACTTTAACATTAACATTGATAAATCTTCCTCTGTTAAATACCTCGCAGAGAGAAATGATTCATTATTTTTTTATTTATTTTTAGGATTATTAATAATTTTTAAAGAAAGAATATTTATTATTTATAATTAATAGGCTGAATTCAGCCTATTAATGAGCAAAAGCAAGAAACAAGCGAAGAGGTAGCAGGTGCTAGAGCAAAGAGACTATTATAATAGTAGAGAGTAATTGTTTTTTCATATTTTCTGCTGCTCTTTTTGATGCATTTCTCTTTGCTCTAGCACCTGCTACCTCTTCGCTTATTTCTTGCTTTTGCTCATTAATAGGCTGAAGAGACTCCGCTGAGGAAATATTATCTTGATGAAGTACCTCATCTTTTGGTATTGTTTCAATACGTTGAACTGCTCTCTTCCGCGTTATCTTTGGGGTCTTAGCGACAAGCGGGCCAGATGAAGATTTTGACAATTGAGAAGCCAATATTCGAAAATAAGCCAAACTATTATCGAAATTAAATCGAAAGGAATTAGGCTCGTTATATATTAAATAACATGATAAGAAAACTAGCGTCTACGAGCCACAGCGGATGGTAAATGCCTGAAAAATTCTTTTTAATTGTACTCGTCTACCTCTCTTCAGGGGGGTAAAGAGGGTTCTATAGAATTTCTCAAAAATGAGAATCTATATCTTGGTTAAATGCACCAAGTAAAATATATGCATATGCCGTGTTTTTCGTTTAAAAAATTTCGCGTACAATTAAAAAGAATTTTTCAGGCATTTACCATCCGCTGTGGCTCGTAGACGCTAGTTTTCTTATCATGTTATTTAATATATAACGAGCCTAATTCCTTTCGATTTAATTTAATTCACGCGCTAGCTGAAATGATCGCGTTTCATTTTCCATAGTTATAAACAAATAGACGAGGGTAGTATCGGTGTGGGGCTGAATAGCTCAGTGGTAAGAGCAGTCGCCCGGCAAGCGAAAGACTCGGGTTCGATTCCCGATTCAGCGACTTCGCCCCGATATTTTTCTCGTCTACCTCTCTTCAGGGGGGTAAAGAGGGTTCTATAGAATTTCTCAAAAATGAGAATCTATATCTTGGTTAAATGCACCAAGTAAAATATATGCATATGCCGTGTTTTTCGTTTAAAAAATTTCGCGTACAATTAAAAAGAATTTTTCAGGCATTTACCATCCGCTGTGGCTCGTAGATGCTAGTTTTCTTATCATGTTATCATCGAAATTCTTATCGAGATACTTTTGTAGTTCTACGCTACGATTGTAAATACTTGAAAGATCTTTTGTAATTATATTTCGGATCTCATCTTTCGATTTGCTGTTCATTATGAGCATGGACGTAAGAAATACTGGACAGAGTGTATTGCTGCGGGGGTGAAGGGAAAGAAATGTCTACTGGCAACGGAATATGAGGCATGTAAGATGGCGACGGATATTAATTTCATGGAGTGTGATATTTTTGAATTTCTTAATATTCAAAAATGATTCGGAATAACACAGCGATTTCAGATGATAGATGATTTCACGGAATCTCTCATATTTTATTCGATTTACGTCCGTGCGACGTAAAAATAGACGCTAAATCTGATGCATCTAAGATGGCCGCGACAATAAACCCCTCAGATTTCACTCCCCTCGTCTAAAAGAGTACTTTATGCTCTGTCCAGTATTTCTTACGTCCATGCTAATGAATTACATTGATTAAATCGGTTTCGCTATGCTTTGTTAATTAGCATATTTAGTTATATTCAAGCGCGATAACTGGATAAAGGGCCCATCCGGCTTCGTCAGCATCGATGCAGTACCAAGTCTTAAAAGACGAAGATTCACAATTTCAAGATTCAATTTTCTCTTAATATTTAATACATATGCATGAATGCATTGTATATATCCATCTAACACTACGTCCTGAGCTCGCTGTAATCGGCCTGGCAGTCATTGCTGTCCTCGGTGTTTTCAATGCTTGTTCAATCGATTGGGACATCGCTGCCTGAGTGGCGGGTCGCATTACCCCGGTAACAGGTCTATCTTTAGAATAAAAATACCATATTTTATTTACATATATTATAATCTACTTAGACTAAAAATCCGAATTGACATTTTTCAGGCGAGCTATAACAAACCGGATTGAGATTTAGGTCGTACTCCTTGACCGGTGTAACTGGTACCGGGATTTTTCAATGAAGTTCCTGGCCGTGGCATCATTGATATCGCATAATTGTCTAACAGAGTTTCCGCAATTCCCTCCTCCTCGCCTTCAATGTCATCTACTTAGACTTGCAATATTAAGGCACGCATTTTCAAGACCCACACAGCCTGGCAACCCAAGTTTCATGGTGATTCAAAAATAATTACTATTCTCTGCATATGAAAGAAAATGTATACCTGATCCAGTGGATTTTTTCTCAACAAATCGGTGCATATCGTAACGCACGCCTCGTATTTCTGCCGATTGAATAAGCTTAAAGCTTGAAACAACTCCATATTCAATATATTGTAAATGTCGGAGCAAACATTAGCTTCGCCACATTGATCCGATTACACAGTGTTACTCTTATGCTTCGAGTCTTATACGTCGCATATATCTATGTACATATATAAGCGGAGATTTATCGATTATTCCTTCCTTGCATTACTTCTTTTTTCAACGGTACAACAGAAATAATCAATTAGTATAACAGTATATGATTGGTATTTGTTCTTAATCATGTGAGACACGATATAATTTTTGACATTTTCTCTTTATTGTAAATATAAATGAACAAAATTGATGTAAATATACCTTGATTTTCTAACATGATTTTGAGCTATTAAAAGTCATGATATTTTTATTTATTAGAAAATTGCAATGGCATTTGTTGGTAAAAATCACCCAAGGTTAGAGAAAAAATAATCAGTTATAATTCGTAACGCAATTTATAAATATATAATTATTGTTGTAGTATACGAGAAGAATTCGAACGATATTTCGAGAAGAAAAATATACAAGAGCAATGTACCGAACAATCTTTGATGCATTTACATAATGCTTTTTTGGTACGCATTATACATATTAAGCGCTTTTTTTATATTATTTTATCAGAATATATATTGTTTGCACTTAGATGACAGAAAATAAAGAAATGGATTCTTCTCAACTATACGACGCTTTCCAAGACATTCTCGAGATAAAAATACCGCAGGATGAATTTCAAGTTCTTTTCAAGAAAGTTAGTTAATTGTTACTTTAATTGTTTCTAAAATTTCATATAATTGTCAATTTCAGATAGATGTAAGACTCGATGGTAAAGTAACGTGGAACGAATTCATTTCCTATTTATTGATAGAATTTCGAGACATAGATACCACTGTGAAATCACAGATGTTGGAAATGCCATTAACAGATTTACCACGATTATTAAGAACGCGTCATCGCACTCCTGTATGCAGAATTACATTTTGCCCAGACGTTTTACCGGTATATCTACCGATATATTTACTATCAGAGTTTGATGTGCAAATCAATCATGTCTCGTTTCGTCAGAAAATAAAAAAAGAGTGCTCATTATTGTATCAAGAGATAGTTTTTTTATAATCTGCGACATGTGTGTGTATTAAAATTTTAGTTTCTTTCAATAAAAAACGAAAAAAAAAATGATTGATTTGTGCATCAATATGCATCTTTCGCAAACTATTATTTATTTATTACAGTCATCTCACAGAGATTTATTATATTAATCTTTAGGACAGAAGTACAAGTTTTCGCAGGGGTTGTTATCTAACTGTAAGCCAAGATGGGGTGATTAATTATTGGTCGTTAGATCTCGAATATGAGCGCACTGTGCAATCCAAGAATCGTTAGTATATCTTCAAGTATCTCTCCTTTCTTCGTCCGATACTTTCTTCGCACTTATATTTTTTTTAGCATACTTAAAGGTGCAATCCACCGTTATAACCGATATGATTGTGCTACCGGATGTTCAGATAGTTTGCACGAGTTCGACGGAATGCGATTTGAGATTTTATGACGTCGCAGCGAAGAAATTTGATCTTCGAGTATTGGTAGGAACGATAGATATAGATTTTATGGAACATCGAAAATGTTAATCCAAAGTAGTTTTAATTAATTGCACGCGTTATATTTTTAGATCTCCAGTTTGGAACACGCTGTAGTTTGTATGCACTATTACTTCAGTACAAACATTAAAGAGAATTCTTACATTGTCCTGGGTGATACAAGTGGATCTGTCATAATCGTGTCGTTTAATCCCACGGATAAAGGACCTTTCAAGCAGCTCACCACTCGTGACACAATTATTCTTCGTTACGACGACATCGTGAAAGTATAGAAGAATTGTAATAAAATATATATATTAGATGTGTACACTTGGAACACATATATTAAGAAAAAATTATTATAATTAGGGAGAGTTGGAAGGATTTGAAATCACGGAGAGATTTAAGAACATACACACGAATTGGACGAGCCAAGTGGCTTATTATGAGAGCCTACGAATTTTCATATCGAGCAGTCAATGCTCTGATTGTTCTCTATGTGTTTTCGATGCGACCGCAACGAGAATGCAATATAAGTTCCAAGTTCCCATAGGAATATCATGTTTCGCGCTCTGCGAAGGTTTTCTTGTTACTTTACGACTTAGCGCATCTCATAATCGATTCATTCATTTTGAAGCGTCATTATTTTTCCTTTATCAGAGAGTCGTACCCTAGTAACGGGTGGACCAGATTGTGTGGTTCGCGTTTGGAATCCCTTCAGTCCTGAGAAGACGAACGCTGTATTTCCGGGACACCATTCAACTATCTGTGCAGTCGTTGTAATAGATACTGGCAAACGTATTTATTCCTTGTCAAAGGATAGATGCATAAAAGTGTGGGATGTCCCGGTTCAAAATTGCATTCAGGTCGTTGTGAAATTACAATTATCGATTACAATATTTTTCTTCTGCTCCTATACTCTATTCTGCAGAAGTACAAAAAATTTGTTATAATAATTTTATATATATAATAATAGAAAATATTTTTTCTCAAACAGACGTACAACAAATTACCCAGAGAACTAAGCGAATATGCTCCGATGACCATAGTATTCAATACCTTAGCTCGTACGATGATTATTGCCAGTATGATGATCGCCGTTCTTGTTTGCGAGCATGTAATTAACGAAGAAACTTCGGATGGTTACACACACACCAAAGGTGTTAGCTGCGTACTTTACAATCAGCTCTTTCGCGTGGTGAGAGATTTTTATACTTATCTAAAAGTAAATTACTTATATCTTAATTACTTTTATAAAAAATGATTATATTCCTTATTAATCTATATCATAATTATTAATATTGTATATAATTCTATATTAATTCACGCAGATTATTTCTACTGGATTAGATTCGTGTATCATTGTTTGGGATCCTTGGTCTGGACGTCGTTTACGTTTGATTACGCACGCTCATAGTATTATTCGATACGGACAACACGTTGATATCGAGATCACAGCGGCCTGTTTCGACAATTCCGAACAATTTTTAATCACTGGTGCTAGAGATGGATCACTGAAAATGTGGAATTTCAATACCGGTGTTTGTATACGCAACATAATGATCAATTATCAATGGTATATAATGAATATTAAATAATAGCTTCTACAAATATTGATACTTGAGATTAAATTTGTATAAAAGATATTAAAACTATAAAACTATTTAAGAGAATTATTTATACACTAACTTTTTAAAATATATTATACACAATAGTCTTCTTCACGAAAGTTTTCTATTTGTATATTATAGTAGAAACGAAATACACAACATTAAATAGTTACACAAACTATAAATGCTTTACATATAACATTTTAAAATAATAAATTGTCATTTTATCTTGTTCCTATTTCTTATGTACAGTGAAATAACTAGCATTGTTTGGTATGAAAATCGAATCCTATGCTGCGGTTGGAACAAACTAGTTACAGAATTGGCAGCTTTCGAGTCTGATTTATATAAAAAAAATTGGACGACCAGTCACACTGACGACATTCTATGCTCAGCTGCGAAATTCCCTCAACTGCTTGCCACCGGAACATACAATGGAGAATTAATTCTCTGGAGACTTGAAACGGGTCAACCTTTCAGGAAGTATCAAGTGATCGATGTTAGCAAAAGGTAGTAAGAATGCTAATTGATATTGTCATAAGTAATAATTGACACAAAAGAACAGAGGTAACATGCTAATTGATTTAATAGACATATTGTAACGAGAGAGATAAATGTGCACGAAGCGTTCATACGATCTAATGAGATGGACAGATCTATAAATCAGCAAATTAAGTAAATTTTATTATTTGTTTATAGTTATAAGAGATATTTGTTACGTATAAATTCTAAACTACATATATATATACATTTCTCGCGAAACAGAAAATTAACTCCGTGCGCCCATCAAGAATCAGCATTAAATATAATCCGCACTACGGCAGTACGCGCGATAATTTTTCTGACCGCGCGAGAAGTAAAACCAAACGTCGGTACGATATTAGTAGCTCTCGATTCCGGTTTAGTGCAAGTATGGACACATCATCCAGCGGCAGGATTTTTAGGAGCCTTTACGGTCACCCACGCTATGGACGATTGCGCGACTTCTTTAACTACCGATCCTGAAAATCAGTTTCTCGTAACAGGTTTTCTCTTTTTTTTCTTCTCAAGAAACTGACTTAAGAATTCAAATATTTTTTTGAATAAAAGTCCTAAACTTTCTGCGCTTTGAGTATCAGAATTTTTCCTCAAATGTTTATAATAATTGTAATAATTTTATTTTTCTTGAACGTTTCTTTGAAGGACACAGCATAGGCTATATAAAAGTTTGGCTCCTCTCGAATTACATGCTACCAAATCCGCCGAAAATATGTATGCCTCTGTTAAGATTAGAATTTCCGTTCTTGTGGAAAGATAGAATAAATGGAAGAGCGAAAAGAGCGGTGCGAAAGCAGGCGCTGCCCCTTCTGTTATCGTCTGTACGTGGTCATATGCGAGGGATCACTTCTCTTCAAATTATTTTTAGTGCGCGAATAATAGTCAGGTGTGTGCACTATAAAAATATTGACAATATTGGGTATGTTTTGGTAAATCTGATTTGATTGAATTAACAGTGGTAGTGCGGATCGTACCGTACGATTATGGAGTTTCGGTGGTCGTTATATATCAACACTCGGCACGTTCAGAGATTGGTACCCAATTTTACCCACTATACCCGTACAGAAATATTTTGAGGATTATAAACTTCCAGCGGATATTAAGCGATTTGCCAGTTTCACCACTTTGAAAGTAAAATAAAAAATTTACACATACACATTGCAAATATATATATATATATATATATATATATATATATATATATATATATATATTTGTGATGCAAAGGTACTTTATGGTGGTATGAGACGAGTACAAACAGAGATCGAAGACAAGATCGATATCCCGAAAGAAATTCTCCACGAAAAACGACACATACTATATGGAAAGGCATTAGATAGTTCAATGATTGTAAATTATTACAAATCAGAACCTAGCAAAACGTATCAAGAACAGTTCAGATTAGACAATACCTTGCCATATGTGAGTACATATATGTTTTGATATACATTTTACTGCATATTTATATATTTTTGTAATATATATATTCATAAAATTTTTTAATTTATAGTTATTTTGTGCATTTGTAGATACCAATTTATACACATTTATCAACATACTCTTTAAAACCTGTAGAAGCGCAAAAGACACTTTTACTAGGACAGAAAATGGAACTTATGTATGGATATTTAATTCAAATTTATTGGACAAGTATAATCCAAAATATTTGTCCAATATTTAAAAAAATTATTTTTAATTTCAGTAAAAAAGTGTACTTAAGGAGAGCAATGAAACCTCTACGTTTGCCTACTAGGAAAGTTTCAGCAAATTAATCTCATAAGATTGATTCATCATAATAAAAATTTGTAAAACTTACAAAATGAATATATAATTTACAAGAATCTAATTATTAATTTAGATCATTATTTAATATGTTTTGAATTAAAAAATTAATTTAGATTATTATTCAGATTAGTGACTTACAAATATATAGAAAAATATTTTGATACATTCATTACGTACTAGTTACATTGTCTATATAATATTACAGGCTTTAATTTCTTTTTATCGAATACAATATATATAATGACTGGTATATAAATAATGGAAATTATGAATTATCAAATTATAAAAATACATACATTATTGTCACTCTATGAACATCAAGATATAACAATGAACAATTTGCCCTCATGTTTTTCACATAGATGTAATAGTACCTTAGATTTAATTATGATTTATTCCGCTTCCATCATGGAAAAACGCGGTGGTGTTTTCCAGATTGCACTAGACGTACGTGCTAATTTTTTTCTATCTATACCAGTAAACATTTCAGCTAAATTTGGCGTACACTTACGAGTATCGAAAAATTTATAAACAATTTCCTGCGGAATGTGTCGTTGTATCGCAAGTTGCGTTTTACGGATTTGCGCTGCGAATTAAAAAAGAAATATATAAGTTTTCTCCCAGATAGATATATACATATTTTATTTTATTTTTATTTAAACAATAATTTTTATAAAATACTAAAAAGAAAATACATACGCTGTGCCCAATAAGGTATCTCATGTTTCGGTCTACTTTCATCATCTGATTCATCATCATCAGGATCACTATCCAATACATAATGTGTCACACCTTGATTTTTATTATTGGCTTGTTTATACTGGTTATACTAAAAAAAATTAAAAAATCATTAAATATCAATAGAACTGTTTAATTATATCAATGCATAAACAGAGTCTTCTTTGATTTAAAAAATATATGTTCTCACTTTAACTTGAGCGGCAATCATCTGATGTTTTTGTTTTAATGCCTCAGCAGCTGGCTCTCGCTTCCGCTTCTTATTTCTCAGCTGTTCTCGACGGTTGCCTCCAGTTGGCTCTCCTTCTCTTCCTCGCTCTTGTCGACGTTTTGCTCGGCAAGCAAACGTTCCGTTTCCTCTTGTTCTTGCAGTTTCTGTAATCTTTGTTGCTCTTCCAGTTTGCGACGTTCTTCCTTCTCTTGCGCTCGCTGCAATTGTGCAAGACGCTTCTTCTCCAATTCTTCGCGTTGCTTTTCTTGCATCAAAAGTGCTAGTTTTGCCCTTTCTTCTCTTTCTTTTTCAGCTTTCTGTCGTTTTTCCAATTCTTGTTTTTCCTTAGCTTCTCTTGCTAATTTGTTTTTTAATTCTTTCTCTTCTCGCTTTCTAAATTTAAAATAAACGTAAAATATAATTAACAATTGTATTATATTTTATGCATTACAAAATTCTTATATACCTTTTCTTTTCTTCTGTAAGTAATCTCAAGGTTTCCTCTCTCTTCTTTCTCGCATCTTCCTCGTGCCGTCTTTTATCCTCTAATTTTTCTAATTTCTCTATTGAATTAGCTTTACTAATACTTTTTGGAGGTTGAATAAAGGAATCGATGTTACTAACAATATTCGTACGAGAAGCAGTTAATGTTTTCGGATACTAAAATCAAAATATATGTATATAAGTCTATGTATAAAATGTATATAATGTATATAATGTCTATGTATAAATGATAAATATTTTAGTGTAATAGAATTGTAAACTAGTCTCACATTTAAAAGATTCTGAGCATGTGAAGGAGTGTGAATACGATTTCCAGACATTAAAGGCTGGATTATTTTTGTCTTGCTTAAAGGTGTCACTTTTTGCAGTTGAGTTTGCTTTAGATTTGGTTTATCATTCAACAATGATTTAACAATTTGTTCTGACATTTGTTCTGTATTCTGAAAGAAAAAATTCATTATTAATGGAAAATATCAGTGACAAATGCAAGAAAAATTTGTCATGATATAAATGAAAGTAATATAAATAATTATAAGATAAAATTAAGTATAGATGTATGCTTTTACCTCTTTAAATTCTTCATTGCCTTTCTTTTGTTTTGCTAATGAAATTCTCTTTGCTTTTGCAAGCGACTTACGAGCTAACATTTGTGCAATATTTTTCTCTGTATTTCTCATTTCAGCCTCAGTCTCCGCAGCAATCATTGCACGAGTTTTTGTTCTAGTTACTCTAGTTGGAATGTCTACATCGACTGACTTGGGACTATACATTACTGCTTGCTCAAAAGCTTCAACACGCTTCTTTACAGACTCTTTTGCATAAGGACTAAATAATGCACTCGTTTTGTATCCATGTTTAGATTCGTGTGCGACTGTGGATGTAACCATGTTTTTAAAAAGTGTTTTCATTGGTGTATTAGGAATTTCATCCTCGCTAGATGTTGATATCATATATTTTTTCTCCTTAGCATTCTGCTTCTTTCGTTTTTTTAATTCTGGTGATGATTCATCATCTGTCATTAATTCATTATAATTGTTATATTGTATATTTTGCTCATTTGATTGTAAGCTATCCCTACTTATTCTTTCTTCTGATTGTCTAGTTTTTGAATTTTGTGACTTTTGTATTACTACTGTTTCATTTAATTTCGGTTGTGACAAACGTTCTAATACCACAATAGTGTCCATTACTTTTCCAGGCAGAAAAGAACTAGACTTTATAGTTGAACTCATAACTGGAACAGGTTTTCCAATTGCATCTTCATACATAGATGCTTCATCAATATCATCTAAACGTACTGATCTTGACGATTCAGAAATATTCTTTTCTTCAATCCTTTCAATCTGTTTAATTTTTGTAAGAGCCACAATAGGTTGTTGATCAACTTGTTCAGATTTTTTCCTTAGATTATCATCTACTTTACTATACTTAGAACTACTCTTACTATCCTCTTCATCCGAACTACTCACAGATTTTTTTCTCTTAACTTGACTTTCTCTCTTTATCTATAAAACCCATAAAATCATTATATATATACAATTTTTTATATATAATTTAGTAATCATACACACAAAGATATAAAAAATATTACTATTACCTTCTTTGTACAGACATTATCATCAGGTTGTAGTTTACCGGCGAGAGAAATAGAACATTGTTTTTTGATTTTATCCGCTGCTCTTTTTGATGCACTTCTCTTTACTCTAGCGCCATGTTCGCTTATTTTGTGTTTTTTCTCATTAATAGACTGAAGAGACTCCGCTGAGGAAATATTATCTTGATGAAGTACCTCATCTTCTGGTATTGTTTCAATACGTTGAACTGCTCTCTTCCGCGTTATCTTTGGGGTCTTAGCGACAAGCGGGCCAGATGAAGGTTTTGACAATTGAGAAGCCAATGCTCGCAAATAAGCCAAACTATCATCGAAATTCTCATCGAGATGCTTTCGTAGTTCCACGCCACGATTGTGAATATCTAAAAGATCCTTCCTAATTATATCTCGGATCTCATCCTTGGATTTAATATTCATCATGAGAGAGTGAGAATGGAATTTTCGGACACGAAATCAAAAGCCAAACATTACACATTGAGTCACTTCTTGGCGGGCTCGTCCAAGACACATGCAGGATCTTCAACCGAAGGAAAAGGTAACGACTTTTCTATTTGATTTGAATCAGGACCAGGATCGTTGGAGCGACATCTATATCTGCCTTCAATCGCGGTATGTTCGTGTTTCGGTTGCTCTCGAATATGATTCATCCAATCAGCATCGTTCATTAAATTGACATGTCATGTGCACTCCCTAGATTTGTAACCAAGTAACTATACATATTACTAGCCGCGTAGGTTAGGCCCGGTTTCACCAACGTGATTTAATCTAATCGGTCGATTAACTGTCAGAGTTGCCAACTGCTGAACATAATAAAACTGATCGGAACGTTGTTAATATTCTCGTAATTATTAATTATATCAAATATATAATTCATTTTATATGATAATTCAACCCTTATTCCCACTTTCACGGTTATAATGCTTGCGTATACGCGACAAGAATAGATTAGGAACACGTTCGTTTTTAAAGTCTTGTTATTGGCAATTCTGGTGACCAATTTAATCGACCGATTAGATTAAATCACGTTGGTGAAACCGGACCTTACAAACATATTTGTCTAATGAATTACATTGATTAAATGAACTTTATTTGATAAATCTTCCTTTGTTAAATACCTCGCAGAGAGAAATGATTCATTATTTTTTTATTTATTTTTAGGATTATTAATAATTTTTAAAGAAAGAATATTTATTATTTATTTATTGAATAAATTAACATTCTGTGTAGCAAATTTAATTATTATTAAATTTAATTATATTAGTACATTTTGTAGGACGAATTTACATATTCATACAACAAATTTATTTTCAATTAATATATTCAATATATTCTGCCTGATAATGAGCAATGTCCGGTATATATCGGGCAACCTTCCTCTGACTCAAAGATTATATTTGATGTACTATATGTGATATTTTATGTGTCATATAGTGCTACATGTAGGAAAATATTAAAAATATTTATGATTAAATATTTTCGATTACAAACTTCATGCCTTTGTAATTGCCGCAACTTGGAAAGTCGATCGGCACAAGAGGCAAATTTCGATCGAATCCCACTTTCATTACGAATTGCATTCCAGACCCGAGTAATTGAGGATGTATAGCAGTACTTCTCGCTTCCCATAACCAATAGCCTGAAAAATACAAAAATTAAGGTTGTTTATGCATAGATTTATGATATATATGTAAGAGATGTATAATTTATACCTAAATTGTCGGTGTAAAAACGAAGAATAACATAGCCCTTGTTCGGTACGACAAAAGTATCTTTTCGTACTGGATTCACAAGATTTCGATGAATTTTTTTATCACGATCCAAGGATATAATTTCATCTTTGGTAATAGGTCGTTTGAAACTCTCTTGGCCTACGATACTAACATTATAACCGTGTAGATGAAACGTATGGGATACGTCGTCTCCAACACCTGGGGAAAATATGATCTATATACGATTGGCTTTATTCTAAAAAATTTTTAATCTAAGAAGCAATTTATATATTAATATTAAAGAGATTGATTTTTTACGAAAAAGAAAAGAATGTCAATTATCTCGCAGCGCACGGTAGTATATTACCTTCGTCTATTAATACAATCTCGACTGTTTTCCGTGGTGAAACTTGAACTATTTGCAAACATTCGCAAAACAATGACGTATCGGCGCAATTGCTAGAACGTTTGTCAAGGGTGCAAATCGACTCTTCCAAAGTATTTTCCGATTGCGATAATAACGGAGATGATGGATACTTGAAAGACATGCCATTAATCTGCGATACCTTCCTTGCGCCTTTCTCTAAGCCTGAAATTTTCCTTGATACGTGATAATGATGAAAATGTTATATCTTTCTAGAAGGAAAATATAAACGCCAATAAGGCATTCCTGTTCCTGTATATATACACAATACGATTATATTTATTTTATAATTCCTCTTTTTTAATAATGATTTAACGAGTAAAGAAAATGTTACATCATTAAATGAGCAAAATTTTAATTTTAAGAAATACAAGATATAAAAATTTCCTTACTCAAATAAGCTGGATAGTGTTTCATTGTTTTGTAAGTATCATAAGAATTGTCTGTCATCTCATCTGTAACGAGTGAAAAAATATTCGTGTCGAAAGGCACATAAATTGTTTCATCGGCTTTTTCTGCCAATTGCGATAATTTTGTATTCTTCAGATCCAATGAACAAATGATATTTTTCGATATTTTATGACAATGATGACCATTTTCAATTATCTTAAATGCTTGTTCATTGAGGCTGTCACCAGTCTTTATCGTATATGAATCCAATCTGGTATTCTCGTAAAAAATATATGCCTCGTGACGCAAATTACGACAATCTTGAAGACCCTGAATGTCGAAGGCATACTTGCCGATCGTCTGCTCCGCATTTAGAATACAGTCAAGTCTTTCCCCTGAAAAGAAATTTAATGCTATAATTTATACACTATATAATCCTTTGCGCTTTATTTTATGTATGATTAATAATATAAAATTATTTTCTTTCTTAACGAGAATTTCATTAAATATAATTAGTTACAATTTACATTTTCTATCAAAACACAGTGAATCTTAAAGAATAATTATGAACATCAAAGAAGCAATATTAATGATAATAACATTAATGCTATAATTTTTATTGAACAAGTGTACAAATTCAACGGATGTACAAGTGTATAATTTCAACGGATATAATAAAATTTTTATAAAATATATATCTAGATAATTATTAAAGATCTTTTTAGAAGAAAAACGCATTGACATACATTGAATTCATTTAAGTTAACGCTAGAAGTTAACGCTAGAAGAAAAAGACAGTCATATACATACAAGGCTGCTATTGAGTTTATATATTTTAATGAATTCTCTTTTGGATTTTAAATTATTTAGTTTCATTAAATTACTTGTCATAAATTTTACTTTTGATTTTTTTGTATGTACTGTCGTATAATTCAATATATATTAAATGTTATAAATGATTGTTCTAAATGAGTTGTGATAAACCAAAAAACAGCTTATGGTTAAGTTCTAAGTCCTAAGAAACATGATCAAATGTACGGATGATTAGCGAGAAAGAGTCGAATCAGTGTAATATTGTAATGTAAGATATAAAATATTAATATTGTAAGATATAAAATAAGAAATAGAATACGATACGTGACATTAGAGTCACTACATCTCTTTTCTTATTGAAAAATAAATATATAAAAGAATATATAAAAGAAGAATATATAAAAAAAAGAATATATAAAATGAAACGACGGTATCAATCGATTGTTTGAAAAATCAACCTATAATGACGCATTGAAAATTTTAAAATATACAAATAAGCCAAAAGCTTTGTATTATATCTTTACTAGAATATATTTTGTGAAAAAAAGGTTTTCAACTGATGCATAAATTCCAATCTTCTAAGTGGAGAATCCTTCAAAAGCTTTACCGTCAGCCACGGACATAATATTACATTTATATTAATAAATGTTTACAACTTACTCGCTATTAATTTCTGACGGACTTCAACCAGTAGATGCTATATGCTTATTATTAAACATATGAGCACATTTAATTTGTTTATTTCGCGTAAACATTTCAAGATGATTAATGAGGACATATTGGGCAATTCAATAGGATTTAGTATTTTAGTATTTTAAATAATGAAATGGCAATACACAGAGATATTATTAGGAGATATTATTAGGAGACACGTTTAACTCGCTAGTATAATAATTCACTTCAGTATTTAGATGTAAGATTGATAAAAGTATTTATCGGAATAAAATTGCATTCTAGATCAATCATTGTAATCACCGCTATCATATCCTTGACTCGATTATCATGAATACTTAAATCTTAATATTAAGGAAAAATAACTACATTTATTAATCTATATCGATATTTAATATTTATTTATAAAAAGTTATAGCAATTGCATGCGTGTTATACAATAATGCATTATATGGCGGTGATTACAAATAAAAAATACCTCATATCGATTCACATCTCGGTCATATTATCAGGACTTTTCTCAAAAATTGAAAGAAATATGAAAATTTTTTTCTGCTAATTATTCTGAATTGTATTGCATTCTTCTCGCATTATTATTGCATTATTATTAAAAGTGAAATTTAAATTAATTAAAGTTAATGTGGACAATGCGAGCAACCTGAATCTAATTAAAAACAAAAACATATTATTTGACACAATTTTTTTTACATTTTATTTGCAAAATTGAATCGAGAAAAATAGAAATTTTGTGTATATACTTGTGCTTAACTTAGAAGGTTGCTTAGTTTCAGAGAACAATCAATCTATTTAATATCGACATATCTCGTCCAAATATTTAAAAAAAAATTGCCATTATAAAATCTTGATTGACTCAGTCTTTAGAATCATTTAAATCGATTAATAATAAAATAGCCGCGACAATGTGATTATGAAAATTAAAAGCATTCGCATTGACTTCTATGTTATACGCGATAATCACATTTGATTTCTCTGTGCGAATTTAAGAGAGATGCGTAATATTTAAAATAATTTAAATTCTATCTCTCGCTGTCTCTTTTTTTCTTTTTCTATTTAAAAATTATAGCTTGTAATTTTTGGAGGCTTGGAAGCAGAATACGTGGAATATGTGAAAGCGGAAATGGGATACATGGATAGTTATTTCACCGCGGCACACTCTATTCTTATAGTCTTTCTTATAGAATGATTTTTTTCATTCAGCTAACGTCTTTCTTTTAATATCGAAGTCTACTCAGACAAGAGCGAGTCGCGACTCGTTTATTGCAAAGATAATTCGATATAGCGATGTTAGCTAACGAAACGCTACGAATTACGATGAGTGTCGCGCGTTATCTTCCTGTGTCAATGGTTTCTTCCGTTACAACCGGCTCATTAGCGACGTGTTTGCGCGTAAACTCCGATCTCCGCCTCGAAGAGGATCTGATTGATCCTAAGCTTGGCAACCGATCTTGAGTACGAGTCGGGAATCTCAGCGAGCTGCAGGGCGATACTTTCACCGAACTTGGCAAATTCCTTCTTCGTCTTTCTCCGTTCCTTCTCATCTGTTTCGCCGACCTCAAGTTTCATCCGTTCGACCTCGTCGAGATCGATCGGCAAACTGTCATGGCTTGGCAAAGAGCAATTGTACAATTCCATTGCTTTTAGACTGGACGACGAGGACTCCTCGGCGTCCTCACTCAACGAAGCGTTGAAGGAACCGGTACCGGAGCCATTTGTCTCTTCATTGCTGTCTATGAACGTTATGCTCTCCGGATCGATGTCACTCACAATGTACTCTTCCTGTAGTTTCGATTCTTCCTCGATTTTCTGCGAAAAAGGGATCAAGCTGGATCAGGAATTTTATCGCGTTTTGACAATAGCGACAGAAAGAACGCTTTACACTCTCTTGTAATTTTCTTTAATTATTTACTATATTTACTATTATTTACTATATTTGGATAATGAAAGTTTAGAATTTAATTAATGCCGCATTCGCACGACTCGAATTTAATCTCACGCGTTAATCTCCAAAGACCGCTGTTGAAACTTTCACGTGCATTTATTTTTCCTCGCATAAAACGTGGGAGTTACATTGCTATTACGATAATTATTATAGCGTAGAAAATATTTATTACAATTCAATTATGACATTATAAAAATCGTAACTGTCTTCTTAGGAAAATACAATGACTTTCGAATATCAAATAGAGAAGAATTACTTGAGATCCATCATCTTCATGTTGTCGATGTTGGCGCATAAAAATGTTGCGCGTTATTATTATTGATCTTCCGTGCGTGCATCGAAATTAAACATAACTAAATCGAAATTAAACGGATCACAAAACGGATCAAGTCAAACATAAACAAAAGTCGACTCAAACTTTTGCTGGGAAGCGGATGATTATATGTCGCTACGAGTCAATGAAGTCATTATCTCGATCAGCGACGCATCGCGCTATTTTTTCTTTAGAACGAGAATTGTACTCATTATATCCTATTAGTTGAAAAAATTCTACACGTCAATAATCGCAAATCATACACGATGTTTTTAAAAATCAAAAACAAAAATTACATTTAGAAAATTTGAATTAACTAGCGATTAATTGAGAAAAGATTGCAAATTATTTGCCACAACTAAAAGAAAATTAATTCGTCTTTATTGAAAAATTTCTAAACAAACATGCATAAGTCTCTCAGGCTAACATATAATTGTTATATGTTCTCTGTCTTTCTCTCTTTTAAATAGAATATAACTGAATATATATAGATATATGTGTATATATATATATTATTTTAGAACTCATACAACTTTACACAAAATAAATCACGGTAATTCTATAATAATATCAGCTGTTTCCATCTGTCATCTGTCATCAGAATTGTCGGTAAGATCCTCAAAATCATTTGCGCACAGATCACGAATGCGAGAGAAAGAGAGAGATATTCTTCTCTTCCGCCTACCTTCTTCCGTTTGCTATATCTACGCGTGCCAAATTGCAGAAACTGCATAGCCTTGAAGGCGAACCACTTGGAGACGTATACGTCCGGGCCGGTGGCGGTGTTGCGGCTATCCTGAATTTTGTGCACCTCCCGGGAATACTGGCACTTGAGATTGGTAATCTTCTTTTCAACTTCGAGGGTGTTGCAGCGGAAGATCTCGGCGAGCTCCTGGATTGCCCGCTTGCGCTTCGCGCGATCCCGATAACCCCGGGCGTTCCAATCCCAGAGGACACGTCGTTGTTGGTACTCGCGGAGTAGCTCCAGAGTCTTGTCGCGCGTCCATTCTATGCGCGTCCCGCTAGATGCGCCCAAATCTTCCCAGAGAGTTCCGTGGCTGTACATGTAAGGATACGCGATGTCCCTCAAGTGTTCCGCGGCGTTTCCGGCGCGCGAAAACGCGCGCGCGGGTGAACGAGAGACGCGCGCGGTGATCGGAGGTGGCAACCGGAGGTGGCGGTTGCCTGCTAATAAATTGCGGGGCAGAATCAACACGACGAAAGCCGCAGCCGCGAAACGAGCACGCGTTTTAATGATTTTTGCGCGGGGCTCACGAGCGCTTGGCCACCTTGCTTTCTTTATTTCTCTTTACGGAAATCCTGGCGAGAGCACGAAGACGCCCGAGTCTGCGCGAATGTCGTCCGTTCCTATTGCCTCGCCTCCCGCGATTCACCATCCACGTCGCTCTTATACAAGCGTTGTGTTATGAAAGAGAGAGAAAGAGGAAGAGGATGCGAGAAAGGGGCAGAAGGGGAGAAAATCTCCCTCTCTCGCTGTTACGGATGCCCCTCTGTACCGCTCTCTCTTCTCGTCGACCCCTTAGGATCCTTTTCTTTGTTTGCTCCGTTAAATCTTGAAAACATCGGTGCACTAGAAGTCGTGTTAAGAGTTAAATAGTAATAATACATCAAGTACACATCTTCGGATTATTACGAATATTTTTTATCTCACATCATTATTTATTATCTCCAGCTATTTGTGATGAGTTAGTCATAAATGAAGTTAAATCTATGTTGTTTACGTTATAATTCTAAATATCTCTGAAACCTTTTTTTATGATTATCGTTCTCTTTTTCAGTCCAGCCAAATATATGAAACAAACGAGTGAATTCATGGAGTATGTATGCAAGAGATTGATCGGAATCAGAGAGAGAGAGAGAGAGAGAGAAAGAAAGAGAGAGAGCAATATGCATATGTATCTACACACACGCACACACACACACACACACACATATACCCACGAAGTATGTATGCCCGACTCCACATTAATGTATTTCTCTTTCTTTCTCTCATACATGATGCTCCATTTCTCGCATTAATTACTAGTACATCATATAGATATTGTGCTCGTAAAACTTATATTTATATGACGCAATTTTTATATGTTATAATCGATAAAGTTCGATTGTATATTTATTGATTTATTGATTTGTAGAATGCATTTTATATCGTACGATACTATTTGCATGTTATCTATTTATTTGTATAATAGTACGTTCTAATTTCATTAGAATATAGACATGATATTTTATATTTTGAAGTCTAGCACAAACATTTGTTTAGCACGTGCAATATATACAATACATACGTGCGTTAATTGAACATTACAATAGTTTTATAAATTATCTAAGTTGAGAGATAAAATTTAATCACTCAAGTATATTATTGGCGTATATATTGACGATTGTAATGAAACAATTATTACATATGAAATCATAAAAGAGATTGACTATATTAAGATACACAATTAAAATTTATTAAATTCAAACTCGATGCAATTTTGCATTATATTAATAAAGAAACAGGAATCATTTCCGTACCGACTTGAAACCGCATTATAGAGAGTGTTTGGATATAAATGTTGGAGAACAACACAGGATGTGAAACCTACCTGGGAATAAAACGACATGCGTGCCGGTCATCGATTGTACAGGGTTGCCATCAGCAGCCAGTACTTGGAGCGAGTGTCCATGGGCGGATAGTAAAATGGGACAGTTGTAAACATTGGCATTAATGAGACGTAATAAATAGGAAAATCCATGCCTCACTCGCACAAATACCTCTCGTACCTGTAAAAATCCCAAAGTACATCTCGAGATATAAATCCTTCTCATAGCACATTTTTATTTCATAATCTAAATTATTATATCGATCGCAGACAACACATATGCTGTTTATAATTATTTTAAAACATTCCGACAGAGCCAAGTTAGAATCGAAAAAACGAGCAAATTCTTTTCTTTTTTAATAATGATAATGATGGAGAGTATATATACCTGACCATTTACGAGGAGCTTATCCGGTGTAGGTGGATATAGGAGTGTTTGTTGTGTCAGTGGAGTTGATGACCTTGATGACAATACAAGTATCCTTTCCAGACTGGCATTATCACGTGGTCCTCGAACTGTCAACAACCCGTACACTCCGTCTCCCTGCTGCGAGACTAAAGATCCCCCTCCCCTTAATTTTATTTTTCTCACTGACGATTCTTTTGAACTATATCGCGCTATAAAATTCTACGTGAGTCTCAAGGCACAGCATTCTTCGGATTTAAACGGAAATCGTGAAAAGGCTTTTTTATGCAAAGCAAGGAAATATTACGGAGACTAGACTGAACTGGATCACTTCCCATATCGCGTCAATTATATCTGGTATCCTGCCCTATATCCTTTTTATTGTCGAAACTCTTCCCACGAGACGATCTTGGACGAGTCACAATATTTTATTCGCGATATATTTAAAAAGAATATGGAGTTATACAAAAACTGTACGCGATTTTTATTTGTAATAAAGAAACAATGAGAAGAGTTCTTGCCCTCGAGTCGGTTCTTGCACGAATCTACGGATATTATTGATCTTGTTATTCTTGATGCGAGCGCCGGATAAAGCAACTACGTTCTATGATGTAGACTGGAATCAAAATCGAGCGAGTCGATTCAAAATTACATCCGAGTTTGCGCAGAATTTTCCTTTCGACCTGAATTTTCGTTCATCATTCTTTTTGCTAATACAAATCATGTAATAATTTCACGTAGCGTTCACATTTACAGATAAAAATTCGATAAACATTACAACGTGTATATTAATATATTTATGCGAGAGAAAAAATATATATGTGATATACATATATATAATTGTCTGCATCATCACATACCTGAGTGAGCGTGATAGAAATATGTTCCTGTACTCTCGGGATTTATTTTATAACGAAAACCATTATAGGGTAAAATAGGACATTGCGTTATCATAGACACACCATCCATATAATTAAAATCTTTTTGTCGGATTCCATGCCAATGGAAAGTCAACTCGCTGCTTTTTAATTTGTTGTAAATAAGAACTTCTATTGTGTCACCGAGACAAACCTATTGTACAAAATATATGTATATACCGTTTGAGAGAAATTTTCTTACAAGTTGCATACATATTTTTTCTACCAATACTAATTAATCATTAATACTAATTATATTAAAAAAAGATATAATAACTATAATAATTAATACTATTTCAAAGGAATATACAATGTATATTGAATATACTAAACACAGAAATTTGTCGATATTCATAGAAAAAAATACTTTATAGTGCAAGAAAATCGTACTCATATTTACTTGTATAGCTGGTCCCGGACTTCTTCCGTTAATTGTCAAAAAGCTCTTTGGTGTGATAATATTTGTACACGTAGAAATTTCATCCTTGTCCTCGATTTTGTCACAGGAACTACTATTTACATTAAAAATATATTAGATATAATGCTGATAGTTGTTCTTGATTTCTTTTTTTACAAATTATATTGACATTTTTTCGCGAAATATTTATTCAATGAAATTTTCTATAACCTATTTCTTACTTTTATTAGAGAAATAAAAACATCGAGATCTTTTTAACTGTAGTTTTTATAAAATTTCATATCTGATACAATTTACATTAATAAGATATGATAGGATCGGGTAAAAAAAATGTAATATAATTAAAATAAGAGAAAATAGGAAGATGAAAGAGCAAACTCATTGTTAATACATTACCCAAATGTAGCAAAAAAAAATGAAAAGATGACGAAAATGTTCAGGTTAGCTTTTTGACAAAACGATATTTTTCCGGCTAAATCAATAGTTTCCCTGTTTACCGCTACGTGACGTGCAATGCAATACCTATCTCGCATTTAAATTTCAGTTACGAGAACTATATAAAGTCTGCAAAGAGTATCATCAAAGGTGTATTATACACTTGTTTATCAGTATGACTCTTGATGTTTTCCCTAAGAATGAACTATTCAGAGATAAATATCGAGTGAAAACGACGATCGTGTTGTTCTCTTGAGATATAAGATAAAATTAATTTTTTCTACATGTAAATAATATCTTGAATTTTATAAATTAAATAATTTAAGAATATTACAATAAAAAATAATAAGAAATTATTATAAGATTATATATACAAAAGATGGAAAAATATTTTGATTTCAGATAATATATATAATTTTTTCATCATAAACTTAATAAACAAACATATTCAGAAATTAAATTTAATATTTTCAATTATGATACACTTGATCTATGTTTAAAAAAATCGAAAAGTAGATTTGATTGCTGATTTGAAACATCAACAAGCTCGGTAATCTATTCAAAATAATTATGGAGAAAATCATGAAATTACCGTTAAAAGAGCGCATCGCAAAGATTTACACAAAATATATAACACCGTTACATGATCCTACAGTACAGTTAATGTATGTAACACATACATATCAAAGTGGAATACACCTTGTGTCGAAACCTGTTGCACATCAAAGTGCAGAATGCATTCAACGTGAATATTAACCGTTATAATGCTGCATTCCAATTCGCGAATAAAGTGAAGAATATTTTGCTATTATTGTGTTCCAGAAAAATTTACAGAACTATCTTGATTCAAAAACTTCCTAACTTGCTTCTTTTTTCATTTATTTCACTTTATATCGCATATTTTTTTTATAACATTACATCATATTTACACTGTTATATGTTTCAAACTTTTTCTCATTTATAAATGTTCTTTCCCTTTGCTTATACATATGTATAATAATATTATTAAATATTTGTTAATTTAAAAATATAATAAATTGTAATGCTACCTCACCTTACTGCACTGTGCGATTCTGTGACGAAGAACTTATAAACGCAGGTTTTTTTCGAAGACATTTCGCCGGAACAAGGACGCACGCATTCATGATCATCATCTGATTTTTGAAAATGAGAAAATTGTTTACTCATTTAAACATTTGTATTAAATAGAAATTTCATTCATCGAGAGATATATTAATTTATCAAATTAACTTTATTAATGTACTATTTCGCGTGCAGAAGAATATGACATAAAACAGTAAATTTTTTCGAAGATAAACACTGCTTTTACAAAACACACAATCAGCGAAAATAATATACGCTGTCGTAAAATATTTCACTCACCAGATGTTCCAGAACACAAAACCGAAATCGGACAAGAAACGAATATCAAAACTATCGAATAGCGAAAATACATGATTGCCCAGAATACATGAGTCGTACCATACCAAGCACGTCTACGTACACACGGCTTGAATGATTCTGCACGGATCTAAGCCGACAACCAACCGACTGATTCAGGAAGTGAACAATTTTCGAACTGCTGTTAGAGATTGCAAGAGTGAGTGAAAGAAAGCTATAATGGAATACTACATCTTGAGAAAAGACTTTCTTTTTATCACAAAGATACATTTTGTACGATATTTACATACATAAATGCAGTTTCATTACTTTTATAATTGAAGCATTATTCCTACAAAAGGATGAAAAAAAGAAATATTTCTTCAGAAAAGAAACAATTGAAAACTAACAAAAAAAGGAAATCGCACACATTCATATTTACATGTATAAACATACATAAATTTAAATAAAGATTATTTTTAAATAAATTTCTATTCTATATAACTTGTCAATATGATTTTTATATACATTTAGTTAAATATATTTTGAAAAGGGTTTCTCATTCGAAAAAATATTAATAGTGTCTGTATATTGTTTATGTATTTAAAAAAAGATTGGTTTTATAACACTGTAAACTACATAATGGTACTCCAGTTTTTGAACATGAATATCTTTTTGGATTTCCACACTGATTTACACCGCAAAGAATTTGTTTAGGTGGAATTTTTCTGAAATAAAATTAATAAGAGGATATACACAACTAATGCTATCTGTCTTAAATATTATTAAAAAACTCTATGAGATAATACATAAATATATAATATACAAATATAATTTAAAGAATAATATATAAATAATTATATATGTAAATAATTTATATATAAATAATAATTTTTAAAATATATAAATAATAATCTTATTATACTTACTCTTTGGCGGGACAAAGTGGAAAATCTTCGCCAGGTGGTAAAGATATAGAACTTCCCTCAATTGTTAAACGATATGTCACTAGTGGTACTTGTTGTTTAGATAATCTGCCCTTACTGATAACTTTAGATGCTTTAGATTCTTGTTTCTTAAGTAATCTTTCCATTGTCTTTTTCTACAACAATAATGTAAAAATATTTATTCGGAATTAAGAAACTTTAAATGGTTAATCTAACTAACTGGATAAAGAAAACTTTATTTTAAACAGTACTTTATCTTTTTCTCGTTTTTCATCAGCAAGTTGTTTTCGTTTTAGAGATTTCAAAGCAGCCTTCTGTATAGCTTCCGCAGTCATAACTTTTTCTTTGTAACCAGTGGGTAATGACATCAATTGTTCGACACCTGAATTTGGCTCAGTATCAGTTTTTCTCTCAAACATTGCTCTCTGTCGAGCTGTCATGAGTTTAGGATCTTTTGGTTTAATTTTTTTCAATTCATCATCAACCTAAAATAATATATATTATTACATTAAAATAATATAAATTATTACATTATTATGTAAATTATTACATTATTATTACATTATTATAGTCATCACAATCTCCCTTCAGATTTTCAAAATGTGTAACCAATAGAAATATGCACATATTATACATAATAGTTGTTATATATAATAGCTTTCATATTCATATAGAATATATTTAAAGAAATACACACCTCTTCAAGTTTACCAGATTCAATAGCATCTAGCCATCTTTCTTCTTCGCTGCTAGTCCCACTATCTTTACCTTTGTTGCTTTTTGGAATTTTTTTCTTTGTAGTTGCTTTTGGAGAAGATGTAGTATTCATTGCAGTTGCATTCAGACTACATGTTTTCAATATTTTTTCACGTTTATCCAAACTGAAAAATAAATATAAATTATATATGTAAAATGCTTAAATATTCTTGAAATTTTTTCAAATTAGACATTATACATTGTTCTAAATTATTAAAAAATTGTTCTATCTTAATATATTTTGAAAGTAAAAAGCAGTGTATAATTTTGAAATATATATTTCAAGATTATAAAACAAATATAACCTACACCTACCTCCTTTCATCCTCCTTTTTCATTTTTATTCTAAAACTTTTTTTCCGGTTAGTATCAGCTGTGATGTCAATAAAAACGTCGTTGTCATGCATAAGCTTTTTCTTTTTGTGCTTTTTATGTTTATGTTTTTTGTGTCTTTTTTGCGGTAGAACATCATTTGTATCTGACAAATATTTAATCAACATTGAAAAAATCGAAAATTTGCATTGTATGTCAATGAAAAAATATAGTATAAAAATTAATTTAAATTAATATAAATAGAAGATCACACATACCTAAATTCATTTCTTCTTCGGTACTTATATCTCTCGGCTTACCCATTAGATCAAAGAGTAGCCAAGTAGTAGCTTATCTAAAAAATAATATATCAGAGATTGAAATTGAGTAAAGATGAACATGCAAAACATTTGCATTTTCTCTATTTTAATATTTCAATTCCTATTCCATTCTATTCCGCCCTTAAATTTTGATGTAAGAGTAAATAAATTAGACTAGCCTTCATCTGCCCTCATCCATGCCTTCATCGCATGCGCGGCGAATGTGATGTCAGAAAGTTGTGTACCTTCGGTATACATCATAGACATAAAATATATAGATGGAACACTGACTGTTTATGACAGAATGCGTTCGTAAATCCTACCCATATGGTAAAATTCCACTTATTTGACCAATCAGGATAAAAAGGAGCAAATATTTCTGTCCTGATTGGTCAAACAATATTATTTTATTTTAGTAAGATTTTTGAACGCACTTTAAAATTGTTTTGTTGAGATTCTTTGAGATTTTTTAATCCTCATTCCGCAACGATTCTTCATAATCCGACGTTTTTATTAGTTTTAAGTAAAGATACATCTCTTGGAATCTAATTAATCAAAAATGGGTAAGGAAAATGAATCAGATGGTACGAAAAAAAGAAGGAAGTCTCTGAATACGAGCGGTGGAGTGTCGATGAAAGATGGAGACATGTATAAGGTACATAAAAATGCTAAAAATTATAATTATTTGTTAATTATAATGTAAAGAACCAAAAAGTAATCAAATATTATTTTGTTTCAGATAATAATAAGTTATGAAGAAAAGGAAGCTAACGAGAGGTTACCTGAAGATGATTCTGAATGTTTCTTGGCGACCTGTGACAATATTCGAGCAGCAATGAATAAGATAGTTAAATTGAAATCCAGTGGAGATTCAAATGTAACAAAGCCTGCAAAATAATGATCATTATTTATTGTTGAATTTTTTGTAAATTTAATATGAAACAAAAATGTGTTTTAGGTAAAAGATGAGATTCGTGAATTGCAAGTTCAAACATCCTTGGCATTTGTAGAATTGAAGAAGTTAAATCGGATGGAAAAATTTCGTACAAAATGTGCACGTGATTCTCTTGTGGCTGCAAAAAGCAGTGTAGATAGTAAACATTTGCATTTACAGAATCTGTTATATGAAGTAATGCATTTGAAGAAAGAAGTTGTCAAATGTCTTCAATTTAAGTAAATCTCTTTATTTTTATTTTAGAGGACTTTTCACATTTCTTTATTATCTTTAAATAAAATAAAATAACTTCTTTTTTCTTTTTTCCAATCTAGATCCAAGGATGAATTGATAGAACTTGTTTCGGAAGAGGAATTTTATAAAGAAGCTCCAGAAAACATTTCACGACCTGTATATAATTTTTTATATATAACTGTAGATAATTGTAAATTTAAATTTCTTTATATGATACATGTGACAAATGTATTTTAGGAAATAACAAAAAACAATCCTCATCAATTGAGACTAGCTCGTTTGGAATGGGAATTAACGCAAAGAAAACAATTGGCAGCATTATGTGATGAATTGACAGAAAGCAAAAAGGCAGTAGCATCCAGCATTGAGACAAAACAGACTCGCTTAGATAATCTTGCACCACAACTGCGTTCTATATTGGAAGTAAGAGTTTATTAGCTTAAAAAATTAAATATATATATATATATATATATATATACATATAATGTTTTCTTAAACATTTATACAAATAATATTTTATTTTTTACATTTTCAGGCAAGCAAACCATTGCAAGAGAGTCTTGGATTACCATTGGATAAAATTCGTCAAGAGCATCAAAAAGCTTCATTACTCATATCAGCACTTTATGTATTGTATGCAAAGGCATCTGCCTATAGGGATGCATATGGTATAATTAATATATTAAATATAATTTATTATGTATTTACATTTTTATGAATAAAGTCTTATATTTATTATTTCTTAAAATATTTTATAGATAATACATTGGTGGTCAAAGTAGAAGGTGATGAAGATGAAGCAAAACGTGCAAACAATCAGGATGGCTTGCAAGAATCTGATTCAGATCCTGAGAATCAATCGGAAAGTATTGTAGAGGAAGTGCCCGTGCATAAAAAGAGACATCACAGATTATCTCGGGAAGCTAGACAGGAAGAAAAACGATCAAAACTCTTGCAACGACATCCGTTACATGTAAAAATCATTATTGTATTAAAAAGTAAGTTTTAGATTAATATATTTATAGTCCATAAAAATTGTCTCGAAAATTAAATTTTATTTTTATTTTAATATGTGTGATCATATTCTAATGCAGGAAAATGTAATAATAAATAAAACTAAGTTTGGAGTTTTTCTAAAAATCTTAATTTAAATCTTGATTAAATTTTACGTAAAATAAATTTTTCAGATGAGACGAAATTGACTCTTTGCTTCTATTATATGATTTATTTAAAAGTCATTACAGTAGAGTCAAAACTCGAGACGGAAGACTTAGGAGGTATTAGTGCTGGGTATATATTATTTAAACATTACTTAAAAATTAAATTTTTTTTAACATTTATAATATTAAATTATTGAAATTTATAATATATATTTATAAAAACACTTTTGAAAATACATTTTTATTTTTTTTTTCAATTATTTGAGGTAATTCTTTCAAATTGTGTTCTATTAATAGAGACATGCTGGTATCGGAATCGATTCTTCGCGAACTGTATCCGCAAGACTCAGGATTGGAGAGCCCGAATCCCGCCAATCAATATCAGTTATCACGACATAATTTGGGTTCTTTCTCATCTTTGGGACTAGGCATTCCTTATAGATGGGCACAAAGAATGGCTGGTCTGCATTTTGTCTCATCTGATATGAATGAGCAACAACGAAAGGTGTTTATAATTGAAATGTTAAAAATTAATTTAAAGTGTTAATCTCTTAGTTCTCATACTCGTAAAAAAATATAAAAAAATAATTCGTTTACTTGTGTAATAAAAAGTTATAATTTAAAATAATTTTATTTGCTCATTGATATAAATTAGCATATATATTTAACTAAAATTTAACTTTATTTACAGCTTACAAGTCAAGAATTGGCACAAGATTGTGTAGAGAGTGTGTTGAAAGAAATCAAGCGACGTGTAAAAGCGCGGCTGGATCTTTGTTCGGAGATACGACATTTGGAATCTGGTAATCTACCAATTTTCGTCAGTACAACGGATCCAGTGCCGCAAAAAATCTCAACGTCATTGCATCGATTCACAACTATGACTTGGAAGAATTACTCAAATTATATCACTTCGTCAGCATTCTGCCAACAAGGATTAGTATCATCTGTAGATATCTTTTACGAAGCTGTACTTCGTCGTGGCAGTAGTATGATTACTATTATTTCAGATTTTTTTATACGAATATACATTATTTTTTTATTTTTCTAGACATTTAGATAAAAATGTTTTTAGGTGAACTTGTGGCAAGAATCGCTATCAAACCAGATTATCCGAAGATAGCACCAGTATTTAACGTAAGCATCAGCCCAATGGTACCGGCATCCGCGGATATCGTCAGAGATATCGAGAGAGAGGTCAATGTGATGTGGACAAAGTCGCCAACGTTAACGGCACAGATACAACGGCTGAGAGCGTGCTTCGATATTTATCTAGAAACTGAGAGCATGGCACCAAAAGAAAAGATATTTTTCCATCCTGTGAAAGGGCGGACTCGCGCTCGACCATACAAATATTTGTCGCTTGGAGGAGGAATATTTATTCATCGTTGAATAAATTAAATTATTTGTATATGTATGTATTATTTTATTCTCTATTGATTTCCACACACATACACAAGTACTTATAAAATATATAATTTTTTATTTCTTTAAATTATTCCAATTCTTAAGAGAATTTAAAAATTATTTAAGAATTACAAAAAATTAATTTTAATTTTAAAAGATTAATATTTTCTACATATATAATATTAAATCATATCTTTTTAATTTAAAGTGTTGGTCTCTTTTTATATTAGAAATATATGTATTTTGTTTATACAGAAATAGATGTAAGCGGCCGCGCGGTTGGAGTTCTAGAAACAGTCAAGAGATACGTGCGCAAAGTATTTCTCAACTGTTTATTCTCAAAAGACAGTTCATCGCATTCCTTCTTCATGAATATATTATCAGCTTTAATATAATTAAACTGTTCCCAAAAATTTTCCAATTTATCAAATGGCTCTGACATCTACGAATAACCTCATATTATTTAATCTTATTTCATTGAACATGCTTTTTCCTTACATATATGTAATAACTCACACAGCTTGCAAAGGTTATTCTAGATCCAGTATCGCGTAAAGTGTATTTCTGAACAGTCAATGAAAATGGTTCTAAACTCGAACATATTTTCAGTAACGAAATTAATGCCGAACCTTTCTCTGAAATTCTTCTCAATTCCTGTAAATTAAACAATCTTAAAGATACATATTTATTAGATAAGGAATCCAAATTTTAATTTGTTAAATACATGTATATATATATATATATATATATATATATATATATATATAATTTATGCACAATTTACCGCATATACACAATTTTTCCTTAAATTTAATTAGAAATAATTAAACTAGATCAAACTTTAATCAAAGTTTAATACTTTTAGAACGCTGGTACTAATAATAGTCAATTTTTTTAGTTGGGTAGCATCCAACATTTGAGTCATGGAAAATGTTTGCCTCAAGCTTTCAGTTTTCTTTTTCATCTGTACAATCTGATCCTTATATTCCGTTATATTATGTTCCCGCTTCTGTGATAACGTGTACGTGTCCTGTTTCAAATTTTTAATCGTGCCTTGCAACTGTATCTGCAGCTTCGGATATTGCGCCACATTCGCATGATGAACATCGTCTTGTTCTTTCAAGTACTCGTACTGTTTTCTCTTATCTCCCGTATTGTTCTCATATTCGATTATCGTTTCATTAAGTTGTCGCCATAATTCTTCGACCTCGTTAGAAGCATATTGCATCAAACGTGACAAAGAGTCTTCCTTCTAAAATATTTTTACATTATACTTATCGTCATCATATTTACATCATCATATCATAGGACAAACTATAATAATGAAATATTTCTGTACCAAATACACAATGCTGTGTATGTTAGTGGCGTTTTGGATTTTTGTTTGCATTAATTTGTTTTCTATCTCTTTATCTTGTCCAAAAATTATACTCTGCAATTGATTGCAGAACTGCTCTAAATCCTCTCGTATTTTATTTAATTCGTTCACTTCATCAGTAGTGATGTGATTGCGTTCGTATGTGAAAGATTCATGCAAATGCATACATTTCTGCTTATATATTCCTATATAACATCAATAATTAACAATGTTCCTCCTCTTCTTATGCACATATAAATCAAATATAAATCAATTTTAAATTTTAAGATATTCTAATTATATGATTTGAAATTAAAATATTTGATTACACATGTGTGTGTGTGTGTTTGTGCGCGCGCGCGCGTTTAAATATACTTTACATACAATTTATAATGAGTTACCAATTATTATATCCATTATTTGAATATGAGCTTCTTGCAGTCTTCTATGATCCATATCAGTTGTCTCTAATTCATTATATAAATGCCATATCATGAGGTCTTTTATTTTCATCATGCGATCAAAATTTTTCCAAAGATACTCCACATTTTCATGAAGTTCCTTACATTTTATTCGACGTAGAATGAATCGCCATTGTTCGTTTATCTTTGCAGTGTTCAATCGCGAGAACGCTTCCTCACGTTTCAGCTTATTCTATATTTCACAAATTGATTTATTGCAAAATCGCATTACATTATTTATTTCAATTGCATATTTAATATACCTTAGTAAACGCCGCAATTAATTGTTGTTTACGTCGTTTGCTCTCTAATTCTAATTCTGCTCGATGCTGCAAGTAGCGGGCGCGTTCCTCATCACTCATGCGAGCTAATTTGCTTCCTTTTCCCTTTTTTTTCGGCATTTTACAATAAATTTACACTCAAATAATTAATATTCAAATAGATTTTATTCTTAACAAGATACAAATTTCCCGTAAGAATAAAGGTAGTAAGACCTATTATGATAGGCAAAATAAAACATGTTTGATCAATAATGATCGAATTCTATATCCAAGATATTGTGTGTGTGGTGTGTGTGTGTGTGGTGTGTGTGTGTCTGTGTGTGTGGCTTATATAATACATTATAAAAATTTTATTTGATTTAAATCACACAAGTTCTTTCTACTGAAATATAATATAAAATTTCTTCAGAAATTTAGTCAATATAGAATTTTATAAAAACATTTTCACATATACATTTCACATATTCACATATGCAGTGTTAAAGATATTTCTGTAAGCAATTCTGTACGTTTTAACAAGGTTAGATATGAATTTACATTAAATATATTATATTACTCTATAACGTATTTGAGACAAAAAATATGCTCATATATATATTTTTTTATACATAAAATAAAAATGTGTTATGTAATCGGCAAGAAATATAATTAATATTATATTTTTTTAAACTTATAAAATATAAATGTCATCCATCACATTATTTTCGAGACAATAACTTTATATAAGAGAAAAATATGTATATACAATATTTGTATATGCGTTATTATGATTACTTTTCTACTATAATTGCAAATGAAGCAAGGCATCGAGAGTAAAAAAATTATCGAATTCGTACCTTGATCGAAGCTCGTATGAAGATTTTCGCATTTTTTATGAAAATATAGTTTAGTTGCCCTGCAACTTATAGCGAATGTATAATAGTTTCTATAAGCTCTTTGTATTACTCTATTTGGTGGAAGACTTAAATGCAATTTGGATAATAAATGCATTGATTTTTGTAGTTCTCAATAATGAAATATGTGTCAAATATTTTTTTGCAATGTCATAGTCCTGGTGTCAATATTTTCCATGGAAAGTGGCCGCTCTTTCGTCGTCGGTATAAAGCTTTGAGTACGTCTGATCCTTTCGCCTCCTTTTAAAGGATGTGTCACAATTTGCGTCTCCAGTAGAAATTGAGCCTCTTCGGCGCGTTTGACTTTCTCGCGTGCAACACGTAACTCAGCATCCAAATGTTCCCTTTCCATTTCCAATTGCTGAAGACGTAATTCGGCATCTTAAAATAATAATACAAAGAAAAAACATTAAAACAAAGATAAGATTTTAAAATAATATAAATAAGAATAAGAGAATAAGAACAAAATTAAAGATAAAATAAAAATAAAAATTAATGTAAAACATTAAAAATTAATAGATTGCACTCTTTTAAAAATTTTAATTAATTGCAGCTTAATGAAGCTTTTACATATGTACATACATATACATGCATATAAAAGCATAATTAAATTATATATTAATAAGAAATATTTAAAAAATGTTAAAAATAATAATAAAATAAATATTTAATTATATTATGTGTGTAAACAGTTAAATATTTTTTATAGATCTCATACCATGCAACTGTTGTTCATTTTTCTGTTGCATTCGTTCAAACTCTAGTCTTTTCATTTTCTCCATTTCTAACAACTCTTGCTGTTCCTGCTGCAACTTTTCCAATTGCTCTCTTTTCTCCCATTCTTCACGTAATACTCTTGCTTGCAAATTTCGTACTGTAATACATATTTAACTTATATAACTCAACAAAATATATTGTAATATAAATTACACAATATCCTTACCTATTTCCTCGTCGCGTAGAGCCTGTTTTTCTTCTTGTAGCAGCAACTCCAGTTTTTGCTTAACATCTTCCAATTGTTGAACTTTGGCGCCTTCCTCTTTCGACAGAGCTTCTAATTTCCGAGCCTGTATTTCAGCAGCAATTCTAGCTTGCCTCTCGTGCTGAAGTTCTAGCTTGGTCTCTTCTTTTTCTTGTTTAGTAGCCTAATAGTAGTAATAAAATGGTTGGAAATAAATTTTTACTAGAATTATAAATATCTTTTAATTCATTTTTTTACAAGTTTTACTTGTCGTAAAGATCTTCTTTGATTGGCCAAACTTCTTTGATAGCCGATTTTCTCGTTCGAATGCTGAATAGCTGTTTGCAATGCTGCAAGCCATTGCAGCCTGCCTTTGTGATCCTCTGCTACTAGCTCTATACATCTGTGTTCAGGTGTGCTAAGAACAAATCTTCTATCAAGCTTCCCATTATTGGACAAAGAGTCAGCCCAACAATTAGCATTCAATAATATTAATCCAGATGGTTCTTTTTGGTGTGGATCTTTATAATATGCCAATTCACCAGGACGCAGTACAAACCAGAAGTATCGCAGTGTTGGCAGTAGAAAACCTTTTTTCATCAAATAACCCTGTGTGCCAAATTTTATAAAAATAATTATAATAATAAAAAATCCAAATATATGTATGATAAAAAATTTAATAATTTTCTTATAATTTATTTAAAATTTTAATAACTATTTTGATTTACCTTCTTCACTACATTCTCCACATAAATCTGATAAAGATCATCAATAGCTTCTGTTAATGCCACAGTGTCTAAGGTATTGCCACCACTGTATTTTGATTCAAGAACTGCTAGGAATGTGGGAAACCTTTCCAAAAAATTTTTTCATAAAGAAATTATTTTTTGTAATTTTATTGATTGAATAAATAAAATATTACCTAAACATTTTGATAGCTGCTGATAGAGCAGAAAAATCTATAGCATCCCACTGCAAACCCAAGGATGTTGCCAGATGCGAAGCAATTCGTGCTACTTCATCACCATGCATTGTTACCTGTAATACAAAGATAATATATCAGATATTTAATTGAAAGGTGCTTGTTTACAAAGGAATAAATTATCAAGATAAGATTCACCAGATAAGAATCTGTTGCATTCGGATCTGATTCAGCCAGTAGACAGTAAATTCGAAATAACTGGTAAACACTTTGATTTTCAAAAACTGGGTGAGATCTTTCCAGATAGTTTTTCTTACAGACCAGCCAACAGATTTCATCTATTCCTTCCTCCAATCTTTTCAATGTGTGTAGAGAAGTAGCATCAGTTATAGAAGAAAACACCTGAAGCACAACAATTTTGTATTTATATACAATAAAATTAATGCTCTAAACTAACGAAGAGAAAATACATGACAATTTGGTAAAATTTAAACATTTTTAACAAAACATTTGAAAATAAAAAAGAATAAAAACATTTATATATATTTTAATTATATTTCTTAAAAGTAATTGGATGACTCGTGACTCTTTGCTCTTATAGAATGCCTTACCTCTTTCTGCAAATAATACATATACTGATCAAATGTCAAGCTCTGTGTACTCCGATAATGCTCTAGACCTTTTTCCACGCCATACAAATCCATCAATGTACCAATATTGGCCGTCAACACCTATGGACAAATCATCAATTGTGAGATATATATATTTGACATATAAATTTGATATATAAATAAAGTTTATGCAATATGAGACTGACAGGAATTGACAGGATATGCCTTGCTATAAGTTCCTCTGGCAATTCTATCAATTCCTCAAAATTTTACCTTTAACTTTGACTTAGCGACCGTGTTGATATCATCGGCCTGCAATGCTTGGAACGCATGCCAAATGCTGTTGCTGAGGTTCTTAAACAGGTGGGCCATCGCTCTTGCCTGCACTTACACGAGAGTCAGCCAACAGGTGTTTTTCTTTATCTTGCTATCGCGCCCCTGCACATCTCGTAAATATTCGTGAGCGCATATCTCATCACTCTCATTCTCTTGCTGTCTCTTTAAATGATTTGGTTTTCCCTTCCTTGCGTTTTTCAAGATACCAATCTTTTTCCTCTTAGAATTTTTTATTCACTTGCCATAATCTCACATTCTCGTGCTAAAAATGATCATTAAGAATGACGCATAATGTATATTATTTCGTGCGAAGATTTCTCTCCCCTCCGCTTTGCAAACTGTTTCCTTTTTGCATCTACTTCTTTATCCTTCTTCAAACACATGAGATATCTGTTCAAAGAAAGAGAAAGAGAGGATATTGTGCTGTATTTCAACGCATGCGCATTAAAATTCTGTGTGCTGCAACAGCAGTTTTACTGTCAGTTACAACTTGGTTATGATTTGACGTATTGACGGCATGTCAAAATCGGCATGGATTCTTCTGTTGATTATTTTTCAGTTCTTTTATTTGATTGGAAATGTGGTTGGTTCAATAGGTGACAAATCGCAGATATACAAGCAATGTCTAGCATTGTGTCTCGCTAGGAATTGTAAAAATGGTAATTGATTTTTTTCTCATTGTTATTCTTCTAAATGTTATAATAATAATCAGATCTTGGTTCAAAGTATTTAATAATTTATCGAATGGAGAAAAAATTTTTATTCTATGTAAATATTACAAAATTTAGACTGAAGATATTAAATATGCAGAGTTTTACTATTTTTTAGCTACACATTTTTTTAGAACCTAATTAAAAATATTTTCTCCATTATTATTATAAAATATTATATTATATATAAAAGATTATATATATAATATATAATATATATATAATTATATATGGATGTATATAATAATATATATATAATATATATATAATATATATAATAATAATATATATATATATATATATATAAGATTATATATATAATATATTATATATAAAATATTATATTATATATAAAAGAAAATTTATAGAGATAATTATATTTGATAGTTTTTAATTATATGTACTTACATGTTGCGCAGAAACAACTTTTAAGGAACAACCTCCTTTATCATTGATTTTGTTACACTGGTCCTGTAAGGAAGATTGCAGTTATACTTGCACATGGAAGACTGTTGACTCCTTTGTATCTCATGGTTTAAAAATACCTCAGTTTCATGGAAAAGTAAGCAAATTGTAAAAATATAAAACTTTACATAATTTTCTAAGAATAGTACATTTAAATGCTATATAAAGAATTATAAAATATTATACAAAAAATGATATCAAATATTACTTAGCAAAATATTCATTATATATGATCAATTATTATATATATGAGAAAAGTTAATTCTATAATAAAGATTATATAATGTTAATGTTATATTAATTTTCACTCATACAATATTTTATTTATAAATAATTAGTATTGTATTAAATTTTATTCTTGTAATTAATAATCAGTTTATAAATAGAATGACAAGTTAGTCTCTATTTTCAGTGGCCATTTATTCGCTTATTTGGATGTCAGGAGCCTGCATCAGTTTTATTCTCTGTATTAAATTTTTATGCGCATTGGGTAATGCATAAAAAATTTAGAAGAAAAGTAAATCGAACCAACCCTATGTTCTATGTTTGGGAATATTTCAGCATTGTAAGAGTAACATTTTCAAGAGTATTCCACAAATAATAAAGCACTTCTTATATTTAGATTTTGTAATTACAATTAACAAAAACTTAGTTACACACATACCACACAATTAACATAATAATTAATATAATAAATAATAATTGAATATAAATTTAAAATTAATTCTATATTTTGAAGTTTTATGTACTTAGAAGGTAATACATTTTTGCAAAAAAATTATCCATTCTGATATTTATCAATTTCTGTAATTCTGATCATATTAATCGTATATATTATATTTAGCAATGAATATTCTTCCAATTTTAATCCTATTATAATTTTATTGCAGATATGTTTAAATGGATGGTTTTGGTCCACTATATTCCATTCACGAGATAGACCATTTACAGAAGCCATGGATTATTCTTGTGCATTCACTATGGTACTTACATTGTTATATTGCATGCTTTTAAGGTAATGTGCAATAGTTTCATCCTTCTTTTATACATAATATATTCTTCAAAAATATGGAACAGTTACCACTTTTGAATTAATTTTAAAATAGTATATATAGAATATATTTTCAGAGTATTTTAATCTATGATGTTAAATTTATGTGTTAATTATTTTTAGAATAACATACAAAAACAATAGAGCATTTGTTATAATAACTAGTGGATATCTAAGCATTTTATATATACATTTATCACACTTATGGTCAGGCAAAATTAATTACGGTTATAATATGATGCTTAACATAACATTAGGTAAATTTTACATTGCATATTACGTTATAAATTTTACAGTTAATATTATTATAGAAAAATAATTATACTATAAATATGAAATTTTTAGGTTTGACGACCTTTGCAATAACATTGTTATGGTGGTATTTTAATCGCAATAATTCTCATGTACATTTAATTGGTTGGTTCAATACATTAACTGTTTTTGTGACTCTGCTAGAACTGGCAGATTTTCCCCCTATCTTTTGGATATTCGATGCTCATTCCTTATGGCATGCCAGTACTGTTCCTTTAACGGTATTATTGTATAGGTAAGAAAGATGTTTATAACTTTAACTTATAAACGTATATAATAATTGTACATAAACATATATATGTACATACACGCACGCACGCACGTATGTATACGTATTATGTATTATGTATTATGTATGTATGTATGTATGTATTTAAAAAAATGTCAAGTGAATAGTATATAAAATTTGAATTTCTTAAAAATGATAAATTAATTAATAGAAGTAATAAATTAATTATTGTAATTAATTACATTTTAATTGAATCTTGAATCACATGAAAATGACATTAGATGATGGAGATAGGGAGTAGAGATCTTTAATATAGGAAAAAAAAAAAAAAAAAATATATATATATATATATATATATATATATATACATATATATATACATGAGTGTATACAGGGTGTCCGAGCGCAAAAATGTCCCGGCGCATGAGAAGAGCGGTAGACCGCTTTTTGCCTATTACTTAATTATTGCGAATTTTGCAAAATGGTAGAGGACTATTCTTCTTAATTTGACCCAATCTATCATCACTTTTCGTTTGGTCCCTCACGAATCGGACACCCTGTATATATATTGTCATTATCTATCATCCATTATACGTAAATATCCATAAATAATTATATTTTCGTTTGCAGGTTTATGATCTCAGATTGCTGTTATTTAAAAATATATTACAATAAATTACAGTCTAGATTTTAATTATTATATAAAAAATTATATTTTAAATATTAATTTTATTATTATATATGTGCAATAAATCTTTTTACAATATATATAATAGTAGATATACTCCCCAGGATGATTAATTGCGTCTAATGAGCGCAATTTTTTAAATCTGAAATCGTATCGATACTGTATTACTATGTAAAAAGCAACATAAGATGTGAGGTCCAAATAGCTCAGTGATAAGAGCCGTTGCCTGAAAGGCGAAGTATTTCGGATTCGAGTCCCGCTTCTGCCATTCGGACCTCATATATATTTCTATCTACAAAAATACCTGCGGATGCGCGCACCACGATGACATCTCCAGGATGGAGGCGAGAAAGAATCTCGGGTGTCAATCTGTAACACCGATAGAGTTTTCCCACCTCTTTCGGGGATGCTCTCCGCTCCTGCTGCTCCTCGGACTCGACGGTGTCTCGCTCCGACGCCGCCGGCTACGTGTACTCCCCGCCGATGACCCATCACCCCTGAGACACTCACCGGAACACTCGGATGGCCGACTCCTGGACCCCCAGGTCGTCCAGCACGCTCTCCCATGAAAAAACTTTTTCATTATTGAATATCAAAACAATATATACAATAATAACTCGTTATTAAATAATTATAACAATAAATTGCTTACTAATTAAAATAGTAAGATTATTAATATTACTAATTAATATTACGATTTAGTATTATATGTATTGTTAATCAATATATGAATAATGACAATAATAACTCGTAAAATTAATTACATATTATATAAGATTAATTACATAATCGAAGTTTTACTGTTATGCATCCAATCGAATTCACTATTACTTCGCGAATCCGGGAATTTATAATACATTTTACATTCATACATAATACATTCAGAATACATTTTACAAATCGAATAAGGCAACACGAGTCATTCGAGATATGCCTAAATAACATAATTAATTTTTTCTGATTAACTTTTCCTATATAAATAAACTAATTACTTTTTTCTAATTAATTTTTCCTAATATAAATAAACTAATTAATTTTTTTCTAAATAATGACAAATAATTCATACATGCCCGAAATATTCTGCTGCCTATGATACGCCCCAGAGAGTTGTATAATTTTTAGATAAACTAATTAATAATTAATAGTACATACATTAATACATATTTACAGTAATAAGAAAACGCTATAAGTCTTTACTTCATGTAATAAGTAAACGCTATAAGTCTTATTCGCTGTAATTGGACATCGTGAGTTTAGAGACGTTTATATATAAATTTCTTTAATAAATTTATTTTCTGGTTTTATATACATATATATGAACTTTATCTTTACAAGATATAATATTTAATATATTTAATTTTATATATAAAGAAACCTCAACACCTCACAATACCTCACCGCACCGCGGACAAGTGAAGACTTGTTACTTCCAGCGCTTATAGTAATACTTTAGTTTATTATTAATAAACTAATTAGTTAATTAATCATTATGCTTTAATTATATTATTGGGCCGTTCCTGGCGGCACTGCAATGCCAGGTCGACCCGCGGCAGAGTCGGAGCAAGCTCCGGTCACCCGCCCGGTCCCAAAAATCAGTTTAATATTCTGAATCCCCTATGGGGATTGTATCAGATATTAAGCTGATAAGAACAGATACTACACTTTGATCTTAGCTCAGAGAGCCGAGAAGCGATACCTTTAACCGTTTTTACGCCTTTTAAATAGCATTCTCAACGTTTTTTACTTATGGGTAACGCTTTGATGTATACGCCATGTAGCGGTGACGACCGAAACTTGCGTACGTCTACAGCCCGCCGAGCCATCCCTAACCTATCTACCTGTCATTTTTATAAATATTACAGTTGCAATTAATTAAAATTATTAATTAATACTAATTAATTATCACCACTAATTAACAATGATAATTAGTACCGCTAAAATCGATAATTAGTGTCGTTTATTACTAATCATTATCTACGATTGTGTGTGTATGTATACGTGTATATGTACGAATTTCTTTGATTATTTTTTCCTTGTAAAGAGTTGACAGGAGTATTTTCGAGTTACACTGCAAACAGGTCTGAAAAAGTGCAAGAAATACGTATACATTAATATAACGACATATGTAATTTCCACAATCAAAACTTAATGTACATAGATTATTTGCTTGATAAATTAAAATTAAATATGCATGATCTAAAGTTTCTACAGAAGAAGGAATAATATTTCATTCAACTTTATAACCTCGTATTTATAACCTCTGCAATATTGAGTAAATTATTGAATTGAAGTATTTTGATATTCCAGTTTTGGGGGAGAAAATTCCATAATTCGTTTTCATTATTGAGTTAAAAATGGATAAATTAAGAAGAGCCCTCAACGGCAATGAACGAAGTTGCGATGAAGAAAGTGGTATCATTTCTCAGGTAATCACGTTTCTTAAATCAATTAACAGTATTGATTACATTAATTATATTTGTCTCTATAAAAATTAAGTTTTATTCATAAACTTATCGAATTTATCATTTTAAATGCTTATGTTTGCGATCGACGATGGAAGGTTGATGCAGATTTTACGGTAAATTAATAAAACATTACAAGTATATGTGTTTCATATACTTGTAACATTTGCAGATATTACTGCAAGCATTATAATAAGTGTCTCCTTTATATGGAAATAATTATAACAGATTAATATTTTTTTCTATTTAACATAGGTCATGGATCAAACAACATTAAGTTGGTCTACCAGGATAAAAGGTTTTGCAATTTGTTTCATCGTAGGGATATTATGTTCATTTCTTGGATCCTTTGCTCTATTTTTGCAAAAAGGCCTCGCTGTATTTGCTGTTTTCTACACTCTAGGCAATATTATCTCTTTAGCAAGGTAAAATGTACACAAATAATAATATAGTATGCAAATAATGTGTCATGTCCATATTACAGGCATTATTTTATTTTATATTATTTAAATTACAATGTCAGTATGTTAATTTCTGTTATAGCACATGTTTCTTAATGGGACCATTCAATCAATTTAAAAAGATGTTTGCATCAACGAGATTGATTGCAACTATATTAGTAATTGTTTCTGTTACTTTGACATTAGTTGCAGCTTTATATGTAAGTACTTTCTATTTCCTATTCATTAGTATCCTGGAAATATTTACAATATATTTCTGATTTCAGTTGCACAATCCTGGTTTAGCTCTATTATTTATAATTATTCAGTCGCTAGCTATGACATGGTATTCTTTGTCATATATTCCATATGCTCGCGATGCCGTCAAAAAGACAGTGGAAGCCTGTATTACATGAGAAGAGCAATTGTTTTTTTTCTTCTGCATTTGTTATATGAATATTATTTAAATTTCATGGTGCCTTCTGACACTAACCGTATTGTAATATCTGATGTATAAATTATCCTCTACTCATTTTGTAAGAATTAGATATTAAGATATATATATATATATATATATATATATATATTTCATAATAATAATAATATAAATTCTTTGTAATATATACAACACAACACAATATGTATTATAAAACATCTTGTATACCACAAATGATATGCTTGATTCCATATGATACATTATATATATTATTATATATCTAATACATTATGCTACATGAATTGTTATGAACTGAATTAATCAGTATATAATGTAATATAAATATATTCTTATATATTTCTTAACATTTATTATTGTTAGAATTTAATACTACAAGATTTTTGGACTGTATGTACACACATTGTATTTTGATATTATTTAAAATGCATTGCATTTTAATAAAAGATTTAATTATTTAAGTGTATTTAATACATTTAAAGATTATATAAAATTTATTTTCTTAAGAAATAAATATTGAAATATAAAATCGAATTAATTAAAATTGGTTATTGAATATTTGTTATGTTCGTGTTACAATTTCTTTGGGATGATATAAGAGGTAGAAAGAGATAAAAGAAATGCTATGTCATTTATCTCTCAAATCATTTGGAACGTCACAGCTTCTTTCAGTTTCTATTGATTTTAATAGTTGATCATATTTTCGAGTTGAAAATTATTGAATATTTTTTAAAATTTTTATAGTATTAGAGTATAATTTTTATTTTAAAATGTTTTAAATCCTTAAAATTCTAACAAATATATTTAAATAAATATATATCAAATCAGATATTACTTCGCAATTTGAAATATAGTCGTTGGGAGATTGTCCACCAATCAAATCGCACGAATCAACATTGAATAACTGACGATTCTCATTGGGCAAAATTATAAACAACAATAGGTCTGTTCTTTATAGCTGAACTGGCTGCACTAGTTCAGAGGTTATCTCTTTCTTCCCAATGTAGAGTAAAAAGGATAATCTCTGAACTCGTGCAGCCTAGTGTAGCCAGTTCAACTATAAAGAACAGACCTATTATCTCATTTTTTTTATTTCTAGCAGTAGCAACAGGTCGTGCTTCCATCAGAAAGGACGAATGAAGAGGCATTGAAAGTTATGTGAATTTGCGATTTAATCGTACTTGGTTAGTTAGTCGAGAGTACATTTAATAAAATTACAATTTATCTCGACAATTTGTGTACAGGTAACATTTTAATTATGTTCAATTAAATTATATCTTTTTTCGTTACATATATCCATATCAAAGATATTCATTTGCGTATAACCGTTACGAGAAAGATAAATTTGAAAACGACGATGATCAGCAATTATTATACATAAGTATTCTAATGTGTATAATGTCGTTTTTAAATTATCTACAAATGGAAATTCGTAAAAATCCTGATTATATTATATATATATATATATATATATATATATATATATATATATATAGTATATAATTTATTATAAACTATCAGGTTCATTTAACTTATTTCATTTTTAACATATGTTATTATTATCCTTCTAATTTAATTTTTTTATTTGTATTGTATAAACAGTGGAGTCAACCAACTATAAATTCAAAATAAATTGAAATATACTCAACCAATTTATTATACAGTGACAAAACAATGCTTTCTCAGGAAAAAACTAGCCATGGGCGCATGGCAAATTTTAAATTTAACAATAGACTTGAAGTGAGTATTAATAAAATTATTCTTTAATTTATGTACTTTAAATAAAGGGTTTGAAACAATATTATACCATAGTGCTATTTTTATTTAATGAAAAATTTGATAATGTTATAGTCTTGCATTTTTGTTTTCATTTTCCATATATATCTCTTTTAACTATTTGATTTAACACATTTCATATTTAAAATATTTAATACGTTTAATATATCTTTTAGGAAGCCCGAAGAAGGAGAAATGCATTATCAGTGGAGTTACGTAAAGCCAAAAAAGATGATCAATTATTAAAAAGACGCAATCTTGACACTGAACAAGATTTGTTAACTTTATGGAACAAAATAGGCGAGGCTGTTTCGCCTATTCCTTTACTTTCTATAGAAGAAATTGTAGATGGTATAAACTCACCAGATGAAATAACACAGTTAGCAGCAACACAGACTTGTAGAAAGTTATTAAGTCGAGAAAAAGATCCTCCTATTAACGATATAATACAGGGTGGCATAGTGCCACGTTGCATTGAACTCTTAGATTGCGATCATAAGTAAGTATATATACACAAATGACATTTGTATATTTATATAAATAATTTACTTATTTTTGTCTAGTATTCGCTTGCAGTTTGAAGCGGCATGGGTATTAACTAATATAGCTTCGGGTACATCCGAACAAACACAAAATGTTATAAAGCATGGAGCTGTGCCAAAGTTGGTGAAATTACTCAAGTCTGTGTCGCCTTATGTTAAAGAACAAGCAGTATGGGCTTTGGGAAATATAGCTGGAGATGGACCACATGCGCGCGACTTTATTCTTAGACATGATGCTTTAGCTCTTCTACTTGATTTAATTAAACCTGATATTTCTGTATGTATAACATAATTTGACACATAACATTATCAAAGTCAATTTTTTTTATTTTTTTTATTTTTGTTAAATCTCGTTCTCTTTCTCTAAAATTGTTATTCTAATGTTACGTGTTTCGTGTTTTATTGGTTTTCTCAGTTTAATATAGTCTATTGATAAATATTAATAGAGAATAATGCAAAAAGAAAATTTAATTCAGAAAAAATACTAGAGCTAACAGAATATTGTTTTCTTCTATTAATATTATATATTTTTTTTTATTTTTATAAAATTACATTTATATTCTATTATATTATTAACTAAACAGTATATTTGAATATGCCAATATTTCCAGGTAACATTTCTGCGTAACATTGTTTGGACTTTATCTAATTTATGTCGAAATAAAAATCCACCTCCACCCTTTGAATTGATTAAACCTGCTCTTCCAGTATTTAATCGTCTACTTAGCAATACAGATACAGATGTACTTGGTAAGACATTTGCATATTTTATTGATTGCATCATATTTTATTATTAATCAATCCTGTATCTGAATAAAATATTTATGTTGCTATTTGTAATGTTTAGCCGATACTTGCTGGGCACTCTCTTACCTTACCGATGGATCCAATGACAAAATACAAGCGGTATTAGAAACTGGTATTATACCTAAACTCGTTGACTTGTTGAAGTCAAAGGAAGGAACCGTTCTTACTCCGGCGTTGCGTGCAGTTGGAAATATAGTGACAGGTGATGACATTCAAACGGATGCTGTAATTTCCGCGGGAGGATTATTACATCTTGGTGCATTGTTGCGACATCATCGTCCTAATATTGTGAAAGAAGCTGCTTGGGCGATCAGTAATATTACAGCTGGTAACACAGAACAGATTCAACAAGTAATAAGTGCTGGTTTGATACCATCACTGATAAATGTTCTTCATTTTGTAAGTATGTTTATCCATATATGGAAAATAATTAATCAAAAGCTCTTAAAAAATATTTTGAAAAAATTCCATTAGTAAATGTATTTACAATATATTTTTTTAGGGAGATTATAAGGCACAAAAGGAAGCTGCATGGGCTATAACTAATTTAACATCGGGGGGGACAGTCCAAAATTTGGCAGAATTAATACAAGCAGGTGTATTACTACCTTTCTGTAATTTGTTGGAAACAAAAGATTGGAACATTATTATTGTCGTCTTAGATGGCTTAACTAATATCTTGCACACTGCACAAAAAATGGGAGAAATAGATAGACTTGCTATTATGATTGAAGAAGTTGGAGGATTAGATAAAATAGAAGCTCTTCAACATCATCAAAACGAGCAAGTTTATCAAAAATCTATGGCTATAATCGATACATTTTTTTCTGAAAAGGTTTGTCCATATATGCATATGCACATACATGTATGTATGTATATATATATATATATATATATATATATATATATATATATATATTTTTTTTTTTCTTTTTTTTTTTAAATATACATTTTATTTAAAAACCAAAAATAATATAATCTATAAAAAACAACCAATGACAACTTGTCCTATTTTTTTAGAGTTTAAATAGTTTTGTTTTGACTCTGTTATTATTCTAATATTTCATATAATAATTTTATATATTAAAATTTTGAGATTTTTTGTGTTTTATGTATTCATAGTTTATATTTATAAATTCCATAAAAATTTTTTTCCGATCTCTTCTAACAAAACAAAAACAAAACAATTTTCTTTTTTTTTTCAGGATATTGAAGAAGTGATACTTACTTCTAAAGAAAATGTTGAAGGACATCTTGAATTTAATGTAACGGAAAATGCATCAATAGATGAATTCAAATTTTGAACATGCTTTGGATCTGGAATATAAATAAAATATTGTAAGTCGAAAAATTTTGTAAATACATACGAGACTTGATTATCGATTTATTGTAATTGTCTATAATAGCGATAATAATCTATAACACAAATTATAAGATTGACAGAATGTTTAATTATTCAATCAAGTTTTAGCGATTCACGCAAAAAGCGGAAGAAAAAGAATATACATTTTAAGCAGATAAATCGATCATTTAATGAATTGAAAATAAAAAAATAAGCTTGTTTTTTTTATACATTATTATAAAGAAAGGATTCTATTAATATATGTATGTAATTATAGTGAAGCTTTATTGAGATAATTAAGTATCGTATGTTTTTTTCTAGTTATTAAGTATAAATGAAATCATTGTGTGTTATATTAATTTTGTAAATCAAAAATATTGATATAATTTCTGAAGCAAAAGTGTTATAAAGATAAAAAAGTTAAATTTAGTTTTTTTTATATTAACTACAAAAACTAATGAAAAACATTATGTAGCTTCATGTTTTTAATTCTTCCTTTTTTACATATAGAAAATGATCATTGATTATATAAAATCTCAAATTTTCTACAAATTCAGATTATTATTATTGCATTATTTCTTCACAAATCATTTTATGAACAAGTATTAATGAAAAAACAAATTTTGATAATTTGCAAGAAAAAATTCATAATTAAGATTAATGATGTAATGATTCATTATTATTCACTACAATTTTTTTTATACAAAAAGGAAAGTCTTACACCTTTTCTGTATGAAAAGAAAGAAATGCTCAGTATTATTTATTACATTTTACTTTGTACTTTTCTAATAAAACGTTGATAAATATTCATAAATGAATTATTTTATCCCATTATTGTAATTTTTTACAAAAAATCCTTATTGAAGAGATTGATAAGAACGATGTTAAATGTCTAATATTTAATTATTTTTATATATTTATTTTCATTTGCTATATACTATATCTTATTGCATGTTGAATAAATTAATATGGAAATTGGTCTTATCAATTAATAAATATGATTTCAAATATAATGATGCGTATGTAATAAATAATTTATTTTCAAGAATTAATACATATTTTTTGTTATCTATGACACCTACCAAATTATTTAGCTTGAAGAGTAGTACTTCTGTAGCAAATAATAGAAGTACATGTTTAATTTTTGATACTGTTACAAAAAGCGTTAAAAAAATCATTGCCAATTAGACATCTTTCTTCAGCTCTTCTCTAATAATGAAGAAACTTGTAAGTGATGTTATTAATATGTACTTCATTAATGTATATCTTCACATTATCGACCTAATATGAAGTCGCTTTGATCATTAACTAAGAAATGATAAACAAAAGCAGCTTTCTTTTTATCGAATGTAATCTGAGTCGCACGACTTCTTTGATGACGATCATCTCTGCTTCTCGGTGGATCTCTCAAAAATATTGATCCAAATAATGTGGCTAAAAATATTACAATAATGCATCAAATACCATTATGAATATGTGAAAGCATGAATAATAAAATAAAATGAAAATTAAAGATAAGATATATAAATGTAAAAATACATACCGAGTGTCTTAGCATCAAGTTCGTTATCTTGCATATGATTTAATAACTCTTGCAAAAATGAACTGATGTAAAGAAAAACTGTTCTTCTAGTTTCTGGTAACTGCATGACAATCTGTGAATGGATAAAACAATATGAAAATTTGAGTTTGATAGTCCCCCTTTTTCTTTTATATGATACAAAAAAATTAAAGTTTGATTTACTTGTTTGCATTGAAAATAATTAGTTGCTGCAGATAGGCAAACATTATGTAGATTGTATGGTATTAAGGGTTCAGCTGTAGATTCTAAAAGCAATAATAATGCTTCTGCTACTGAATGTATGCTACCAGCTATATAGAGTGAAAAAATTAATATATTAACATTAAGGAATAATAGCATGGAATATAATTATAGTATTTTAAGATATGAAAAGGATACGCATTGGATCTTGACTTGATTCATCTAACCAATCTCGAATAGCTATTATTTCACTATGAAGGCCTGGTGTTTCAAAAAGTCCTGGAGTTTTAATGCCATGTCGATATAGCCTGTCCACTAAGTGCCATACTTCTTTCGGTACTGGATATGGTTCTTGTGATGGATTTTTATTGTTTTCCTAAAGTCAAATTGAATAAAGATAGAAATAAAGTTAGAGTAATTAATATTCAGAATAATGGAAATCCATTGTAACAATTTTTAAATACTCACCAATTCTATTAGTCTTCCAACAGGAATTTCTCTAATAGGAAGTGAAATATGAACCAATGCTTCCATAGAGGAGCCAAAACAGCTTCTCTCATAAGTACCTGGAAAATACCATTTGGTTCACATAACATTATTGTTGGATAATTAGAGCTTTATCAAATATGGAAATAATAATAGTTTTTCACTATATTTTACATGCAACATACCTGTTACAGTAATGAAAATGTCTTTACCCCCCTCGAGATGTAATACTAGAATATCATATAATTTATCCTCACCAGAATTCAGTTTACATGCAGTTTTCTTGTCTACATATACTTCCAATTTAATGTCGCATTTTTCGCCTATATGTGACCAAAAAAGAAAAAAAGAAATATATAATTGAAAATAAAATGAGAAATATCCTACAAAGATATGAGAAAAAGCATAAATATTATAAATATATACCTGGTTTTATGAAACCTGTATAAGGTTCTATATGTAACCAATCTTTGCAATAATTTGTATCATCCAATTTTTTTATGAATTCAAATTGTACTGGTACCTAATTTGCAGAAGATAAAAAATAAAGATTAAGTGTACATGCATGTGTTTGTATATATGTAGTATAACAAATTGTTTCACTTATATTCTACCTGGCCTGTATTAGCGATAATGAGTTCTTTACTACTAGGTTCGAGAAATTTTAAAACATCAAAAATAATATCCGTAGTATCGACCATTACTTGAGGCAAGAATTCATTTTCCAATTTATCAAGTTTTTTCATAACTTCCTCATGAATTTTACGATACTTAGCCATGTCTATAATTCGTATCTGTTTTAAAAGATTATATAATATACATTATTTTTTTAAATAACTATAATAATAAAGAAAAAAAAACTATTCATAGACTTATGCATTTTTACCTGAGACTCAAAATTTGCACTAACTGGTTTATGATCGGATATCTTAAGTTCTGAATAACTTTTGTAACTAATTGATTTAATCATATCTCCTTTCCATAACACTCGATCACACCAAGCTGGAGCTCTGCATTTTTCACTGCATATCATCAAATGCAGATATAAAAAGAAATCATGTTTAATTGAATTTTACTTTTAATGAATATATCATATGCATTTCGGTAATTATAATTTAATAAAATTTTGAAAATACCTCGAGTCCCAGTTGTCAGTACCTGGATCATATTTATATGTAGGTTTAAAATTAATTTCGGCTTCCTGAAATCCTTGAAATACACGTCCTGCTTTGCGCTGTTGTCCAAGCTGATCTAGTGCTAAGACAGAGTTATAATTGCCTTCTGAAATGTACTGCTTAGCAACTGCAGCATCCATATCTGTTATTCGATAATTTAAATCCCCCAACCAATAAATCTGACTGTAATATCAATTTGAATTAATATATCACGAAATATAAATTGTAATAAATTTGAAATAATAAATTAAGCTAGGAATACAAGTACAATAACATATATAGAATAAAATTTAATACAATTTGTATATATATAATTTATGAGTATGCATGTAATAATTAATGTAGGATATATATAAAAAGCTTACTCGTGATCTTTAAAGTTTTTGGGTGGAACATATTTTGTGAAGGATAATCTTGCACAAATATCAGCATAATCCTGGTTACGTCGTTCAAATTCTTCACAATGCGCCGCTAAATGAGCATTAACAAAACAAACGGACGTATTATGAATACAACAGCTTACTGCTACACCGCCTTTATTGCCCTATAAAGCAATCAGCTATTAAAACATGAGAATCATAATTGATTATTTATTGAAATTAAGAATTTAATATTTCATTATTGTTACATGTCTTGATATTATAGCGAAGAAAAAAGTATTGTAATTTATATATAAGTATTATTAGATATTAAATTTCTCTTACCAATTTTCCCATAATGCCTGTTCCTACTGTATCAGTAGATACATTTTCAATGTATGGCATATGAGTTTCGAGTGCATATACTAGCAACATTATTCCTACTAATCTGACAAGAGCAACCTGAGTATATACACCGCCGGGATGAAGCGAATCAACTATGACTTGCCTACAAGATAGAATTTTCTTTTATTTTTATGTTACATAATTCTTTCTATATGCTATCTATGTTATAATATTATATGTGTATATGTGTGTTAACATACTACTTTCATTTTTTATTATAAATGACATACCTCCACTCCTCTTCTCTAGGAGTTTCGTGAAATAGGAATGCTTCTTTACTTAAATCTAATTCTTGAAATCCAATAGCATATATATCTGGTGGCAATTCGTCCGTACTCAACCATTGATCTAATTTAATGCCATTTGGGGGCTGTCCATTGACATTCCATGTACAAGTCAGTATACTATAATTATTAACAGTAATCTTATACAAGACACTAAAGCTTATTCTACAGTTGGATAAAAGAAAATGAGAGGCAAAATTTTGTAACTATGCAATGTAACAAACCGAAATGTTTTGCTATATGTGTAGTCATCTTCCTTACAGGCCATTTGATATCGTACCACCGACTCTCGTGCAGCTACCGGCGATTTACCTGAGGCAATGCATTGTCTTCGTACTACTACATCATGGCTTTCGAGATTGAGCAACTATAAAAATAATAAATTAAAATAAAATTTTTATTCAGATAAAATTCTATAAGTCAATTTATGTATTTGTGTAACATGAATTCTTATTTTTATATATATTATTATTGTATATTCTTATTAATTCTTATTGTATATTATTATTAACTTACAGAATCAACAGTATCCTGTGCATCTTTACCGGCAGAAGCTAAACTTCTTGTACTTTTTGTTAGTTTTTCAATCCATGAAAATTCTGCTGCTGGACTTTTACCTGTTTGATATACTAAAATCATAATTATTTTGCACATAAATGACCTCTGTGCATAAGAATTATCTGTTGGATATATGTGCATACATACCTTCTATCGCACGAAATATTTCTGACACTAATGAGCTGGTTGCTTCTCCAAGCTTCATTTCAAATATCAAGCGAAGTTTTCTGGACGTAACATTCATGTATATGTCACCATCTTGTACTTTTTCATTGGTATCTTAATAATTAAAAAGAAAAATTTAATTGAGATTCAAGTAAAACAGTTAAAGGTATTTTTTATTTAAATGATAGTAAACAGAGAATTCAAATATAATTAATGATATTGAATATAAAAAAATTTCAATACCTATATCACATTTAAAATCTTGATCAATAGGCAATACTCCTTCCAAAGTAAGATCACTATACACTTGTGGAGGTATTCTTGAAGCAAGGAAGATTGCTAAAGCATGAGTCATACCTTTGTAAATGAGAACAATATATCTTGAAGATTTTATCCATCCTTGTATTAAGAACGCTTCTGTAGCCTACAATTACATGATTAAAGCGTTGTAATATTACCGATAATAATATCAAATTATTGATGACAACTGATATTTATAACTGAATGCAACTTCTAAGAGCCTTAGGTTAATAATAAATTATCACATTAATCATTGATGATAGATATATCCATTATTAATTAATATATATTCATTATTCATTAAATTCAGGAAAAAATACCGTTACAACAATCTCTCCTGAAACAAATTTCGATTGCACGATTGCTAATGATTCTGACGCCGACATCGTTCTTGCCACAGTATACGCAGAAGTAATTAGATCTTAGTAATTGTCACCAATATTGTAGGATTTATATAGGTTTATTATACTATATTATAGGTCATAATATATAGTATAATAGAAAAAAATAAAGTATTAATAAAAATTTGTTGCTTCTAATTCACTCTTGAAACTTTGACAAGTCAACAAAGACTACATGTATGTATGTACACACACCCATGTACATACATATTATAGTTGGTCACCATTGACTGTGTTTCTGGATCCGAGAGTTTAGGGCGTATTCACATTTTGACAGAAAAGCAGAAGCCAATCAGAATTTGCGCTGGTAATCACAATTTTCTACTTTTTTCCTTTCTAATGTACTGCTTACACACTGTTTATTACCAGTGCGAGTTCTGATTGGCCGCATTCAGCGGACTCAACCGCTAAGTAACAATCGAATATGATTTTCTACTTTTAGGTCCGTTCAATCAGCATCGAATTACATCGGAAAATCTAGTAATGTTACCCAACTGTTGAGTCCGCTGAATGCGGCCATTGGCTTTCTGCTTTTTGATTTTTGCTTTTCTGTCAAGGTGTGAATGCGCCCTTATCTTGTCCACGCAGTAAGAAGTAGTTTCCAAAAAAGATTTTAATTTAATTTATTAATTTAAATAATGAAATTCGAAATTATTGTAAATTATTATATTTATCTATATTTATCTATTTTTAAATTATCTGTTTTTCTTTCTACGTGACATTGTGTGTAATTTATCCCCTAATGAAATAGTGAAAATAAAAAATTTCATTTATAATTTCAACAACCTAAATGCATCTATTTTATATATGTATTTTATGTGTGTGTCTATGCTACATCAGTATAATTATATATATAAGATCCTTTCTACATCTATCTTTTTCTTTCTCTCTTTACTTCTCTCTAACACTCAATTACTTTGACTATATAGTCAAAGCTCAAATATATATTTATCTTGTTTTAAATGCAAAAATTTTTAGAAAGTGCAAGGAGCACGAGAATAGACCTACATATTATATTTTTCTATGACGTTGTTTTATAATTGTTTTATAAAAAAAAATATCTAAATAAAAAATGGTAAGGACTTGTTGTGTGGAAAGATGTAAAAGAACATCGCGTCCAGGTGATAATGTATCATTTTTCAGGTAATTTATAATTAGATAAATATGTAATATATATATATATATATATATATATATATATATATATATATTCAGATAATTTTTTATATTATTATATTTTTTTCTTCAGAATATACTCAAATTTGCAGTACTCATTTTGAAGAATCACAATACAGATGTATGAATGGTAGACGATACTTAAAGAAAGATGCAATTCCTTCTATATTTCCATTTGATTTAAAAATTGTAAGTGATTTTAAAAATAACAATATTGTACTTTAAATAAAAATATAGTAAGCATATTTTTGTTATTATGTTACAGCACAAAACAAGCAAAGAGGAAGATCAAATTCTTAGATGCCAACAAAATACATCAAAACATATGAGTAATAATATTCGTAATCACTATGAGTCTCATTGTAATATACAGAAGCAAGAAATAACAAATACATCATTGTCATCAACATTAAATACAGTAGATAAAGCAATACAAAGTACTCCTCGAACTCAGGTTTGAAAGAATTTCTATAACAAATTTTTTAATTATTCAAGATTATCCTTTACTTTTTATATTTTTTATGTATTAATAGAGTATAGCTATACAAGTACCATCAAAGCACTTAGCACAGTCCGAAAATGAAAAAAACTTACGCCAACAAATTAAAATTCTTCAAAATAAATTACGCTATAGAGAATTAAGAATGTCAAATGTTTGTCAATTAATAAAACAATTAAAAAGAAAAGGTAAATGCTCAGATCAACTTGAAAAAGTTTTATTAAGAAGACTTTCTGTATTTAACTCAAAACTTTCTCAAAAAGAAACTGAAGAGAATATTATTAACACTAAAGAACATTCTAACACGAAACTGGATCAGTAAATTTTCAAATGTTTATTTTTAAATGTTTATTTCAAATGTTGAATTTTGTAAAGTATATTCCAAATTTATATGATGATTGATTTTTATTTTTTTAGCATAATGTATATAACTTAATATAGAATCTAATTTGTACATGATTAGTAGTTCAAATTAATAGTTTGTATTATTTTAGAACTCTAATCATTCTATTTTATAATTTCTTATTTATTAATTTTTTATAAAGACTTGATGTATATTATTAAAATAAGATTCATCATACAGATACATCTGTACACAATTTTACATTATATTAATAAATTCGTAAGTAACAAAAATGTTGATTTATTCCGGGAAAATAATTTTGTATATAGTATGTATGTATATGCGCCCATATGTATGTAACTATGTATGCGTGTGTGTGGTGTGTGTGTGGTGTGTGTGTGTGTGTGTGTGTGGTGTGTGTGTGTGTGTGTGTGTGTGTGTGTGTGTGTGTGTGTGTGTGTGTGTGTGTGTGTGTGTGTGCGTGTGCGCGCGTGCGCGCGCGCGGATATATAACATTTTTTATTTATTCAATTTTATTTTTATTTTAATTCATGACGTTCGCTTTTGTTTTATATTTTGTTTCTTATTTTTATTATCTCATTATTTATTTTCTTTTTTTAATTATTTATTTTTAGTTTTCTCTACATATTTATTTGTATGTTTAGTATTCCGATAAGTAAATGCTACATATATATAATCCTATATTTTTAATTTTAATTGAGTGTGAGTTGCGAAAATTTTATATATCATAAGCAGCCGAACTTTTTTATCAATTAATTTATAATATATTCAATTGTTGATATAGAACTGTTTCTTTGGTGATTAATTTAGATGTGCATTGATTTTGCAATTAATTAAGGCAGTTTTATATAATTTTTTTATGCCAGAAGAGAGATTACTATTTTTTTTATTGAGAAGACTTAATTTTCTCAATTCTATCTATCTAGATAGGAGAGGAAATGTTTCTACACTATATACTTGTCCATATTTTAAGTTCTGCACGTTCTCGAACTATATATTTTAAATTATTATGTTTTACAAAGAGAAGTGGAGGAAATTAAATCGTCCATTTGAAGAATATTAATTATTAAAAAAAATTATTAACGAATCGATTTTTAAAACTGCAATTTTACTAAGTTTTTATTCTTTTTTAAAAATTTATTTATAAAAAATTTTTTATTAACGATTTAAAAAAGAATTAGAGAAACACACACACATATATACACATACATACATATACATACACACATCATACAGAGTAAGAAACGTAGTATATACAAACGCATGTATAAATATACACCAGAGTTAAAAGAGCATTCTTGAAATTCAATATTAACATTATATGTTATACATTTACTTTGAACTCTTGAAGCTCTTTTATTTTAAACTTCCGATCTGATACTATTGTAGAATAAACTTTACATATATAAATTTAATTTATTTATATATAAGTTTACATATATATACATAAATTTTTGCATATATTTTACATATAAGTTTATTCTATTAAGTGTTTGTCTAATATATAAGTTATTTTATACTGTTTATATAGATATATTTTTGTATTATATTTACTATATATATGTTGAACAATTTTTAAATACTTTTGTGTTTATTCGCTTTCGCGTGCATTTTTTATTTATTTTAAACCTTACATTATTCAATTGTGCAATTATTATTTTATACTCTCACATACTGGGTTTTTAATCCTTTTAAGAGAAGGTTTAAGATAAAAATAAACTCTTTCTCTCCTCTCTTTCCTTCTCTCCCGTCTATCCTTGTTTTTTCTTTTATCATCCTCTCTCGATTTCTCTCTTATCATCCCTTCTTTTTCCTTCTGTTTTTCTTATCTCTCTCTCTCTCTCTCCCTTTTCGTATAGCGCAGCATCTATTATCGAATGCGCAGACTCTATGCCTGCAACATCTCTCGGAAGGGATGATCTCTCGCACAGTATTGAAAATTCGTACGACACAAGTAATTCGTAACTCAACGTGATCTCACTATAGATTCAAAATAGTGAATGAGTGAGTGAATTGCAATTGCAGAAATTACTAATAATATTGAATGGGATAAACGTGAAGGACCGCGTCGTTTCGCATCTGCTCAGGTCGAGAGAAAGTCGCGAAGCGTTCGATTCGCACCACCGATGGCAGATCACGATAACATTTACGACGACGAGGTAATTAATTAAGTCGTATGAATTACCACCATACATCACGCAATGTTCTGTGTTATTTATTTAAACATTTTTACCAATTTTATATAAATGAATATTTATTTGTTATTCCTCGATTTTTTTACACAAGTATATTTTTTTATACAAAGACATAAAAAATGATTATATTCCATTTATTTTTCCACTTATTTCTTGTAAGTTAGTATTATTAACTATTCCTCGTGAATACTAGTTAAAAATGGCAAGTGCGGCTTCTCAGCAACAAGTATTATCAATACATGCTGATGAAATAAATGGAACATTTATTTTTGTAATACGTAACAAGTAAAGATTTTTTTCAAAAAATATGTATAGTAGTAGCAGTTGACACATTTACATGTGTTATTTTTATATCATATCAGAAAGTCATACATTATTTTTAAGTATTATGCTATTATTCTGTTAACAACATAATCTTTTAATACACATTGTAATATACATTCACGAAATACTCCAAACAAGTTATTCAAAACGCTCGAAATAAATCTTTATCTCACCACTAGAGTAACTTTTCCTTAAGAGAAATTATATCTTAAAGTAAATATTATTTTTATCTTATAGTAAATTATTCTACACATCAAGAATTATATACAGAAATATTGATTTCAATTAATATAGTATCGTTAAATGCGTTTGAAATTTTTGCTATTTATAACATCTATGTAACGATTTTATATGTGTATTATTGAAAATATGATTTTGATGAGTTCGATTTAGTATGCAATTCATCAAATTTCTAAAACATGAAAAATTAAACTTGAGGAGTAAATTTATTACTAAAAAAATCCACTTTTTCAAGAGCACGATATACATTGATACACGTTCGTCTCTTACTCGTTGACGCACAGCGCAGTAGATAGCTTCTCTCTCTATCGATTTTAGCTACAGCAGCTGACTAGATTCTAGCTCTTGCTATGCAACACAAAACTATAATTGACTCTTTTGTCTACAATAGCGTTATGATATCAGTGATCTTTAACAATTTTTTCAAATATTTGACTTGGAAAATGATGTTATAGATGTATTTATAAAAACGTTTTTATATATGCCGCGATTTCCTTAGTTTCATTCATACTATTTCTCTCTCTTTTTCTAAAATAAATTTTGTCGATGATCTAATACTCATATCCTAGTTCATCTTGTTACCTGCTTTTATTCCCCAGCCAACACAAACACGTTAAAGGTGTCATAAAAAGCGTATAAAAGATGTTTGAATCTTTTAAATATTTATATTAACATCACTTAAATTGTATATCATTTATCTTTTCGTAAAAGAATAAGGATGATGAATATAAAAAAGTTTTGATCTACTTTTGGAAAATATATAAAATATAAATTAAATTGTAGAAATCTCTCTTTATATTATAGAGAATTCACTCTACTTATATTATGAGAAAATATATAGCATTTTAAATTAAAATTTTATTTTATTAATGGCATTATCTCAGATGGAAATTTATTTTATTTTTAATGTGTTTGTATTAATGATGTTATTTATATTACATTAAGTTATTGTGAATAATAATTTAGAGATACATAACATATACACAACATAATTATTTAATTGTTTAGCATTAGCATTAGTTAAGAACCTTTGTGATAGGAGCTAGTTTCAGCCAACCCGAATCAAAGGAATTGGCGTGGGATTTTAATAGCATTACTCGTGATCGTCGCGGTTCTAGCTCTTATTGTTACATCTGTCGCTTTGCTTACACCTCCCGATGATGGCCCTAGAGTACGAGGAACGCGATTACGTCTCTCCGAGGTGAGTAGTGAACGACATGTTTGTATCGACATGTAATTAAAATTAATATCTGGGAAGATGTGAGAAAATATAGAGCTAAAAAATGTTCTATAACTTTTACAAGGTACAAAATAATATTTTTTTTTTAAAAGAAATATTTTCGGCATTTTATGATTATACGTATGAAAAATATTTTTCTCTATTTATGTTTATTAATTGAATTTTTGTTATTATTTAAATCTTTGAAACACATTTATACACATATAATCGTGAAATACCGAAAATATTTCTTTTCACACAAATCAACTCGTCTTCTAAAAATAAAATAAACGGGATTGATTCGCTTTTGCCTCCCAGGTGCTTTCGGGAGAATTATCTCCTTTATTATTTAATGGATCTTGGACAAGTAACTGTCATATATGCTACCGAGATATTTGGGGTGGCATCTCTTTATTGAATGCTTCGGATCCAAATATCGTATCGCACAGTTTAATGCCGAATGAAACATTTGTAAGTATTTCAAAATGTCTTTGTAAGAACTATCAATTGTACTATTGTTTCAGTTTAGATGTCAGGAAATAAACATTCATAACTTTCTTATGCAGAGACGACTGAATCCAGTAAAATTTTCCCTATCACCGGATCGAAAATACTTGCTCCTTGCTCAAAACGTGAAGAAACTGTTTCGTTATTCGTATTTAGCACAATACGTCATTTATGACGTCAAGACACGGTCAGTGATAAGTAATTTATATATGCATGGATAAAATATTGTAATTATTTATAGTATCGTTTAATGTCTTAATGGTAGTTTTTATTTAATATATCGCTGATTAAACTAAATCTTCTTAAATTAAATAACGCACTTGACATTTAAAAATTTTTATGAATGGCTTTACAGAGAGTGCATAATGTTAACTCCTCATCCTGAAAAAGATGTTCATCCATATCTTTTACTAGCGCAATGGGCTCCGAGTGGGCATGGACTCATCATGGTGCAGGATTACGATATTTATTATA